TGGGTGTCAGGAAGCGGCAAATGAGAGAGCCAGAGAGGAAGGGACAGGGATGTGTTATACCTTTCAAAGCCAGGGTCCCTGTAACCTTCCTGTAACTGGAGGTCACTTGTTTCCCTCTCCTCTAAACAATGGCATCAAACTATGATCCCATAAATGGATTAATCCACTGATGCAATTAGAGCCCTCATGATTTAGCTGTCTACTGAAAGCCCTACTTCTGCACACATGAGGTTTCTGGAGAACATTTGAGATCTAAACCATAACAGGCTTGTTTGTTTTGAGATCTTTTGGTTTTAATGTACTTACTTATTGTTAAAAGTCCCCTATCAAAACTGCTTTGCTTCACTCTCTAGGCTTTGGTGTATTATGTTTCCATTGGTGATTGTCTCAAGATGTCTGTTCCCCAATGCTGGTGAATGAACCCAGAGTCTCGAGTATGGCAACGAGGGCTTTACCACTGAGCTACATCTCCATCCTATCTTGGGATAATTTTAAATTTCCCTTGTAATTTTTTTCTCTGGCCCTTATTGTGGAGTATGTTTAGTGTCTACATATTAGTGAATTTTCCACATTCCTTCTGTTGTTAATGTCTGTTTTCTTACTTTTGTAGACAGATACAATACTTGTACAATTTGTATCTTACATTTTTGAAGACTTTGTGTGGGCCAACCTGTGGTCTATCTTGGAGAGTGTATACCTTGTATTTTAGAGAAGAATTCATATTCTCCTTTTGGTTGGAAAGTTCTATTAGGTCCATTAGGTCTAAATTTTAGTTCAAGTCTAATATTTCCTTATTAATTTTTGGTCCAGTTGACCTAGCTGTTATTGTAAATGGATATAACCGTTAACTGTATTGCTGCTTCTCCTTCCTGCCTGTTAATATTTGCTTTATATATCTAGGTGCTCTGATGTTGGATGTACATATATTTATAATTGCTATGTCTTCTTCTTCTTTTTTTTTTTTTTTTTTTTTTTTTTGTCTTTTTCTTTTTTATCGGTACCGGGGATTGAACTCATGACCACCTGCTTGCAAGGCAGGTGCTTATGCCACTGAGCTAAATCCCCAGCCCCGCTATGTCTTCTTAATAGATTGATTTTTATCATTAAATAATGCCCTTCTTTGTGACAGTTTTTGATTTGAAATCTGTTTTATTTAATTATAGCCACCTGTGTTTTCTTTTGGTTACCATTCGCATGGGTTATCTCCTTTTATCCTTTCATTTTGAGCCTTACATTTGAAATGAATCTTCTGTAACCATGAAATACTATATAGTCATATACATATTCATGAAATATGTGTATTTCATGAATGAGCCAGACAGGAAGAGACAGGGATGTGATATACCTTTCATGTGTATAAGCAATACTCATGAAATACATATTCATGTGTGTGTCTTAATCCTTTTTGTGCTTCTGTAATGACTGTATGAACTGGGTGTGGTGGTGCATGCCTGTAATCCCAGCACTTAGGAGGCTGAGGCAGGAGATCATTGACAGTTTAGGGCCAACCGATACTACACAGTCAAGGGCAGGTTGAATTAGATAGTGTGACTGTCTCAAAACAAACGAACAAAAAACATAAACACTGAATAACATATAGATAATTTAGAAAACAAAGTTCTGGAGACTGGGAAATCTAGGGTCACATCTAGCGAGGGCCTTCTTGCTGTCATCTCGTGGCAGAAGATTGAAGGACAAGAAAGCACAGGAAAAAGAGATGGAAGGGAAGGGGACTGAACTCATCTTTTTATCAGATACCCACTTCCATGAGAATGAACACATCCTACACTAACTAACCCATGACTGTGATGATAGTGTTAATCCATCCATGCAGAAGAGCCTCTGTAAACACTGAATCTCATAAAATAAGAGCTGGACTCCTTAGAAAAATGACTGATTCCAGGTCTAGGACAGGGCATTTATAAGATGAGCCTGGAACTTCGGCTTGAAGGAAAACTTCAGGGTCTTGCTACAGGGCCACATGAGCCAACTCTAAGGAGCTTCTACAGGCCGAAACTAGGAAAACTTGAGACACCCAACATATGGTAAAATCCATATATTTAAAAGAATCAGCATTCACCTACGACTCTAGCAGTATTATGATAATTGATTACAGTCAATCCTTTATCCTGCCTTTTATGAATATAATAGCCAAGCAGTTGATGAGGGGACACTTCTTAATAGAAAAAATCCAACCAATAAACGTAGGAAATGTGGCCAAAAAATGCAGTGAATGTTTAAAATTTTAAAAATTTATTACAGTGAAAGACACACCACAAATCCCCTTTAAAATACTGCCCCTCAGTTATCCCATTGTTTTTGCCATTTTCTGAAGCAGTTCTGAAAGACCTCTTAGGCTGTGGTGCTACCTTGATGTCCTGAATTGATTCAAAAATATCTTACCTGTCATTTTGACTTCAGGCACAGAGCCAGATCCAGTGAATTAGGTGGGTGAGATACGTGGTAATATTTTTACAACCTGCCTTTCCATTGGATGGCACTTAGCAGCAGCATTTCAGTAGCCGCTGTATTTTTTTATCACATGTCATAAAACACAAAAAGGACTTTCGGAACTGAGTTAGCAGGTGGCAAGAATGATGGGATAAGTGCATTCTAAGTGAGAGGGAGTATTTTGTGGGGGACTAATAGGAACCTGTCTTTTAAACACAGCAATTTTTTATCGGCCTTCATATAAAGTGCTAGAGTTGGAAAAATAATTTTTCCGGTTTCTATTGAAAGTATTTAGATAGTGATCAGTTTTAGACAATGTCAATCTTAGACTATCAGAAATGCCTGCCAAAACTGTAGGGTGGAAAGTATAGCCATTTAACACGATGATACAGCTCTGTTTTTATTAATCCTGGAAAATGTTCATGAAAATGTTGCATTAATATTTGGTGCATTTCTTTTTAGAAACACACATATAAATATACATATTTATAATGTATAAATGTATAGATATATTTTCGAAACGGTATGTACATTAAATTGTTAATAGTGTCTATTTTAGAGGAGTTATGGTTGTGTTTTATTTATTTATTTACTTATTTATTTATTTATTTATTTTTGGAGACAAGAGTTTTGCAAGTAGTTCTGGCCAGCTTTGAATAGACTATGTAGCCCAAACTGGCCTTGAACTCCTGGTGATCCTCCTGCTTCCACCTCCCCAGTGCTGGGATTATAGGTGTGCGCCCCATGCCTGTTGGTTGTTTGTGTTTTTGTGATTATTTTTCATATCTATATTTCTTGGTTTTTATACAGTAATGTATTATTTATAGATTTTAAATCATTTTAAATGAAATAAAGCCTAGGAAGATAGATGGAATTTTTTTTTGCAAAATGCTTTCATATCTAGTTTGTTCTAGAATGCACAAAGCATTATGAATGAAATTTTTAAAAAAATTAAATAAGAGTATATAAAGTCCTGAATTAAAGTTAAAAAGTCAGTTGTTTTCCAAAAGTCTGTCTCAAAACCAGAGCATAATAAGAAATGGGCTTGGAAAAAAAGTTTATTTTTAGAAGCCCTAGAGTTCTTGATTGACTTATTTAGGTCAAGAGAGTAAGTTTGCAGTTAAAAAATTCTAGTGGCTCGATAGGCTGTTCTGCCAAGAAGTATGTGATTAATGAGATTTTTGGTGCACTTGGCATGGATTAGAACACATCTGAAAAAGCTATTTGCTTCTTAAACTTTGAAACAAACTATGTGGAACGACTGAAGGAGGTCAGCATGGTCAAAGGCTGTCTCATGTGGAGATGGCGGCTCAGGGAGAAGGAGCTTGCAGGAAGCACAGCTGCATGCTATGAGTATTGTAAGAGCTGTTGTGGGGAAAAGTGATCAAAGATTGACTTTATTAGGAAGCAGATACCACTTAGGTCAACACAGGAGAGATTTCTGGATCCCTCAGTAAAAGGGGCCTTTTCACAGAACAGCAAAGAGTGGGGAACAGCTGATGAACATCATAGACTCAGTTCAGTTTTGGGAGAAAAATGGGGTAGTGTGAGCATTTAAATCTTTCTACCTACAAGGCTGAATCAACAGAAAGAAATAGATCTTATTCGCAAATAAGAAATAAAGAGTAGATTAAGGTTGAATCACAATTCCTGTCATTTTTACTTTTAGATTACTACCAAATTCTGACACTCTCACTGTCTGGGGTTTCCTGTATTAAGTGTAACTTGTACTGGGTGGTGGACTTGGGCTTCAGTTTCTTCTACCCTAACTGGGGGTTGGGGAGAGACAGAACTAAAGGCTTAAATGCACAAAACCACATGCCATCTCAGTGATCAAAGGCTGTTCAATAAACCATGAAACTAAGGAGCCCTGATGATTAAGAGTGTAGCCACCTGAGTTTGAATACTATCTCTATGCTTTCATTTTCTTACCTGCAAAATGGCAGTGTGACACCAGCTTGTAGGCTTGTGGAGAGCTTGGGAGTAGAACCATTATTATGCATTTCACATTTACTTGACATCTCTCCTTATTCAGTAAATCTCTGGAAGCCTTCATTATTCAGTAAATTGTTGGTGAATGAATGAATGAAAGGAACCCTACAAAAGCCCTTTACCTGGCCATAGATAACAGTGATACAAACTTATTGATGTACAGAGTAAATTGAGTTTATTTCTTCTTACATCCCAATCTGCCTTCTATGTTCTGCCCAATTTACCTACATAAATTGTTACCAGGGATAGAACTCATGACCTTGCACTTGCCAGGCAGGTGCTTGTGCCACTGAGCTAAACCTCTGGCCTCTGAAAAATGATTCTTGCAGGATTAGTTTTGTGGAGATTTGTTTTATAAAATACTTAACTTTGTATAAATGAGTTATGACTGTCTGAGACTACTTAGATGTGAAGACTTGAATAATTTTTGTGCTAGGCCTTATTTTTTTGGAAACAAGTTGATTGAAGCTGCTAGTTAGTTTTGTTTTAAAGATACAAGATAATTATGGCTGTGTTCCCTTTCATATACTGACTTCTTTGTTTCTCTGACTTTCTAGAGAATGAAGATCTAGAAAAAACCAAGACCACTTCTTCATTGGATTCTGCCTCTGATACAGTACTCCATTCCTCACCTCACAGGTAGGAACATGCAACTGCTTTGGATAAAGCATTTGTAGAAATTTTCTTATGATAATACATGCATTGGAGAAAGAAGTATCTGTAATAATAATAAAAGTTAACTTTTTTTTTTTTTTTTTTGGTACTGGGGATTGAACTCACAACCTTGTACTTACCATACAGGTGCTTATGCTACTGAGCTAAATCCCCAGTCCTAAAAGTTAACTTTCATCAGATATTTCTGTTTGCAATGTACTGTACTAGATATTAAAGTGTATGATCTCTTTGATGTTTCTAATAACACCAGTGAACTAAGTATACTTGCTTTTTTTATAAGATAAAGTGGATTGCTCAGGTTCCCATAGCTATAGCTTACCCTCATAACTGTCAATACAGGGTTTTGAGTTCTGTGCTCAGAGCTACTAGGTTACTATGTGAAAATCCTCCTGAAGGCTTTGGTTACATGAAACAATTCATGTTTTTATTGAATTCCCGGAGGAGAGCTCCTCTCTTTGTATCTTCCTGTTATTGTTCCTTTCCTGCTCATGTTGATGTAAAGGCTTTTGGGAGGATAAGTTTTGGCACAGAACTGTTACACAAATGTATTTAAGGCAGAAATGCAGACCATTCTTAGACAAAAGAAGATTTAATTTTAAAGACGTGTTTCTAGTATCTTGTAAGTGAAGCAAAAAAATCTAATGAGTGGGGCACTGGAAGCTTAGAGCTTGTGTTTTTCACCTATTGGAAATGGAAATGATACAACATTCTGACTTCCTAGGGTGGCTGGCTGGTGGACCAGGCTGTCCTCACTGTTTGGGCTGGTTTGCTCCAGATCCTCACAAACAAGAAGGTTTATTTAAAGTGGAGATTTTTCTTCTCTGTGCCTTATCACCAACATCAAGTAATTTATAATTTCTAATTCTTAAAATACCCTTCACCAGTTCTTCAGAGTGTAAAATGCAAATGGGAACATTAAATTTATATGGCTGTTACATATCCAGTTGAAAATTTTTTTATAAATCAGGCATGATGACACATGCCTATAATCATAGTACTTGGGAGGCTAAGGCAGGAGGATTGCTGCAAGTTCAAGGCAGCCTGCACTACAAAGTAAGTTCAACACTAGCCTGAACTGCATAGTGAGACCCTACCTAAAAAAGACAAAAAAATAGTTTTTGTAAGCAGAGCCATATTTGTTCAAAATAGTACATACATACAAAGAAGAGATTCAATTTCAAACTTATTTGAAATTTATTTATTTATTTTTGGTGTTGGGCTTTGAACCGAGGATCTTGCACGTGCTAGTCAAGCACTCTGCCACTGAAATATACCCCTAGCCCAATTTTAGATGCCATAGACAGAAGATCCAACTAATGATTCAGAGTAAGTGTTGTCATCTCGCCTTCCCAATATCATACCAGTCTGATCCAAAATTCCTCTTCTGGTCCCAAATAAAAATTAACATGTCCATTTATTCATTCAATAAGTATTTATTTGTTCAACAGATAATTGCCTACTGTATACCCGATACTGTGCTGGGTACTGAAGGTACCACAAATGAACACGTGGAGTTTACATTCTAGTGGTGAAGGCAGGCAGAAAACAAGTACAGCATGACTCATGGAGTCTGAGTTGCATCACCTGTAAGCTGTGTTGTTCTCTTACTTAATAGGGGACCCCACATGGAGAAGGACACCAGAAGCCAGCATCTTCAATAGAAAGATAGAAAAATCCCTCCACATAAAAAGGACAACAGAGCCAGGTGTGGTGGCATAGGCCTATAATCTCAGCAAAACAGGAGCTGAGGCAGGAGCATCGTCATGAGTTTGAGGCCAGCCTGAGCAACATACTGAGTTCAAGGCCAGCCTCGACTATAGAGTGAGACCCTGTCTCAAAAAGACATCCCCCACCCAGAAAAAAAGAGGAGAGCAAAGAAACATGAATGTGTCAAGCTTGGCACTGTAAGGGGAGGGGAGTCATACCTCCCTTGAGAATATGAACCACAAGACTGTAGGCATCAGGGCCTAAACAAAACTCTTAACAGAGCTTAATTTCACATCATCTAAGGTTGGTGGTGGTCATGAGCCGTGGCAGGAGCACATACACATCCCCCGTGGCAAGATCCTGTGTCAGTCCAGGCCCGTGGCAGTTCTAAGGCATCAATTTTTAAGATATCCTGTATTTCAGTTGTGCTAAACTCTAAAAGCACTGTGCATCTTGTAATCAACAGGATATGGTGGCTATTATGGGAGCAGTAATAAATACAATTTTAAAAAAGCAGGGTAAGGACATAAAGAGTGATGGAAGCTGGACATGGTGGCACACACCTGTAGTTCCAGCACTTGAGAGGCTCAGGAAGCCTGGGCTATAGAGTAAGACTCTGTCTCAAAGCAAACAGGCAAACTAAGAGTGACAGAGCAGGGAAGAGTGAATTAGTTTCTGGATGGACATCTCAGAATTCTCTCAGTGATAACTCAGCAGAGAGCAGAGGGAAGAACCCATAGTTAATTAGAAGAAGAATACTCTAAGCAGAGGCTACAGCAAGGGCAAAGACTCTGGAGTGTTGCTTAATGGGGTTGAGGACTGTCAGAGGTTCAGGAGGCCCTTGTCACTGAGGAGACCTGGGCAAAGCAGGGATTCTAGGAGACGAAGTCATAGTGCAAAAGGCCTGAGAGTTTCATGCTTAGTCATGGTTCTAGATGCTTTGCATGCAGAGAATAGCACCAAGGCTCTGGCATCAAGCCTGGCTCATATTAAATAGTGTCAAGATACAGAAATGGAGGCTGGGGATGTGGCTCAGTGGTAGAGTTCTTGCTTCGCATGCATAAAGCCCTGGGTTTGATACCCAGCAATACAAAAAAAAAAAAAAAAAAAAAACAACAGCAACAACCATAATAGCAAAGAAATGGACTGAGATTTCTGAGTTTAACACTATTTAAAATAGGCTCACAACAACTCACAGCGTACATACCCAAGCTGGACTTACTTTCATAGTCACCACTGCTTACTGATAGTCCTGAGGTAGGCCAGATGACTTAGATATTCCAAAAGATGGCTCTATTTACCTAAAGAATAAATTACTTATATACTAGGAATAATTATTTATGCTAATAACGAAAAATGAGAGACCCTAAAGTAAATGTAAGTGTAAAGTAAGTATAAATGTTTGTATTTTAAAATTACTAAGGTCCTGTTTACTGTATTAGAAATTAAAACTGAAAAATTAGGATACAATTATTCATTTAAATCAATAATTAACAGCCTACATATTAATATAAATAGCATGTGTTTAATGAAAAACAATAATTTTCAAAGCAAAGATATGTAGTAAAGACAAAAATATAAATCTCTTTAATGTTTGGCTTACTAAAAGACATTTGGGTTCTCATCTGTGCTTCTGGATTTATTTTGTTGTGATGTCACATGTCAAATTCTCTGGAATATTCCACACTTTGAGGAATTGAGAATGAAAAAAAAGAGATAATACTCCAATGTTATTATAAAAAAAGTTTTTACTTTGTAGCCTCCCCTAAAGGATTCTGAGGTCCAGGGTTCCCCAGACCATACTTTTCTAGCTGCTTATCTAAAAAATCCATGTCAGGGCAACCCACTTTCTGGGTCCCTTCTAACCCTCTCAGATAGAAGCTTTCTTCCAATAAATTAGTCCTATTCTTTAAAAAAAAAAAAAAAAGAGCCCTGTCATCTCTTACTTGCGACAGATTTTCAAAGGTCTAGAAGATTGTGCTATAGTTCTAGCACCTAACACATTATTTCTAGTTTCTCTAAAGCCAGGGGAAAAGAAAGAGCACAAATCATTCTCTTACCTCTTCAAAGTTGCTCACAAAGTTGTTTTTAGTCACTGGAGTAACTGTGCTTGAAAAGAAAAAAAAGTGATTGCCCTGGAGAGTGGACTGAGATAGGGTGTGAAGAGGCACTGCTCAGAGTGGTCCTGGAAGAACTGTGGAGAGGGTTGCCTTGCTAATCGTTTGGCACTTCCTTGGTGTTGGTGATTAACTTCTTAGGTAGCCCGCCCTTTGCTTCTATTCTGTGGCTTTGTGTGCAGGACCAACTTGGGAACCTAATTCTTTTCTCATTACAGTTCTGTGTGGAAAAATGGGCATGGCTATGACAGTAAGGAATAAAGTTAGACTCCTAGAGGCAGAGAGTAGAATGATGGTCACCAGTTGGGTGGGAGGACTGGGTTGAATGTAGAGGTGCTGGTCAAATGCTGTAAAGTTTTAGTGAGGTAGGAGGAATGGGTTTTGGAGATCTCTGACATGGAGGTCCATGGTGGTCTCGCACCAGCCCAAGATCTCCAGCACCCATCCTGGAGTGCTTGGAGGTGTCATTGTCCAAAGAGCTGCTGATTGCAGGCAAGGAGACATATGGGACAAATTATTGATTCCAAGCTTAATTCCAGAAAAACCTCTACTCTTCAAACAGCTCAGATAGAGAGAAGTCTGCTACTAAACCAAGTTCAGAACTGTCTCCCACAGGTGACTCAGGCAAATGAGAAGCTCATAAAAGAAATAGAAGTTGCTCCTTTTGGTCATTTCAATATTGAAAATATTGATGGGGTCTTCAGCAAAGTTATACAAATGAATAACTTTATTTGAGATGAATCAGGCAGATTCAAAAGAAGAGAGTTCCCAAGATAGTTTGGAGGATAGTTCAGAGTCCAAAGATGAGAATGACAGTGTGACCTGTGAAGTCACCATGGATAACATTAAACTTCCTTCCTAAGAAGGTGGAAAGACAAGATTGACTATTGGATAGTCCAGCAACTAAAAACAAGGAACAGTGAAATACATGATCTAAAAAGAAATAGGTGATACACACCTGCTAATTCTGTTAATTCTGCTTTCGGGGACCAAGATCCCCAGTCTCCCAAACGAGTGTACAGTGAAGGCTTAAACAAATGAGACAAGTAGTATGATTTTAGGGCTCTGGGAGTATCAAAACCCTCTAGCAGAGTTCGAGACTCTGGGGGCTGAGACAAAGAGCTTTTATGGGTGGCCCATATTTATTAGGTTTTCAAATAGAAAGGGGATACTGAGGAAAGCATGGGAACTGAGCTGGACCTTGGGAGTCACTTCAAAGACTTTTCCAAGCAGTAAATTATGCCAATTTACGAGAACTGTCATCTTTAGGAGAACTGTCATCTCCATGATGATATTTATGGTGGGAGTGAGACAGCAGGAGTGAGATGCCTGCAGCTGCAGTGTCTGCTTAATTGGGGTTGGAGCCAGGTGTCCTCAGCTGTAGCCTTATCTTGCTCTTTGAGGTATCTCTGGCATCACATTCCACTACAGGCCTCAGCCAGGACCAGTGATTCATAGAGGTTCACTTACTATGAATCTTCTGCTCATCTCCAGACAGGGGGCCTAGGCCTAGGACAGACTCACAGATAAATCAATTAGTTGATTTTAAATCCTACTCATAGCTGCTTCATAGTGGTCTCCATGAAATGCTCTTCTGGGTGATTTGCATTTTTGGTACATACAGTGCTCTTATGTGTTAAAGAAAAGCTTTAGACAAATTTAACAGTTTGAACGAGGAACTATTTATGAATTGGGTAGCACTTAAAGCAGAAATGGGTTAAGAGAGCTCTGCTGTGTACTGAGGGCAGCATGCTTTTATAGCTTAACAAATAAATTATAGAAATAACTTGATTAGTTACAGTGAGGCCTTTGCCTTCGTTGGACATGGCCTGATTCACTGGGGGTTTGGGATTGGCTAAAACTCAGCTGTTTGTGTTTTTTGAAATCCTGCTATTTGTTACAAAAATACGCTCCTATTTTAGCTGTTTGAGATATTTTCTTTGTGAGTCAAGTTATGCACTATGATTATACTTTGCACAGTAGGGTGACTCTAGTTAACAAATAATTTTTTCAGAATAACTGAAAGATTTCCCTACAAAGAAATGGTAAGTATTTGAAGTGATAGATATCATACACAGTGTTTACAGGTATCAAAATAATACATTGTACCCATAAATTTGTACAGTTTTATGTCACTGCAAATAAATAAAAAGAAAAAATTACAAAAAATTGCTAAGAAAATAGATTTTGTTCTCACAACACAAGTAAGCATGTGAGGTGCTGGATATATCAATTGGCCTCATTTGATCATTCCACACTGTTTACATACATCAAGGCATATTGTAGACCATAAATACATATGATTTTTATTTGTCTGTTAAAATTAAATAAAAAGAATAGCAACAAAGAAAACCAGACCTGGAGTCCAGCCCACATGACTGAACGGTGTGTGTGTTTACCATGGTTTCCATGGCCTGAGACCTGGTTTTGTCAGTAGATGTCTCCTTACACTGCTACTACTTTACTGTGGGTTGGTTCTGTGCTTAGCAATTGTCATCTGAGGTGATAGGAGACCTAAGTGCAGAGGAGGGCTGGAGTGTCCTTTGAACGTTGTTTTATTTCTAATAACCCTTAAACTGACATGCTTTTTTCTTCTGAGAGGCCACAGATGGTGTCTCCAGGGAGTAAGGATGCCACGAAAGATCTGCGGAAAGCAACCAGTACCTTGGAGAACAAGGCTTTGGGGGAGCAGGGTTTACTGCCTGCAGACCAGGCCCAGGTCCTCAACGAGGTAGGGAGGGTATTCAGTCTCAGATCAGAGGAGGAGTTTGTGGTACCAAAATTTAGGTACATGAGGGATGGGTTAGAATCAAAACCACTGCTTATGGTGGTTCCCAGAGTTCTCTCATTGCTCGTTTGGACCATCTCATTTTTAATCATTTGAAGAATGATTATCTGTATCTTGCACAGGGCCCATCATTGTATTGCACCCAGCAGGCACTTGTTCAGGCAGGGAAGGGTCAGAAAGGATATTCACTGAAATCCTCTTGGTATGTCAAGCACAGTGGCAGACACCTGTAATTCTAGCACTCCTGAGGCTGAGGCAGGGAAGTCGCTGTAATTTGGAAACCAGCCTTGGCTACATAGTGAGTTCAAGGTCAGCCTGGACTAAACAAAAAAAATCCTCTTGGTGTAATAGGCCTAAAGTCATTAACTGGGTTTTAATCTCACTTTCTTATGAATGATTTACCATAAATATATGGTAGAACATTGTAATAAAAAGTGGTCCTCTTGCCACAAGGAATGGGAGGTAGGGTTTATTTGTATTATATTAGCATAAGTATTAGAATCAAATTGGCATTTGTATCATTAAAACAATCAAGCATTATAAGATTTGCATAATGCTTTATAATTGAAAAGATTTTCTCCTCAGAACAACCTTGTGAGATGGATATGATGGGGTCCCCATTTATCAAGGCAGGAGGGGGAAAGGAAGGAAGGGAAAAGTAAAAAAAAAAAATGGGGAAGAAAACATGAAAACAAACTTTTTGTAAATGGGGAGGGGGAAAAAGTTATGTACTGGTGCAACAAATCCTCTATGATGTGATTGCTGTGTACCAATAAAATCCTATTTAAAAAATAAAACTTGAAAACGAGAAAACTAAGGCTAAGGGTTACTTTTGATTTTATTGTGGCTGAGAAGCTAAATCAATTATAGACTAAATCCATTGTTTAGCTTTTGGAAAAGTAAGAACTCCTTGAAGCATGCTAGCCAAAACCTGATTGGCTGCATTTAGCAGTGGTGTGGGAGCCAGAGAGGACCTGCTGTCCTGAAACAGGTACCAGGAGAACACACACCTGGGAAGGTGACAAACTTGATTTATTTCTCACAAGTCAGTTCCAGCCTCCTGACTGGATTGCAGACCCACTGACATGCACTCCCCTGTGGGCAGTGGGTATACATTTTTTTGTTGCATTTCTACCAGCAAGAGAACCGGCAGGAGCTAGAGGCATAATAGTATAAAATAAGGGCATAATCTGAGTGATTCAAAAGGAAACCCATTATAGAGTTTGCAGGCTTCAACATGATAAGTGAGGGCTGTGAGTATCAATTGCCATTTGTATTCTTCCACACAAGTCAATATCTGGCAACAAATGTACTGTTCAAATGCAAATCCTAGAAGTGATCTAAGACAAAATTGTAATGATTCATAGAACTTTGTTAGTGACAGAGGGTGAGACATGTACTCTGAGTTCTGAATGAAAGAGAGGCAAAGGGAAAGGGAAGGCAGAAGGAAAAAAGAGTGAGACTGAGCATAGTGGCACATACCTGTAATCCCAGTGCAGGGAGGTTGAGACAGCACAAGCATGAGGTCAGTTTGGGCAACTTAGTGAGAGTCTCAAAAAGAAGAGTAAAAATTGTAATCCCAGCACTGAGTCAGGAGGATCATTGTGAGTTCAAGACCATCCTGGGCTACGAAGTGAGCTCAAGGCCAGCCTGAACTGCATGGGGAGACCCTGACTCAAAAGACAAAAAAAAAGGAAAAAAGAAAAGGAAAAGGAAAAGTTCAGCTAGAAGAACCTGAGTTAAATCCCTAGTACCATGGGGTGGGGGGGATAGACAGAGAGATAGGCAGACAGACAGGGACTATAATGCCTTGGGGGAACTGACTGATGGTGATGTAAAGAGAAGTAAGCATTGAGTGGGAAGGAGCACCCGCTGTAGAAGTAACCCTGTAGCAGGAGAATATGTGGCAGAATAGGAGTTGAGCTAAACCCCAGGTGTGAGAGCTGTCGCAAGAGAAACCACAGGGTGGTCCTGAGTGGACTGAGGTGACACCAAGGCATGGCCCAGAAATACAGGTGATGCAGAGCTCAGTAACAAGCTGAGAGGATGTTTGTGAACAAGGACCTTACAAAGTCTGAAGCAAAAGTTGCAAAAGGTAGAAAGAACAAGAGAGAATCTTTAAGCTATGGAACATTTTGGCGATGTTAAATGTATAAAATTTGTTAGCAACTTGTACCCAGTAAAAAGAAGGAATATTGAATAGCACTTGAAGCTTTGAGTTGAGGGAGTGGATGGCTGAATAGATCAGGCTTTGTTGGAATCTGCTACTCTAATGTGTCTTTTAACTAGAGTTCTGTTATGCAGATGGCCAAGTACCAAGTTCCAAAAAGATCTGGGGACATCGTTATGATCCAGTCTGAGCACACAGGAGCTATCGATGTTCTTTCATCTGATTTGGAATCTGCAGATCTTCTGGGGGATCACAGGAAAGGTGAGACCTTTGGAAATGTAGAAGGTGTTTTCTTGTTTGTATGTTTTCAGTAGCTATGTAAAGAATGCAGGCAGATGGCTGGAAAGAAAAGGACTCACGAGAGGAAGTGAGAGAAACCAACAGAACGTCTTAAAACTATTAATCTCTAAAAATGTCAGGTGTGGCACAAGCTTCCCAGTAATCTGCCTATCCTTTCAGTCTCCCCGCCTCTGATGGCGCCTCCATGCATCTGGACCTTTGCCAAAGTGAAGGAGTTCAAAAGCAAGCTGGGAAAAGAGAAGAACAGCCGTCTGGTGGTGAAGCGCGGTGAGGTGGTGACCATCCGGGTACCTACCCATCCAGAGGGGAAGCGTGTCTGCTGGGAGTTTGCGACTGATGACTATGACATTGGCTTTGGAGTTTATTTTGACTGGACCCCTGTAACAAGCACTGACATAACTGTGCAGGTCAGTGACTCCAGTGAGGATGAGGAGGAAGAAGAGGATGACGAGGAAGAGATCGAAGGTAAATTAAATTTTAACAATTTGCAATTTTCTTCTCTGGCTCAACCTAATTACTAATGACCACTTTCTGGGCAGTAGCAGCCTCTTGCTTAGAACACAGGTAAGAAGAATCTAGGAACACTAGAGGGATCCAGTGTAGCAGGCTAAAGTTGAGTGGTGCAGGCCAGTCAGACCCTCGAAGAACATTCCGATGGGTTGGTACTGATACCTCAGTTGAAGGCTTCCTTTCCTTTTATTCATTACCTAGTTGCTTCCCAAATCTCTCTGTCAGATGGGGATGAGTGGGGGAATCAGGGTTTTCTACAATATATATAAAACTGAGCCAGGCATGGTAGTGCATGCCTATAATCCTAGCACTAGGCCAGCCTGAGCTACATAGTGAGTTTGAGGCCAGCCTGGACTACATAGTGAGATCCTGATTCTAAAACAAAACAAAACTGAGGTTATGTTATATTTCTCTTTTCACTTGGGGATATTTATCCTCAGCCTGGAATCAACTGAGTGATTGTAATTTGCCAATTGTGCCAATTCTTTCTCCCTTCCAAATTCATAACTGACTGACTACTGGGTTTACTCTCTGTTTCATGGCCAGAGCAGTTTTAAAAGTGGTCTCTATGTCTATTCAGGATGGTCCTTAGACATTTTGGGAGGATAATCTACGTGTAGGTTCTAAACTTTAGCTTTATTCCTTGATTTTTTTGTATAACCTTAAAATCAGTCCTTTAACTTGCTTCTTCAGGTCTGCAAGGAAGTCTGTAGATATTCATGGAGGAGGAAGACCTTATAACTTACTTGCTGCTTTTTGGGTAGAAGTTTTAGGGTCACTCTGCATAATATATGTATCTGTATTTCCTACTTTTGTTAGATAGTCATTAACATACTAGATGAAAGAATTTTCAGATCCTACCCTCCAAATGCCTGCCCCACTCAGAAGCATCCAGGTATATAGACTTCATCAACCCGTTATTATGTCTCAGTGGAGGCATCACTGACATCTGGATGGGCACCACTTTGTTGCAGAGGTGCTGTGCTGATTTTTAGCACTCCTGAACCCTGAGGTACTAAGTGTCAGTTTCACTCAGTAGTCACTGTAATGACCAAAAAGATTAAAAAATATCTTAAAATACCCATGTTGGGCAAATAACATCCCCTAGGCAGAAGTCACAGGGTCCTCCTTACCCACCCTCCTCTATCTTCAGGTAGAAGGTAGTCAGTCTCTGAATTCACATCCAGATACTCTGCTGTTTTGCTCTTGCAGAGCCCGTCCCTGTGGGAGATGTGGAGAGAGGTTCCAGGAGCTCCCTGCGGGGTCGCTATGGGGAGGTCATGCCTGTGTACCGGCGGGACAGCCACCGAGATGTGCAGGCGGGCAGCCATGACTACCCTGGTGAGGGCATCTACCTGCTCAAGTTTGACAACTCCTACTCCCTGCTACGCAACAAGACTCTCTACTTCCACATCTACTACACTGGCTGAAGGGTGCTGGGATGGGGCAGGCGTGTTTGCTGGCTGAAGCAGGCTGCAAGCTGGTGCCTCTTGTTTTGGATAGGCAAGAGCTGAAAGTCTGTGTGAGGCTCCTGGGCCTCATGCCCCGCCTGGCATGCCTGACTGTTGACCCCACATAGCCTTTTCCCTTTCTCGGCTTCTGCAGTTGATGGTGTAGCGTCCCTGTTCTGTGGTCCCTGACTCACGCTCTTGTTGCTTCAGATTCCAGAAAACCCCTCTCTGAAGGCACTTACCAGGCAAAAGCCTAAAAGGAAGTAGAATGTTTCCTTTTAAAAACAGATTTGTGGGGCCAGGGGTATAGCTCAGTGGCACAGTGCCTGCCTGGCAAGCATAATGTCCTGAGTTTGATTTCCGGTACCCACACACACAAAAAATAGATTTGTGTTGGTATAAGGCTTATCATTCAGATTGTTGCTTGCTCTTGAAATGTCAGTGCATTCGGTGGTGCCTGCCCTCTTTACTTTTTGAGATGCCAGAAGAGGGAAAAGCACATTGTTCGTGATGGAGCCCAATGTCTTGGGTAGAGAAAGCTCTGTCCAGCTTCTTACCACTGCCATATTCCTGCCTGCTGGGTATTCCTGGTCTCTGAAACAGGCTGAGAGACCTCACTGCCTTGGAAGAATATTATTCTTGGTAGTTAGACTCTTTTTTTCTCTTTCCTAAATCTGTGTTTTTGCCATACAGCAAGAACTTTCATGCAATCTAAAGTGATGATCAGTGTAACCTAAGATCTTCTGGGAAGAAAATTGGCCTCCATCACTTCTTGTTTCAAGAACTCGTTTCCTTTACCAAGGGTACCAGAAATTGAAAGCAGAAAGGGTGGGAATTAGGTACTGAATTGATCTCAGAACCTACACCTTTGAAAGTCAAGTATGACTCAGTTTTAAAAATATATACAATTAAGGAAGGAATGATACCATTTGAGAGTGAAACTTAAAAAAACACTCCAGATTCCCTACTTTTCTTTCTTCCTGTGTTTATGGTAAGAGTATTATTAGAAATTTTGTATTGGAATCAAATGGAGTGCAATTCAATCAGGTTTCCAAAGTTTCTGGTCTTAGGACATTTGGATTGCAGGCTTAAAGCTTTTAAGCTGGTTAAAGTCCCTTAGGAAAGGTGGTAATGAAACCTCACAGCTGCTGCTGATTGTATGTGTTCTTTATTTGACCAAAGCTTGCATTTCCCTGGTGACAGCCTTCCTTATACTGTTCACCCTGAGGCTCAGGAGTCAGGGCACAGGGCACAGCTGGTGCTATGCCCAGCGACCGGGTCCCAGGTGCCAGGGCCTCGGGTGGAGAAGGAGCACCAGATGAGGTGGGGCCCTCAGTAATCAAGCTGTACCTCCTTATTTCTTAATCCTGTGTTAAGTTTGTTACTCCCTTCCAATCTTGAATGATTCGATTTATTTATTACTTTATTTATTTTAGCATGTTTCATTTTGCTTTCGAAGCCGTTCCCATCTGTTTCTCAGAAAGCTTCCCATCTGCTCGGAGCCACAAAGGCCACTGCCTTTACAGAGGTAAAATGATGATTGTAAAAGAATTTGGGAAGTGATTAAGTTCATTCTCGCAGGTCAGTCCTGTGATACTTTGGGAGGAGTCTGCCTTTCAGGCATGGGTGACTGTAGCCTAGCCCATGTTTAGGGACAGCCCATTGCCCCCTGTGAGCAATTCTAAATTGTGAGGGAGTCTGCCCATTTGCTGGGATTTGAGAATAGAGGAACTGACTCGCCAATCCCATGACTAGTTAGTCACTGATTCCAGGGTTTCATAGTCCTCTGTTTCACACTGTTTCCTTTGGCAGTGCCGTCATTCTATGGACGCCTCACATTCTCCTCTCTATAGAAGCAATCACTGGAACAGCAGGACACTCAGTAGTTCCATGGTAGCATATTGTCAGGAACAAAGCACAGTACATCTGCCCCTCTGTTCCGTAGGAGCAGAACCCAAATAGGATAGTGGGTTTTGGATTGCCATAACATTCCCCTTCTCTCAGCAGCATCACACTTCCTTTATTTTATCACCATAGATGCATTTTGTAGAAGATTCCACTGGCCAAAATGTATATACATTGCGATAAGTTATTTTAGTGACTGTTTGGGCAGTGAAAAGCAAACTTGCTGTGCATCAGATAGCTGGGGGACTCTTTTTATCACCGAAACTAAATCATGCCTTAGCTAATTGAATATAAACTTTGTAAAATAATTTTCTACTGAGCTGTTTTCCAGTCAGTGAAAGCCACACTTATTTTTCCTGTTTATTATCAACTTCAAACTTTCTTTCAAAATGGAACATCAGGTCATACAGAGTAAGCTCCCAAGCATAGCACAAGTTAATTTTTCCTTTTGCCATGGGATTGTCTTTGCGTATTTTCTTTTGAATCCTAGTTTTGTTGCATGAGGGGAATATGAAGACTTGTTCTCCTCACTTGCGTGTGCCTCTTGTCTGGTCCCTCTTGAAGTCCTCAACATTGTTATATTACATTCCTTACTGCTTTTTTGTTTTTTGTTTTTGTCAGTGGGGTTTCTTTGTTCCATTAGCACAAAATAACTAGAGGAAGATATTTTAACAGTCATTATTCTCATACTAAGTTTCTAAAAATATTGAACTGTAGGAACAAAATTTAATTTACTGAATTACAGGTAATTACCGAGAACTTATGGCCCAGAAAATTCTACAGGTAGTTGCTTCTTCAGTCCTTTCCTGTTTAGTTTATAGAACGAGTGAAAAATCATTTGCCTTCATGCCTTCCCTGACTTCTAGAGCACAAATAATTATTAAGAAACAGTTAAAAGAAATTGCTTAATAATAGGGCAGAGATTGGAATTCTTTACACAGAATGACTAAGTTCTTTTTTGTTTGTTTAGTTTGCTACTTTGTTGAGAGCTGAAACTTCTAGAAAGGAAGACTTTTTTTTCTTTTTTCTTGAGATAGGGTCTCACTGTGTAGTTCTGGCCAGCCTTGAACTTGTTATGTAGCCCAGACTGGAGGCTGGCCTCAAACTCCGAGTAATCCTCCTGCCTCAGCTTCCTGAGTGCAGCTATTGCAGGCGTGTGCCATCATGCCTGACTAAGAAGATATATTTATTCACTTATTTATTTTGGTATAGGAATCGAATACATGACTTTGAGCTTGCCAGGCAGATGCTGTGCCCCTGAGCTCCATCCCCACCCCAAGAAGACATATTTAAAGTGTTAACTTTTTCCAGAATTTTTTGGGTGAAAATTCTCAATAAATAAAAAAGTATAAATACACATGCATGTGGCACATTGAATTTAAAATTATCAACTGCTAATTTTTTTTCTCAGTCTCACTGTGTAGCCTATGCTGGCCCCCAACTTGCTGTGATCCTCTTCTCTCACCTCTAGAGTGCTGGGATTGCAGGTGTGTGCCACCATGTCTGGTCCAACTGCTAATTTAATTTTTTTGTTTTGTTGTGGTTTGGTTTGGTTTTTTGAGACAGGGTCTCACTATGTAGTTCAGGCTGGCTTTGAACTCACTGTGTAGCTAGGCTGTCTCAAGGTGATCATCTTGTCTCAGTGTCCCAAGTGCTGGGATTATAGATATGCACCACTATATTCAGCTTTAAATGCTAATTTTTAAATAAGGATGATTTCAACACATTTCTTTTGACAAGTGTCCAATTAGAGAATGTTCTGTGTTAGAGAGCCTGGGTTTTTAGCAGGCCTGTTTCATCAATGTGGCTTACTTGGGGTGTCACTGATCTGGTCCCTTTTTCAAAACTTAATGCTGACTTCTCCTTCCTCAGGCTGTGATCACCACCATTTTCCTTTCTAACTAGCGTGTCAGTGTGAAGGTACTTGAGAAGCTGCTCTGGAGACTTTTATTATATGTTGCTTTGTGACACATCCTCAGGATTCTGAAATTCAAACTAAATGCTTAACATGTAGCTTTATTACAGAAGTAGATAGCAAGTTGAAATTAGAATATTTTTTCATAATGAATTGATTCATGCACTTTAAAAATATTTTTATCTGTTATTTAGGAAAGCAAAGTAGACTTGTAAAAGTGTCTATAAAAGTCTCATTATAATATAGATATGGAAGAATTGCATCTGTAAGCTCATTAAGTCTTATGTTAATCAGTGGAATTAGTACTGTGAAATTTATAACACAGAATTTTTGCAGAGCCCCAGTCTAGTCCCTCATAAGAAGATTAAGTAAAATCCAAACTGTAAAGTCTGTATTTTGTATATATTTTTAAAGACCATTTCTCTGCAAAAAAAATTACCTTTTAACCTCAGAGGCTGTGGTTTTAAGGTACAGAGTTGAGTAACTTCAACATATATGAAAAAGATTTTTATTTCAGTGGAGAGAGAGGTAGGCACAAACTAAGTAATTTTGTGCCACCTGAGAACTGCCTTTTCAGCTGATAGCAAGGACTGAAAACAGAAAGAGAAAGCAGAGCTCTCAGATATATCCAGGAACTTTGCTTCTTCTATCCTGATTGACTTTTGATGTGTTACTTTGCATTCTGTTCATTATAATTGTTCTTTAACCTAAAAGTCTTACTGGTTCTCCTTGTGTATATTAAGAATCTCCACATCCCTTTATGGTCTTTCTGACAGAATCAACTAGAAACTCTCTTCTTTTTGCAGTACTGGGAATCAGGTCCAGCCCTTTTTATTTTTTATTTTGAGACAGAGCCTCACCGAGTCACCCAGACTGGGCTCCCATTTGTGATCCCAGTGCTGGCATTATAGGCACACACCACTACACTCAGCTCCATCTAGAAATACTTTTGAGGGGCTGGGGATTTAGCTCAGCGGCATAAGCGCCTGCCTTGCAAGCAGGCAGTCATGAGTTCGATCCCTGGTATCGATCAAAAGGAAAAAAGACCAAAAAAGAAAGAAAGAAAGAAAGAAAGACTTTTGAATAGGACTCCTCTGAAAAGCATAATTCTGACCTGAGGGATGATTTTGTCTCTCTGTTCTTTGGAATTTATGAGACTAGAGCCATGAAAAAAATAGTGGAATTAGAAAAAGGCTTAGAGGAGTTAATTCCATTTGTGGTACTATCACCACAACTGGTTTTGGATACAGCCAAGAGGATGAAATAATTTCATTTTGGTTATTATTACCTAAGAGTCTAAAACTATATGAGTGGTTTTGGGTAATGGGTGGGCCACTGGAATCTCACTGCCTTGGCATTTTTAATCTCTGTGAGATGAGTGGACACAAAGCAGTAAGTTGAACACACCACACACAGACTTTTGTCCCTCATAAGACTTCTATTTAGTTTCCCTTAGGGAATAAAAGGTCCCCATCAACTTAAGTAGTTTTTTTTTTTTTTTTTCAGAGTGTTTAACTGGTTTCTGTCTAGGTATAAAATGCTGGAAAAGGGAAGAGCAGCCATCCCTGCAGAGTCTTGGTGTTTCTGTCTGAAGGAAAGTAATTCCATTTTGTTGCTGTGTGAGGGGAAGCTTGTTAAAGGATGTATGTTCTTTATAGAGAATAAGTCCTTGTAGCCATTGTATGTTTGTGGAATCAGGGAGTCATCACATATGCTCAGGGAGTCATCACATATGCTGCTTTGGAGAGCAGGGAGTGAGTATGAAAACCAGTCACAAGTATCTGCTTTCCATTGACCCAAGTACTCCTCCCCACCCCCACCGTGGCCTCTTTTTGGGAATGGGAGACATTCAGGCAAGAAATGCCTTGGCTTTGTGTGTATATCTGGTGATGGTCAGAGGCAGCCCTTTGCTCTGTGAAACTCATCTAGCACCTATGGAAAATCCCTAAATACCATCTCAGCTATTGGTAAATGATGAGATTAGGCCTCAGTATCTGACCCAAAGTTTAGAAAATTTTGCTAAGCATTGTATAGCCAGATTTCAGAGTCACTCCTCTCTGGAGTATGCATTGTCCCTGCTTGAACCAGGAGGGTTACACAGAGGCTATCCTGTTTGAATCCCTTTTATGGAAGTTAGGCAAACACAATTAATGGCCCAAAGCCTGATATAGTATAGATAGCATGGCTCATTTAGAAATTTTAATTCCTTATGAACTAAGTCCAAAGGCAAGACAAGTGGCTTTGAAGTTGTTTGTAATCCTAGTCACAGGTTTGAACTCATGATCCGATTGCTGTTATGTGTACCAGTTTTTCTAGGCCGCAGGCATGTAGACCACATTTCATGTCATTCTCTTCTTCATTCTAAGACAGGGAGAGTGAACCTTTTTGAGCTTTCAGTGACACATTTCAGTGATATCCCCTGCAGCACATGTACTGTAGGTTCACCACCACTATTGTAAAATATGATGAAAAGCCATCCTAGAAGTCTAAATGTCGGGTATTGTTATGAAATTTCACAATTTTCTTATCGTTTTACCAGATAGTTCTGTTTATCTAAGTGTAAAATAATATATATGAAATTACTTTCAGGGACTATATTTTCTAAATTCTGATATGAGATTATAGACAATTCTGAAGTTTTGGGTTGAAATATGATAGTATATAGCAGTGATGGTAAACCTTTTAGAACTTTCAATGATACACTGCAGCGTGTGTGCCATAGGTTTGCCATCACTGGTATAATAGTATATACCAATGGTACACCAGTGGTACGTAGTATTATTGACGAGCCTTTAATTCCCTGTTAGTTTAAGGGTCTGTCTTCTTGAACTTCATCTCTCAGGGTTGAAATGCCTAGTCTGTAGTATTCTTTGTTAGAGATTGTTATTGTTGACTTTAGATTCAGGCCATGAATCATCTAGAAAATATCTTAATCCCGTCTCTTATGTCCTAAATTGTACATTTTACTTAAGTCCATGTTTAAAATACCACTTGTGTCTCTTCAGAGATTTTTGTCCCATGAGTGAATTAGCTTCCATTGAACCAAGCTGAGTTATTTCCATTTAGCCATGTTAGAGAACAAGTAAAGTCTCCAGAAAGCAATCCTATGACCCATGACTCTGGTATGCCCATTTTTCCTTAATAATAATGGGAAGTGTTTCGAAATTTCCAGAAGAAATGCTGGGATGCTTTGAATTTTTAAAAAAATCATCTGTGAAGGGGTTGGGGATTTAGCTTAGCAGCATAAGAACCTGCCTTGCAAGCAGGCAGTTGAGAGTTCGATCCCCAGTACCGATTAAAAAAAAAAATCATCTGTGAATGCTTTATAATCAAAATAGTGCATTCTAAGAAAGACTTTGGCCAGGATAATGGGAAAACAGGGAGGTGCTTGAAGATTTTCTAAACTACCTTATGCCATTTAGCTTATATTTCTGAAAGCTCTGCTTGTTGCTATGCACTCTTCTATTAGTTGATTGAAAGTGTTTCCTTGGTCAATATTTAAGCAGTTGCCAACTGTGAAGATAGTCTTTCTATTCTACAGTGTACATGGATGCTGACATTAAAAAGAGGATTTTGAAGGGAAACTATACCATAGCATTTTTTCTTTAAAATACAAAAACAACCACTAATCATCTATTTTAGACACCTTGTTTTATATATCACCCTACCTTGAGGAATGTGTCAACATCAACAATTTCTATGTTAAGAACCCCAAATTGTTGCTTATGTCCTACTGAGTGGTTTTTTTTTTTTTCATTTAAAATACCAGATTTTATTACCCTGTGGCACTGAATGTGTTGTTGTGATAATATTCTATCCTGAGTTATGTTCTTTAAGTAGTTTGGTTCTTGTGGTTTTATATTATGTAACAATTTTGTGACGCTTTTGTGCATTCTTTGTCTTCAGAGTTTTGAAATCTGTCATAAATAAACTTTTTCACTGTGCAACTGAAATATTTTGAGTTACTTTATTGAATCTGATTTGCATTTTAAATGGTCTTTCATCACCTTTTAAGAGAAAAGATATTCTGTGAAACTTTATTTATTTATTTATTTAGTGTAATATTGGGGGTTGAACCCAGGACCTTCACACTGAGGTATACACTCCTAATCGCTCACATGACCCCAGGTCTTGATTTAAGTTGTCCAGGCTGGGACTGAATTTACAAGCCTCCTGCTTCAGTTTCCCAGGGTACTGCAATTATAGGCATGCACCACTACATCCAACCCACATGAGTTTTTTATATAAATCTATTAAGATTATAAAGATTTAGAAAAAATGAGAATAAGATAAATGATAAATCTTTAATCTGCATTTAAATTGATGGTAGAGTAGTAAGAACTGGAGGCTGGGTTTGGAAAAATTGGGATTATAGTGACGATTAATAAATAGACTTAAATTTTATGTAGTATTTGGTCTCTAGTGATGCTCATATTCTCATGAACACACTCCCCAGATTTGGAACCAGTACTTTGGACACCAGGCTTATCACTAACATAGTCTGAATAATATTCAGGCTGTTGTCATTTACAAAAATGTCAATGTAACATATCTTTGACTTACTTTAAAATACTACTACTTCATAGCCCTCTGGTATGCACTACAGAATGAAGACAAACCTGGGAGAGGTACCATTAAATATTTTCTTTGGTGATGTCTGTGGCTCTGAGATGAACCTGCTAGACCATTCTCTGTTTTCCTTTACAACATACAGTATTATAGAGCCTGAAATATAATTAGGGAGTCTGAAATAATGAGTTTAATGCATGTAATATGCCCACTAAAGTATACCACAACCAGCAATATAGCTAGAGATCTTTAATAAGTCATGTTTGGATATACTGGATAAAATGTGTCATGAATAGATAACAGAATTAATTATTTTTTAATTTTTAAAAGCAGTATATCTGTCCTGTCACTGACCTTCACATAACTCAAAATCCTATAAAGCAGCTCACAAATTGCATCTTTTGACATTCAGTCTTGATCTTAACCCTGTGGTAAACTCGGCAGTTACCAGAGTTTGGAGTATTCTCCCAAATGGTATCTGTGCCCCTGAGTCAAGAACTCTGTAAAGTATGTTTAAAAGTTGAGAGGAACCTAAAAAAAAAGTTGATTACATGTAAAATTAATTATGTGTGAATTTTTTTTTCATGAGTTCGATCCCTGGTACCGATAAAAAGGAAAAAGACAAAAAAAAAAAAAAAAACAGTGAATATTTAAATTTTTCAAAATTATTATAGTAGATGGGCATGATGGCACATGCCTAAATCCTAGTACTTGAGAGGTTGAGGCAGGAGGATTGTCACAAGCTCAAGGTCAGTCTGAACTACACAGTGAAACTCTATAGCCAAAAAAAATTAAGTAAATTTTTATAGTAAAAGACATTGCTAGTAATTCTCAAAATATTCTTCCTTGGGAACTAGGGCTGGGGGAGACAGGAAAAAAGGGGGAAAAATTGAAGAAAAGTAGAAAAAATGGAACGAAGCTTTTGTAAATGAGGGGAAGAGTGGTTGAAATGAGGCGAAGGGAATGGGAAAAAATCAAGTTATATTATGTACAGGTATAACTTTTCTATAATTAATATCATTATGTTTACCTAAAATATACCAATAAACATAATTATCCATTGAAAATAAAACTCTTCTTCCCTTCAAAAGTACTTATCATTCACTCATTCACACCACTTTGTAAAGAAGTTGTGGAAGTCCTTTTTTTTCTTAATGCAGTACGGTAAAAAATTCAGTGAATGTTGCTGCCAAGTGGCATCTAACAGAGACAGGCTTCCTGGATCTGGCACTCTGCAACTTCAGGCTCTTCCCCCAAAAGCCAAAATAACCATGAGAGAGAAACTGTAAATCAGTTCAGGACATCAAGGCAGCCACACAGTACAACTGAAGACTCATCTTATGAAAGGTAATTTTTGGAGTTGCTTAAGAAGGTAGTAAAAACAACAGGACAGCTGGTTGTGGTGCTGCACCTCTGTGGGAGGCTGAAGCAGCAGGCTTGGCGTGAGTTTGAGGCCTGCCTGGGCGCAGCTAATGAGACTGTCTCAAAACCCAAAACAAGAAACAACGAGATACGTGTTTGAAGCAAGGGGGGGGGGGTATTTTGAGAGTTATTAATGGAAATGGTCTTTTACCATAGTTAATTTTGTAAAATTCAATCTGTACTTTTTGATCACACTTCATATTAATTCCACAGAGTTGAAAGATCTGCTAACACTAGTATCAGGCCACTCTAACCATTCTTCCTGCTCTGTGTCCATTCCCTCTCTGGGGAGACTTGGAGTCAGGCCTATAGCTGTCGTAATCAGGTGTCTTTTGCTTGTCCCTTACAGATCTGACAAATGATAGGGAAATGGAGGGCTTGATTTGTAATACTCAGTCTTCTGAGATAAGACCCTACTGGAAAATTTCTCCTAAAAGGTGATGGTCTTTGTTATGGTCTGAATGCTCATCTTCCTTCCAAAACATACTGAAACTCTATCCCTATTGCCTCAGCATGTGGCTTTAGGAGGCGATTAGGCCATGAAGGCTTTGACTCATGAATGGGATCAGTGCCTTACAAAAGGCCACGAGGGAGAATAGTCAGGCTCTGTTTGACCTTCTGTCCCTTTGACCATATGCGGACACAGCATTGAAGGCATCACCTTGGAAGCAGAGACCAAAATCTTCACCAGACACTAAACCAACTACTTTGATCTTAGATTTCCCAGCCTCCAACTATGTTAAAAAAATAAATCTGTTCTCTATGCATTATGCAGTTTTAGATATTTCATTATGGTGGCACAAATAGACTAAAACATTCTTGAGCTGGGTGATACATATGACTCCTGAAAACAAGAATTTATATGCAGACTTGAGGGAGTCACAGAGGGGATAGTTTTAAATACTTTTTATAGAAGCTTAATTATTGCTACACCTGGTCTTCGCTTCTTTACGATATTCTAGGGCCCCAAATACAGGAATTACAGGAGGCTGAGAGGAGAGTTTTTCATGGTTGCACAAAAGGGTATCTTTCAATTTAATATGCATTTATGGACGAGTGCTAGTCATGTGCTTCATTCTGCAATGACAGGCAGGTCCAGAGAAACTTGTGGGAATCCTGCACTCATATAGGGAAGATTTAGAAATGAGAAAACATGAGTTCCTCTAAGAATAGCAAAAGTGGTTATCCTGTCATGTAGCCTGCCCTGGGTCTCAGGAGAAAGGCTTGGCTCCTGTGGGATAGGGCTAGTCAGCAAAACATCAGGTCTCCACATTCTTGAACAGCAGGGCAGTTCACCATATTGATGGCCTGGACTCCAGTGGAGTCCCTAGGGTTGGAAACACAAAGTAGCCTCACTCAGACTAAAAACTGCAGGTCCACAGATGAAGAGACACTCTTTCTCCTAAGCTGTAGTCATTCAGTGACCGCAGACATCTACTCATCCCACTGCTTCTCCCCCACCTTCCCTCCCAGTTGATCCCCAGTAATGGTCCTCTGGGGCTGCATTCTCTGCTGCCTTCCCAAGCCCATCTCCCAGCTTCCCTAACTTCCTCATAGTCCAGTCTCCAAAGCCCACCGGAGATAGCAGAAAAGTTGTCCCTGAGGCTCTCCCAGGTGAACAGGGAGGCAAGAATGGTTCTCAGCCCTGGCCTCGAGACCAGTCTGTGTTCCCACAAAATGTGTGCAGAGTTCCCATATCTTAGGTTCTAGCTTTAAAAAACAAAAACACCATGATCTGAGGAGATAGACTACTGTCCTCCCAATACCAGTGTGTCTGAGAACCAAAGGTTAATGTTTAGTTACTTCCTCTGGGGGTGCACCTAACTGATGATCCCTGCAAAAACCTAGCGCTTTCCAGGTAAGTTACTGCAAAGGAGCCCTGAGTTTATCTGGCTTAGACATCTTTCTGGTTTTGTAGAGGATAGGTTTGTCTGGCTTTAAGGGAATCAAGAAAGGAGGGTGTGATGGTTACGTCAGATCGATTAGGCCACAGAGTACCCAGATAAAACGTTATCCTGGATTGTGTGGGAGGATGTTTCTTTTTTTTTGCCGGTACCGGGGATCGAACTCACGACCACCTGCTTGCAAGGCAGGTTCTTATGCCACTGAGCTAAATCCCCAGCCCCAGGAGGATGTTTCTAATGAGATTAGTACTTGACTGGGTGCACTCAGTAGAGCAGACGGCCCTCCCCAGTGTGGGTGGGTATCACCCGGTCTGTTAAGGGAATGGATAGAACAGGTGAAGGAAGAAGACTCCCCCTTTCCCTGCCTTACTACATCAGCAGCGACAGCTTGTCTCGTCTTCTCTAGCTCCAACTGGGATTTCCACCATTGACTTCCCCAGTTCTCTTCCCCAGGTGTTAGGATTGGGACTGGATTTGGATCCAGAGGAAAAGCTATAGCATTTGTTCCCTGCCTACCCTCAGCTCAGGACTGACTCTTACATATCAGAATACTTGTTGAGCTACAGGACCCAAACTAGGGGGAAAATATATAAAATGAACATTAGATGAGGGGAAGTTTTTTTATTTTTTTAAGTGAGCCAAAATTTTTATTTATTTATTTCTTGCGTTTAAAATATTCTTCAATGACATCCTTGGCCTGAGATTCTTTGCCGTAGTCCTTAACCACCACGTAACTGCAACCCACCACTTTGCGGGGTTTCCCCTCTCGGTCAGTTTTACAGAGGACCACCCATTCCCCTAGTTTCTTGTTGTCATCAACCTTAATGAGGTTGATCTGGTGTTCAGCACAAAGGGCCTCCACTAGCTTTACATACATGGGCTCATCACAGTTGGATGCAAGCACACAAAGATGAGCTTGGCGTTTGTCTAAGGCTTTGGCAGCTTCCTGAATGCCACATGCTAGGCCATCGTGGATGAACGTGGTCTTCAGCACCTCTTGTAAAGCAGTATTGATGTCCATTACACCTCCAGCAGCAATGCCTTCCTCGTCCGTGGTGGCGAGTTATGGGTGAAGTTGAATCTTGGAACACACCGACCCTCCGCCTCCATGCCACTCGGTGGCGGCAGGGAAAAGAGCGGGAAGTTTTTTTAAATGACTGTTTGTTAAGGAGATTGTATCACCTCTTTACCTGATTAATACTTCCTTAAGATCCATAATACTTTTGCCATTAGTTTTAGGTAATTGATGGGCTCCCAGGTTAAACAGCTTAATACTGTATTCTGATACTAAGAGGTGACCTAATTTGAGTTAAATTAAGTCAACTCCTGCAAGTCACCTTGGAACAGGTAGGCAAGAAGATAAACAACAGATATACAAAGTTGAGTGATAGGATTAGAGCCAGCTAAACTTCAAGGAGTAAGTGCAGGGACATACAGCAAGAGCAGGAGCCATGATGTGTTGTATTTATGGCCACACCTGCACACATCCTAGCTTCTAGCCTGTAAGGGCTAGGTCACCTGGGAGGGCTCCCTGCATGTGGGCAGACTGAACAGAAGAAAAGGCTAGGTCACTGCTACCTGGAGTAGTCCACGCATCAAGATTATTTTATTCTTGGAATAGGCCATCCCTCATTAGGTCTAGTTCTTTCCAGAATCATATAGGGCAGGAGGAGGGGCCTCAGGTTGTCTGTGTTTCTGTACCTTGTCCCAGATGTGGATTCTGTCTAGCTCTCTCTTGCAGATGTCTGTTGCACTTCTGTTCTTTGGAGACTGAGTAAAAGTTGAGGGGAACCTGGTACCAAGCAGTGCTAGAAATCCTTTAGGGTAAGATGGGCTCATGAAAGCTCGTGCTGGCCAGGGGCAGAGCCAGCTGCCTCCCTATTTTAGGAGAGTGGCGGTGGTAGCCCAGGTGGCCAAGCCACCCCTCAAGTTGGCCTACTGCTCCTCTGCTCCTGCTGCCTTTCCAGGTCCAGGGACATATGATACAACAGTTGTTGCAGGAGTACACCTGAAGATGGGGCCTTCTTTCTCCTCACCAAATTGGAACTCCTTTTAAAAAAGCCACCCTCGTTTCAGACATCTACATCAGGTGACAATTCCTGATTTCTGGGCTGAGCTTAGTCTTTTGTCAAGTAGAAGTTTCTTGTGGAAAGAACAAGGGCGTTTTATGTAGCCAAACAAATCTACAGTAATTAAGGAAGCAGTTAGCAGATAGCAGCAGAGCAGGGCAGGAATACTGCTGAGTCTCCTCCATCATCGTCCTCTGTTATCTGCCTTTCTACGTTTGGGTTTGCTGGGACAAACCTGCCTTGGCGAAAAGAGTGGCTCACTTTGGTCATTCTAGATTTGGAACCCAGGTCCTTTTGAGAAGAGAGGCCACATGACCAAAATGCAGGGAAACCGGGTGCCCTGGGGCTGAGCTGGAGAAAAGGGATGAGTGGTTGAAAGGTGGCTTCCATTTGAATCAGACACATAAACCTTAGCTGTCGGAAAGCTGGACAGGAGAAACTGAAATCTCAAGTAGGTCCCAAAAGCTCATTTTGTTTCACCAGTCTTCCTACAACAACTCTGCCCCGAGGTGGTCCCAGTTCTGCCCAAGACTGCCAAGCCCGGGGCTTGTTCCCCCAGCACAGCCCATGGTGATTTGCCACTGGTCTCCTGAGCTCAAACTGCTGTTTGTGTTCCCCTGAGGAGTCTGCCCCTCACTCCCAGGCCCATTTGTAACCGGGTTTATTTAACTGCTAATGCAGACTGGTCTAAGAATGATGCATATGAGGTTATCTTGCCTCTCAGGGCTGGAGTGGGACAAGTCTAACCCTGGGAATTCAGTGGGCTGCTACGTGCTTTCTTTCCTGCTTCTTGTATTTGTTTTCCTGGATCCTGTTTCTCAAGCAGGCCTTTGCGCTATTTTTCTTCTCTGTCTCTGGCTTTCAGGGCAGCCAAGTGGCTGGCTAACTTCCTGAGTTAGGCACACAGATTCCAATTAAAGGCAATGTTCATCATCTGGACCCCAGCTCCGTATACTCAACAATCTGGCGGGCTGGGAATGACCAAACTGCAATGTGAACGTTTCTCTGGAGTACTGTTAATAAGGGATGAGAAAATGAGTCCAGGGTTTCTCAAGGTGCTTTGGTAAACTTACCAGGCATTTTAATCCACATTTTCATTTTGTCTTCACGGTGATACCATGATACAGATAGCAGGTAACATTTCAGACATTTGACAGATTATGGGATTGAGGCAGAACGAAGTTCAGGGGGAAAGCAGACCCACAGCTACAGTTCAGATCCAAAGGCTAGGGTTCAAGTCTCCTGCCTCACCACTTATGACTCACTTGTCTCAGCCCACCCAGCACCTGCCTGCTCCTCTACCTTGCCTTGTGCCAGTGGGGCAGGGTTGGGAGCTAGGCCCTCAGCTCAGCAGGTGTATCTGGCTGCCGGCTGGGGTGAGACACTTGGAAGGCCTCCAAGGCCAGCAGTGTCTTGTTGATGCGACTGATGGTTGGGTAGGGGTTGAGATTAACCTTGAACCTGTGGGAGAGAAGCACCTTGTAAGGCAGAGTTTTCATGGACAGAGTAGGCAGTGAAGGGAAAGGAGGCAGGGCTAGATAAAGACTATGAGCTGACCAGGGAATGATGAGGAAGCTGCCCTGCTGTGCGGACCCTTGTGCACAAGTAGCTTTCTGGGGATGGTTGGTCTTGTGTGGTATCATTTGGCATTCTGTTACCTACTGTTTCTTCTATCTAAGCAATAATTCTATTGAGACCCACTATGTACCAAACCTAGTACCAGCTTCTTGGGGGTATATGTTTCTATATCCCTAACACCTAGCTCGGCAAGGTGCCTTCCAGAGAGGTACTCACTCACATGCAACTGAAGGGCTGGTAGAGGAAAACAGGCAGAGCTCTCTGTAAAGCACAGACCTGGGATGGCCGGCTCTTGCAGAGCCACTTTCTCTTAGGAGCAGGGATTGCCTTACGGGATCACCTGGGGTACAATGAGCTCAGTAGGACATTTCACTGATGTTTTTCCACCTTGTCTCTTTAGGACCAAGGTGGTTGCTGTAGTCCAACACAGTGGGCCCCTTGGCCAGTCAGAAAGGGTTTACATGAAATGCTACACAGTAGCTGAAATGGGAGGCCCCTCTGGATGGAAGCAGAAGGGAGGACAGCAGGGCTCTCTTACCTTTCAGCGTTTGCTACCTGAGGCACTAAGCACAGATCAGCCATGGATACCTGAAAGGGGATCCGATGGGTTTGTGCTGGGGTGCGCACCCCAGACTCAGTGTAACCATGGTGACCATAGAGGGTGCCAGCCCCTGATGTTCCCAACTGCCTAGGCTCTTCCACCCATCCCTACCACCCGCCCTCACCGCTGTCTCCTCTGGATTGTCTGGCTGGGTACCCGGAGCCACACTGCCTCTTCCAGGCTGAGCTCCAGTTGCCCAAGCCAATCAACAATGTGGGTGGCCAGAGAAAGTTTAATTCCCTTGGTGATGTTATTGTGCCACACACTTAGTGAGGGTTCCCAGCAGGGAGCAGATGCCTCAGGAGCCAAACAACCAGAACTCAGAGCCAAAGCCTGTAGCATTAAAGAGTACCTGAATCCTAGAGTCTCAGAACTCTAGTCTAACTCCTCAGCCAAAGCCTGGCTTACTGGCTGTCTTGGAGGGGCAGTCTTCTGACATGGATACCTCACTTCCTCTTGGGGTAGCTCAGGAGCAGCTAGGAGTTCCCCATAGCTGACTGCCTAGCTAGAGATCTTGACAAGAGGAGATTTAGCATGCTATTGCATAAGCCTCTGCAGGAAGCCATGAATCCTGGCTACCTGAGGAGGAGGAGATGGCTAAGTCTGCATGGGAGAGAAGGGCAGCCCAAAGGCTGCAGGAGGAGGCCTGGTGAGCAGGTATGGGGACACCTACCTCATCTCCTATGCAGCACTTCCCCGCTGTGCTCTGCAGGATCTGCTCCAGAGCTGTGGGGAAAACACAGTCACCTCACTCTGGGCACAGAAAGGACACATCAGCCTTTCTGAGCCTTGGCCTCTGTAGTTATGCAATAAGTGGTGATGGGGCTTAGGTACTAGAAAATTTGTCACCGCCAGGAGTGAAGAGTTTCTGGGGACAAGCCTGGCTCCTCATGTCCAGCCACAATTGCTTAAGTGGAGTGGATGAGACTTGTAGCCGGCCTAGGCCTCAGCTCTCAGAATGAGGCTCTCAGACTGCTCTCAGACTGACAGCTCTCAGACTGACAGGTCCAGGCTTTTGCTGGTCTTGGTTTGACCTGAGTGGGCAAGGAAGCAGAAGATGGGCCATCATCCAGTTCTGCAGGACTGTGGACCTCCCGTACTGAGATTCCCAGAAGTGCTGGAGCTTGAAGCCAGGCTTGAATGCTTGCCCAGTCTGCTGCCTCCTAGCCCTGCCCTCATCAGTGCCACTGCCAAGACCAAAACGGCCTGGGAGGCTGGTGGATGCTCAGGGCCCTGTGCTCCAGGGTCATTTTTCTGAAGGTCACTTCAAGTGACCTTTAAGCAGCTCACAGAAGTGAAGACTCACCATTAAAGCCAGAACTGATGACCTTCTGAGCCCAGGACAGCTGTTTCTCCGTTCCCACTTCATTCAGGACAGACAGGTTCTGCACAGCACAAGGAAAATCTCTGGTGTTTTCAGACTAGCCTGGGCCTGCCCATTGGCCCAGATCGTCCCCTTAGGGCTCCCATCTGCCTCAGGCTCTTGCTCTGGTTCACCCCTCCCCTGGGCTCCATGGACCTTTGGTGCCATCACAGCCCTGAAGTTGAAGCAAGGAAGTTATCCCAGCAGCCACCTTCTCAGGCTGCTGCAGGGGCCCGAGCTGCCTGAACGCCCTGTGCAAAGATAGGGACGTAGGACACCACCACGGCTACGGTAGGTGTGACCATTACTTGAGGCTCATTTCCTTCAAACCCATGCTCTCAAACCCATGTGTATTCCTTACTTGGTCCCTTCTGAAGAGAAGGAATTCAGTGCAGGTTGGGGCTGCAGAGAGGAGGGGCACAGAGGTTTAGAGTCTGGTGCACCCTTGTACCCCTTCTGCTTCTATTTCCTCATCGGTAAATGTGATGTGGGTCTGCAGCAGTCTGCTGTGTTAAAACAGCAAGATGACATGGGAGTGGACATCCTGGCTTTGACTTCTGCCCTGCTACTGCATAGCTGTGTTACTCAGCAAAGTCACCCCACCTTTCTGGGCTATTTTCTCAAAATATCAGGAGTTGATACAAAAGAATAGTTGTAACATCTGCTTTTCTGTCCCACCAATGAAAAATTTAAAAAACATCCAGCCAAGAATGAATGCAATCCCAGGACTCTGGGAGGCTTGAGGCAAGGACATCATAAGATTGAACCCAGCCTGGGCAATGTAGCAACTTGGTGAGACCTTTACTTAAAAAGGGGTAAGTATGCAGCTCGGTGCAAAGCTCCTGGGTTCAATCCTCAGTACTAAGAAAACAACTATGAAACCCTCAATTTAAACACACTTTGAGATATCACAGACTTAGTTCTAGACCCTGACAGTAAAGCAAACATGGCAATAAAGTAAGACGTGCAGACTTTTTGTTTTCATACTCACAAAATTGTGTTAACATTGTACACTATTTAGTCTACTATCCATGCAGTAACATTATGTCCAAAAAAAAAAAAAGCACAGCTGGGGATACAGCTCAGTTGCACAGCACCTGCCTGGCAAACAAGGTCTTGAGTCCGACTCCCAGTACCAGAAAAAAAACAAGTACATAGCTTAATTTTTAAAATGCTTTATGGTTTAAAAAAAAACAGTGCTAACAATTATCTGAGATGTTGGACAAATGGCACCATTAGACTTACTTGGTGATCAGACTAAGTCAACTAACACAACTTTCAATGGTAAAAAAACAAAAACAGGGCTGGGAGTTTAGCTCAGTGCCACAAACACCTGTCTGGCAAGTGTAAGGTCGTGAGTTTGATCCCCAGTACCAAAAAAAAAAAAAAAAAAAAAAAGCAAGAAACCCCTAAAAAAACAAAAATAAAAACTACAAAAACAAACCTTTAAAGCATAATAACACCAAGTGTAATAAAATGAGGTATGAAATGTACATAACAGAGAACAGAAGAGAAGGAGGCAGCTTGGGTTAAGCGTTGGGAGCCTGGACCTGAGCCTGTTCAGCTCCTCCCCTGCCACTCTGGACCTTTCACCACCTATGGATGCGTCCTTGGAGACCTAGGGCTTCCTGGAACACCACTAGGGACCTATTAGCATGGAGGACTTTCTTGAATCCTGCTGCTTTTTGCCATATGGTCTAGGTCAAAGTCTCTGAGAGTTCCTCTCTGTCCTCCTTCCACCTCCACCCCCACGCTGGGTACCTCGCAGTGGATCTGCTATAGCGAGTGTGCAAGGGCATGAGTGTGGAAGGTGGGCAAGGGTGTGAAGGTGCGAGTGCCTCACCTGCAGGGGCTGGATGCCACTAGCGATGAGGTCAGAAATCATGCGCACACTGGCCCTCTTCTTTGGGTCTTGAGGCAGGAGTCGTGGAGTGGGCCGAGTCTCCTCCAGGTACTCAATGATGGCCAGCTGTCCAGAGAGGGCACTGAGAGAGCCTGGGACCCCCAAACCACAAGGGCAGGGCCAGAAAGCTCTTCCTCTAGTGCCACCTTCTCTTCCACACACTTCAGCTGGAGCCCTACAAAGGCTTTCTGGACCTTGTCCTGCACAACTTGGTTTCCCATAAGCCCCACTCCCTGCTCATCTCCCAGAATAACCTCCCTCTGACTAGTATTTATTGAGCCTCTACTATAGGTGCCTTAGCCACATACAGGTAAGGAAGAGATACCTGGTCCTATCATTCACAGGACTGCTCCATACTCACTGACTGACTTATGGTGAGTCCATCAATCTTCAGTGTTGGCACCTGCTTCATGGGATTCAGTGTCTGGAATTTCTCAGAGAACTGTGGAGACCAGGTCATGGTGGGCTGGGTCTTCTCGCCTGAGTTGGCTAGCACACAGAAAAGCAAGCAGGAAAACCCCAGACCTGCCACCCATCCATATTTGTCTAGGGAAGGTCCTAGCTCCTGACTCTAAGGTAACCCCTGGCAGATCCATGCAGTACCTCAAACCCTAGCAGCTTCTGAGCTATAGACTTCATCCTAATGGCCTGGCTATGAGGTTTTCTCTGCATCTTATACTATGACCACCAAGGCAACTCCTACATATGGAGCCCAATATGTGGCAAGGTCCCACTCGACACTCACCAACATGCAGTGAAGCACTAGAGCTCTCAGGGTGTGGTACTGAGCTTGGAACAAAGGCCTGTCCTCAGGCCCCTCTTGCTGCACAACTTACTACCTTGTCCCACAAGAGTGCCAGCAGTGCTCTCAGCCATAGAGACCGCGGGACAGAGGTGTGCTTCTTGGAGACAGGCTCCCCTCCCCCGCACCTCCCAGGCAGGCTACTCTCCAAGGCCCAGCTTCACCCTGCGGTCTGGGAGCAGCCTCCTTACCTGCTGCCCCCCATCTTTTATAAGGTGGACAGGCACTGTCTCATAGTCGATGCCTTTCAATGCCAACGCTAGGAGAAACCACATAGAAAGATCAGGAAATCACTTCAGGCTACACCCCGAAGAACCCTTCCTGGAGTGCCATTAGGCTGCTGAAAGCTAGTTTCTCTATACTGCTGGTGAGCAAGACCCAGCATGGCACTGTCCCCTTCTCTCCGCTTTCCTTGTCACTACCCGTTATCTATGCCACATGTGCAACACTGTGCCTGTGTCATTCTCTGGGCCTCCTACAGGGCTTGTGCTCCCTGGGTGGCACTATGAGTTGAGCCACTGCAGGTTCCTGGGAACAACAGTGTGTCCCATTCACCTGTGCCCCTCCTGGACCTTGAACAGCAGACAGCAGGGTATTTTTATTGGGGATGTGCAATATTCCCTTAGTAGGGCATCTAGGGGCCAAGGGAAGATGCTTGGGGTTCATGCAGGGCGTACCGGTTTAATAAAACTCTTTACTAAGAGCAGAACCTTTCAGAACCATCCTCTCTGTTCTCAGGGCTCTTTAGATTCAAGGTGGGCAGCAGCCTCATTGGTGGTCTTAGAGCACTGTGGTGACTCTGGCGGGCAGGTGTCCTCTCCATCCCCTGGCAAGGTGAGGGTAAAAATGTCTGGTGTACCCTTAGTGGAGAAGACTGCATATACACGTGGGTTTTAAGATATGGTAGTAGCTGCTCCAAAGGAGTAAGGGAGAATGGGGCATGTCACAGAGTAAGGGGATCCTGGGATAGGCCAGCGTCCTCTGAGGTGCTGGTCAGCTCCACTCGGACAGTGGGACATTGGGACAGTGGGACAGCGAGTGTGGCTGGGGTGCAGAGGGAGAGGCCGAGGCAAGCGGGCCCCTTGAGTAGCATTCCCATAGCTCTGGCTTCTGGCTCAGCAAGGGCAGAGACTCTGCACCCATGGAAAGGAGATGTTCTTGGAGGAGTTTCTCCTGGCATCCCATGCTCCTGCTTACTGATGCCAAAACTCACTGTGGGATCATGGGGACAGGGATGGGTGCTACTGAAGATGGCTTTGCAGTTAGAGCCAAGCTTTTGAGACTGGCTGCTCGGGGTCAAATTTCACTGCATTTATTTGTTAGCTGTGTGACCTTGGGTAAGTAATGGGTCTCTGTGCCACAGTTTCACCATGTGACAAGCAGCAAAGTGTAGCAGTTAAAAGCGTGGGCTCTGGCTGGGACTGTAGCTCAGTGCTAAAGCTTAGCATGCTCGGCCCTGGATTTGATCCTAAGAACCAAAGCAAACCTAACAATATGAGTTCTGTAGTCAGATTATTTTGTTCAAACTCCAGCTATACCCCTCATTAGCTGCATGGCGGTAGAAAGTTATTTAATGCTCCTGTGGGATGTAAATGTACAATAGAGATTGTGAATAGGGAAGAAACTATTCAAAGACAAACTGATGGGGGAAAAGGGAAAAGAAGAAAGGGAAAAGGAAAAACTACATGTATACCCAAGATTGGATAGCTATACAGCTAGCTTCTTTTAGCTTCCTTGAAAATAAAGTTTTGTGCTAATATTGTTAGAACAAGATATCATGCCTATATCTTATAGTACAAAGATAACATATAATGTATCAACCATTGTAATGATTTGACTAACCTGTTTTGTTCATGGTTAGATTTATTTTTTTTCCTATTTTCTATACTTCTTTAAAATAAAAAAATGTATATTTATATATGTATACTTATATACATATATATTCATGCAAAATAGCTAAGATAATTATATACTAATTCTATTCATGGAAAGGAGCAGTTCATGCTTATATTGATCAATTTTGCATGCCTACATCTGGTAATCTGAGCAGCTATTTTGAAAATAACAATATGTAATATAATAACCATTGTTAATTTCCTTCTATCTAGTTTTGAAATCCTACATCATTTTGTTGTTTTTATTCTCTTAAAAATTAAAAAAAAATAAGCCAGGCTTGATGGTTCATGCCTGTAATCCCAGCACTCGGGAGGCTAAGACAGGAGGATTGTTATTAGTTCAAGACCAGCCTGGGCTACAAAGTGAGCTCAACGCCTGAACTGCATAGAGAGACCCTGTCTCAAAAAGACCAAAAAATAAAATAAAAAATAAATAAAATTATCCAAAACTAAACAACAAAAACCCTCCTGTGCCTCAATTCCCTTATCTGCACAATAGGAGCAATAATGGCCCCTCCTCTTAAGGTGGTTGAGGTTGAAAGAGTATCAGGTACACAAAAACACTCATGGCCAGACGTATTGGCATCTGCCTGTAACCCCAGCACTCAGGAGGCTGAAGCAGGAGGATCACTATGGGTTTGAGATCAGCCTGGGCTACATAATAAGTTCAAGTTCAGCCTGAATTATATAATGAGACCCTGTCTCAATCAATCAATCAAAATAATTAAAAAAAAAAAAAAACACCCAGCACCAAGCTCTTTCTCAATATGAGCTGCTGTGGCTATAACCCTTGGCAAGGAGACAGAAAAGGGTCCAATTTAAGATTAAAGGAGAGCACCCTAGTTTCTGTTCCTCTAAAGCCTCTGTAGTTAACACAACCTGTTTGGTTTAATTTGCCAGATCAAGTAAGAATTGAGGGAGGCCAGCTGTTTCCCTGCCGTTACCAGGATGCTCTGGATTTTATGAACCTGCTTTAAACACGGTTGCTAAGGGGCCTTTGAGAGCAGTATGCAGAAGTAGAAGTCCCTTTCCTTCTACCAGCTATCCTCTGGTCCTGCTATCCTAGGACTTCCTGAGTAAGGGATCTAGGTGACCGGACACGCAGGTTGCAGGGTGAAACCCTCCCTGCCTGAGTACCCCTTTTGTTCCAGGCCAGCTTTGTGCCCGAGGTTTCTCCACCTCACCCTAGCCATGTGCCCAGCACTTACCAATTCGAACTCTCCAGGAGCAGGAGCTTCGGAAATAGGAATAGAGAATAGGCTGAGGAGAGAGAAGGTAAGGGCATATGTTAATCCAGGCCGGGTGGGTTTCTAGCCTCTGGAACTCGCCAGAAAAGAAGTTTCAGACACCAGCCTGGGACCTCTGAGCCACCTGTTTCTTCACATTATGCAGAACCTTCTTTCTCAGGGCCATCTAGGCAACTGACTCAGAGCTTTCTGGGTAAGGGGCCCTGAGGGTCATGTGAGACCCCCTCGGTTCCCAGTTACACTGGCAGGAGTTCCTGAGGGTGCAGTGGCTCTACGGGGGGGGGGGGGGAGGAGCAAGTGCCTGCCTCACCTTGCTGGACTCAGTCATGGTGCTGGGGTGACCCTTGGTCTCTGGAGGAATGTCCTTCTCATAGAGCTGTAGCGGGAAGAACCCTGAAGGGGTGTGTCCCCTGAGCCAATAAGGGACCTGCTCTTAACAGGAACTTTGACTCTGGTCAAAAAGGGCTGCTCTTGCCAACCTCAAAGTTTGCTCATGCTCCTGGTGGAGCTGAGATAGGACAGAAGTGAAAACTAGGTAGAAAGGAGAAAGGAAATCAAAATTTTAAAAACCGTACTTCGAAGAAAATAAAATGAAGCTTCAGAATATAAGCCTAGTTAATTTTTCCTTCCTTCTTCTCCCAAAACAGAGTAAACTTGGGCAACTCCCTTTTAGCAACAAATGAGTTTGACCCTTCCTTTTCACGTTGACACATGAATCCCACCTTTTTGGGATTTCTCACGTGAAGAGTCCATTTTCTCACTGTGGATGGGCCATTCTCTCCTACCCACTAGACTTAAGACTATGGATTATCAAATTCCACAGATTTTCACTACCTAAAACATAAGAACAGTTCCCAACTGTACGGTCCCTCATCTGTTTAATCCCAGCACTCCACCCTTAGGGTAGCCTATATTATAAATCTTTGCCTGATAAACCTTTTTTGTCTCTTACTGATGTGTCCTGAAAATAACCTTTCCATGACAAAAGTCAGCAAACTTATTTTCAAGGGGCAGGATAGGTTCCCTATTTCAGACACAGGGACCCTTAAGACCAAGCCCAGTGACAAGAGCCAGGTCTGCCATCTTGGGCAGCAGTGTGGTTTTATAGGCAGCTAAGTCAGGTAGAAGTATTACAGGCTGTCAGGTAGGCATTTCTTAAAGACCAGATCTCAAAACAAAAGATGAATGACTACACTAACATACTAGTCCACTGATGAACAGCAATGATTGACATTCTAAACAGGGATCAATCACCTTGGGTTGGGGACCAAAACCTCTCTGGCCCTTCCCTTCCAGGGAAAGTCCTTGTTACTGTACCTGACTTACTATCTCACTTGTTTCCCCACTGGGTCAATATTACCTAAGTGCCTATAACTGTAATCTTATTGGTTGACCATAGTTTTGTCCCACCTTATACCCACTTTGTGATTTTACTCCATAAAGCTTGCCCTGAAGTGAGCTCCTGGGTAACCTACTTTGTAGGTCCCCTTCTGTCTCTTTTAGAAGCTTCCTTTCCTCCAGTAAATATATTCTGCTCTTAACCCTTGTTGTTCCTTAGGATTCATTCTTCAATTTTTAGCAACATGAACTCAGCATATTGACATCTAGGGAGAGGGGAAAGGAAAGAGAGAGGAGGGGACAGGAGGGGGAGGGAGAGGACAGGAGGGGGAGGGAGAGGAGGGGACAGGACGGGGAGGGAGAGGAGGGGACAGGAGGGGGAGGGAGAGGAATGCAAAGGTAAAAACTATTACAACTGGCTGTAGGTGCATCTGTTGGAAGCCAGGCCTCAAGATAAAGAGGGAATGACCAGGCCTAAGATAAATGGTAACACCTGGTCTATTAAAGTCTAGTTAGACACCAGTCACCTCAATGGGTGACCAACACCCTCAAACACATCCCTTCCCTACCATCCTAAGTCAGGAACCTTCAGTACTGCGTAGGCCAACCAACATCTGAGGGCTAGATAGATTCCTAGGGGCTGCCAATTACAACCTGACTTTTAAGGTGCACTGGCATACCTGCCAGCTGGGAGTCTGCAGGATGGGTAGATGGAAGTAGGAGTGTGCCATCACACCTGGCTCCAACTATTTTTTAAATTTTGTGACAATATGGCTAAGTCACTAAATTAGCCAGACTAGGTTCAAAGTTGCAATCCTCTCAGCTCCCAGAGTGCTGAACGTATGTGCCAAGAACACAATAACTTTATTATTTACTTTGCAGTGTTGGGGATTGAACCTAGATCCAAATAACCAGCATAGCCAGCATCCCCTCTATGAGATGGGTTCTGTAGGATGTACAGAGGATGGTGCCAGAAGCAGGTCATCAGACTGTGATCAATTGGTTGGTGGTGGCAGCTTGCCTGGTTTGGGAGAATCCAGATGACCTGCTGGAGCAAGTCACTGTATAGGCCTGCTAACTGTGCTACATGAAATGGACATTGGGCAGATGATGTTTATACTTCAGTACCGTAGCCCAGATGAGAAGCAGCTGACATGTTTGGGTCCTGGTGAGCAGCTGACATGTTTGGGTCAGTAACAGCCCTTTATAGATTGCCCAATCCACGATGCTTTAGATACCCTGAGAGACGAGGCAAATGAGACCTATATAAAAACTGTACTGGTAAAGAAAAAAGTGGGCCCTAAATAAGTGGAGCCATTCCTCCAAGGACAAGCTGTGAGGCCACTGAAGGTTGGGAAACCAGATCTGGATGGACCTGCTGGCTGTCAGCCTGGTCACAGACAAGTTAGATAAGCAGGCCTTGGATGTGTTGTTTACTCTATGGAGACAGTTAGGCCTTGAGAAATAATACTGGACAATGGGCCAAGGCCAAAAGGCTAAAATATCCCCAGTAAAACAGAAAAAATGACACTAGCCTCCTTTCACCCCAGTTAGGAGGCAAGCTGAGGTGCCTGGGTCTTGGGAGTCCCAAGTGATGAGGCCACATATGAAACTATTTACTGGTCCTCTCCCCAAAATGTACAACGTGTACTAACATTGATGGACACTGGAACTGAGTCAATGCTGAAGTACGGCAACATGGACCATTTTACAGGATCTATTGAATATATAAAAGGGTACGGATGGTGCTACATCATGGTCCAGGAGGCCCAGGTGACTTTGGGTATAAACCAAGTTCTCCACTTCTGTATGATGTCTCCCCAGTTGCTGAACACACACTGTGGATGGACATACTGATTGGTGCAGGACTTGGGACCAAGCAAGAAAAATTCCAGTTGTAAATTCACATGGCAAAAACTGTAGTCACCACACCATGCACTGCTAACTCTCTCACAGGCCATATGGGTTGTGTACATGAAACAATACAGCCGCCTGGAGGTCATAAGAGATAAAACAGATGTCTTGAAAGTTAGAAAGAGGTAACATGCCCTTTACAGACTCCTTTCAGTTCCCTAGATGGCCTACACAGAAGCCAGATAAATCATGACAAATGACTGTGAAGTCTCACCCTGTCTCTGGCAGTCAGGACCAGTTGCCTTCACCCCAGAGGACAGGCAATGGGCCTTCTAGATGTTGCCACAAGGCTATTTGCATAGCCCAACTTTGTGTCATGACCCGGTCACCCAGGACCTGACTACCTGGGCCAAGCTATACTCTGTGTCACTGTTTTGTATTGATGTTATGTTAACCTGATTGTCTTACAGATTTAAAAGCCACCATGCATTGTCTAAAAAAGGTGACATGGTGGGGGGAACCATAAACAAAAACAACATCCAGGGACCTAGTTTATGTATCAAATTCTTGGAGGTTATATGGTTGGGTAAGACCAGAACCATGACAGTATGCCAATTACAGACGTACATGGGCATGCTAGCTTTTGACAGGTATACTGCACCTAGCTATTCTGTACCTTTTGTATCAGATCACTACAAGGGGTCACAAAATGAGGCTGGACAGATGCAATGAAAGCTGCTTGCTGGACAGACACAATGAAAGCTGTTTTACCGGATTTAAAAGAGGGCTATTACATAGATGCAAGCCCTATGAGTCATTAAATCCAACCCGCCATTTACCCTAACTGTAAATGTGGATGACAATGGATATTTGGCTGAGGCCTATGACCAAAACAGGGAAAATAAAAGCACACTTTTGGTTTTGGTCACAGGTGGCTCAGAGCCAGCACTATCTAATTAAAAAACAGCAATGTTAACTGCTGCTTTACATGCCTATGAGGAATCAGGAGATCAAAAAATGGGTAGAGATAGCCCATCCCAAGAATGGAATGACTCAAGCTCCCACTCTCATGCACTGGGGGACACACTTCCAACAGTGGGCCTCCTTCTCAGCCTGTTAGTAGCCAAACTGGCACACTGTCTGGAAAGACAGACTACAAGACACAGCCTCTAGTCCTTATAAAAATAAATAAAAAATAGATAAATAAATAAATAGAGGGACCTCTGGCTGACACCAGATGTACTGATGGGTCTAGCCATGACTCAAACCCACAATGGACAGCAGTTACTGGTCAGCCCAAAACAAAGGGACTCTGATTTGAAACTGAAACAGGCAATTCAAGCCAACAGACAAAGTAGTGGACAATGTGATAACTTAGGAGGAAAACAAACAAACAAACAAACAAACCCAGCTCTTATATATGTATATAGACAGCCAGGCTGACATTCTGGTTGCTGGCTCGGGCAACTCAAAAACAGATAGGACATCAAAAATTGACAGATTCGGCCCTGGATTCATCATTCCAGAGCCAAGAGGGCCCATCTTGATGCCCGGTGGAAGGTCTACTCTGGTAAAACAGCTTCTCTGAAGATTACTAATGTTACACACTTAAAGCCCTTCTCTTGTCATCCCATTTGGGCACTGTACACTGCAATATCTATAGCCTCAATGTACTGCTGTCCTACTGAATTCCTGGTCTTTTCCTCCTGTTAGTCTTGGGGCTTACTGTTGCAGGTTAGACTATGTCCCCAAAAGATTGGGGAGTTCTGGCAAAGATTAGAATTACTGGACTAAGCACTCTTAACTGTTTACAATGATTTTCCTGTGGCTAACCTGCTTAAACATACTGGAAACATAATAATTCAGGACAATGGGAATTCAAAATTCAAATTTATGGGTCAAGTCTGTTGTGACTCTTAATCAGACCAGATGGAATCCTTTTCACCTTAACGTATACCTTTATTTTGATGCATGCCCAGCTCAATATAACAGTAAGTTGGACAAACCATTGCTATTCCATAGGATAGGGATGATTAGATTGGAAATAAAAATATTGCTCCAAATAAGTATGACTGTTCAGAATGGTGACAAACCAGCATGTACTGCAAACCTCCTTTTCCATCTGAATTCTGTCCAAGGTGGGACTGTGTCATAAAATGGGCTGAAACTAAAGACAGTTTTATAACCCAGCTCCTCCTGAGTTCAATTTGCCAATGGGGAACTTGTAATCCCTTGCAGTACACTATTTTAGATCCCTCCCATCAAGACTGGTCATCAAGTCACCAAATGAGTCCAGATAGATGGACAGAGACGAAATCCATGGATTGTTTTAAAAAATCATAAAGGTGTGGGTAACCCCATCTCACACTAGAGTTCCTTTTCCAAGACTTCCATTGCTCCCATTGGCTTCTGTATTTGTTGCTAATCACACAGATCTTAGACTCCCGACATCCTGTGCTTGGTTAATAACACCCTCCAGATTAAGGTGTAAGTCCAGAGTTGGGTAATGATTACTGGCTCTGTGTACCCTATCAGGGACCTGGCCTAGATCCCGGGCTCTCAAATGAGTGTATGGCGAAGGCCTAAATAAATAAGTGGTATGATTTTAGGGCTTCAGAAGGATCAAAACCCTCTGCAGTTTGAGACTGGTAGCTAAGACAAGGAATGTCTCTGGGCAGGTGGTATTTATTTAGTTTTTTCAAACAAGGGGTTAGAATGGAAAACACAGGAAACTGAATAGAACTTGGGAGTGGTTCAAGGACTTTGCCAAGTAACAAATAATGTTTTAATTTAGAACTATTATGAGATCATCTCCATGTTGCATTTCACTACAGGAATGAAATGCTTGTAGCTAGTCTTTATTAGTTAATTGGAGTTGGAGTCAGGTCTCCTCAACTGTGACCTTATCTTGCCGTTAGAGACATCTCTTTGCTCTCAGGCTGGCTGCGCCATGCTGTGCCTGCACGTGTGTTCAATTTCCAGTTTCAATAGCTCCCAACAGTACCCCTTTCATTTCTTACCAATCAAGCTCTGGGCCTAACCAAAAAGACTCAGCTCAATTCTATAGTGCCTCTGATCACTTACTTTAGCCTTGTCCCACAATGATATGGGAAAATACCTCCCGCTTCCTGGGTTCCTCTAAAGGCCAAAATGCCTCTCCTAATTGTAGATATGTTGACTGTTACTTCAGGTTCTCTAACAGCTCCCCATAGAAGTTTTCTTCTCTGAAGGAGCTCATTTAGTGTTTAATACTGCTAAGATAAGCCTCCATACAGTTGCTTTTCTGGTTCCTGACTGCTCTTGTTTACTCAGGTCAACAAAGCTCTACACACACACCAGTCACATCAAAAGTGTGACTCTGTTATATTGCCTATTCTAAGGGGTACAACAATAATAGGGAGCGTGAGTTCGATCCCCGGTACCGATAAAAAGGAAAAAGACAAAAAAAAAAAAAAAAAAAAAGGGGCTGGGGGTTTAGCTCAGCGGCATAAGCGCCTGCCTTGAAAGCAGGCAGTCGTGAGTTCGATCCCCGGTACCGATAAAAAGGAAAAAGACAAAAAAAAAAAAAAAAAAAACAATAATAGGGAGCTTAATCCTTAGTGCTACAGCCATGGGCATAGGACAACATCAATACTCACAATTAAGTGATAACGGATTTTGCTAATATTACACAATATATATTTTATATGTACATGTAATATAATATATAGAGTGTCTATAGACACTACAAGACTAAATAGATTCTTTGGCTGCAGTTGCCCTCTAGAATAAAAGGGCTTTAGATCTCCTAACAGTCCAACATGGAGGCGCTTGTCTTTTCTTGGAAGAAGAATGCTATTATTATGCCAAGAAGTCAGAAATAATGAAAAAAAAAAAAAAAAAAAAAAAAAAACTCCTGCCAGCTCCAGAAAGTATCTGGAACAGAGCTACAAACGCACCATGAGCTTCTTCCTGGCGTAAGTCCCTGGATTTTCCTTCTTCTTGGGCAAGAACACTGGGTCAATAGTGGCCATCTGGACAATTATGCTTGTAGGCCCATATATAATTCAATTTCTGACTCGGTTTCTGTCTAAAGAGTTGAAGCCATACAGCAACTTCTCTTATAGGCCACTTCCTCCTATCAGCCTCTTAAGACTGAGGAAAATGAGTTTTCCATATAAAACAGAAAGAGGAAATGTAGACGCTATTTTAATGCAGAGAACAATTTAAAACATATTTCTAATACTAATCATATTTCTAACATTGTTCAAAAATGAGATTGGGAGACACTGCCTGTTCCCGATTAGACAGCTACAAGCCTGGCGAGCTCTGCACTCGGGGTGACAACTGCAAGAGTGTAGCACAGCCAGGAAGAAAAGTTCTGTTGCTTCGGAGTCCCACAGAGTTATCACTACAAGGACACCTCTGCCCAATTTCAAACAATGATGGATTCTTTCTCTGTTGTAAGACAGTAACCTCATTTAGTTGCTGTTTCTATAGTTCATTCTGCCTAGCAAATGACAAAGAATCCTGTAACCAATCGTAAGATATTATGTTATCCACCTTTTGTACTTCCTTTTGGAAACATATAAATGACTGGAAAACTCCAATCACTGCTGATGATTTGGACCTGAGATTCCTGTCGGCCTGATGGCTTAATAAAGGCGTCTTTTAAAGTTCTTCTGGTACTATGTCTCCATGTGGCCTGGTCCTGAATTCTACATCATTAAAAGCACCACAGCCTTCCCTCCTTCTGGTGCTGTCTTAAAAATCAAACATCCCTGGAAGGCCACCCATTAACTGTTAGGCCCGACTGGCCGAAAAACGAGCACGCAGAGCTGTGTGGGACCACTAGATGAGGGACATAATCCTTGGACGACATCATAAATTGCTGGCAGGAAGTAGGTACACAAAAGCGCGAGCTCAATCCGAGAAGCTCGCTCCACCAAGCTCGAGCCTCGGACCAGCCCCTCCGCGGTCCGCCGGGACAGGCAAGCAGAGCGCAGGCGCAGAACGAGCTAGGCGCGGCGCACGCAAGGAGGGTTGGGAGTCGTTGTGGGGGCCGGGGACGAGGCTGAACGGCGTACCCTTGGCCCCACCCCTGCCATGCTGCACGTTTCTCCGGGGATTCGTGGCACAGACCTTCCCGGCTTGCATGTCGGACTTCAGGCTACCACTCTTCCGGCCAGGAAAGTTCGTGCCCGCTCAGCACTCGCCAGCGATCGAAGCCCAGTGAAACGCTCAAGAGTCGGAGCGCTGTCCAGTCTGCGGGAAGCCAGGAGAGGTGCGGGACGGACTTCCACACGGCTTCGGGGTAGCCCCGCCCCGCCGCCCTCCTACCCCGCGCGGTGCAGCCGGGAGTTGCAGTTTTCTGAGTCGGTCCTGTCGCCCTCCCGCTCTCCCGCCATGCTCTGCGCCTCGGGCCGCCTCCTAGCGGCCCGGGCGGAGACCTCGCTCTTTGCCCCGCCCGGAGGCCGGGGCCCGGCGCTCCGGTTCCCGCGCAGGGAACTACATTTCCCAGGACAGCTCAACCCGCCCCTTTGGGACTCCTTGACGGGGCGGCTGACGAGACACAACGCGTCTCCGCACCGGAGGGTCATTCTGAAGTGGGGGAGGATGCAGCCGGCCGTGGGCAGAGGCCTGGCCGGGTCAGAGCTGCGTCTTCGGAAGAGCCGCTGTGGGTCCCGGGCTGCTAGGTCTGTGGGCCGGGACGGGGCCATCCAGGCCACAGCGCGAAGCCCCAAACCGCCGCGTCGGAGCTCGCGGCGTTTCGAGGAGGTGGGCCGGCAGGCATTGCTGGCTCTGGTAACGCTGCTGTCCTTTGCCACTCGCTTCCACCGTCTGGACCAGCCACCGCACGTCTGGTGAGTGATGGGAGGGGCTGGGGGGGAGCACCTTGGCAATCGGGAGGGAGGGACGCCAGCCTGTGATTGGTCCTCAGGCAGAAGGGGCGGGCTTCACAGGCTGAGGGGCGGGTTCGCCGTGGAGGGAAAACTGAGTTTCTGGTTGTCCCTCGGTTGTTGTGGTGGGGGACAGTGGGACTTAGAATCTAGGGAAGCAGTTTTTATGCCTTACAAGTTATACTGGAGGGTCTCACCTGGCAAATTGTGATTCCTCTAAAGATGCTTTGAACTTTCTGAAGAGATTTGGAAATTCATGGTACAGAATTTTCCAAGGCCTGAGCGCCTCACCTATAAGGTTTTCAGGCATCTGCAGAGAGGGAAATTCTTTAATGGGTATTTTCATCCTACAGAGCTGAATTGTATGGCTGTACAGGGGTAGTGACAAGGATTCCAGCAAGTAGCTCTGAGGTTATCCTTGAAAAGAGGTTTATTTTCTTGAAAGTTTATTGTAAAGGACACAGCACTGGCTTAAGGGATACTGGGTTGAAGCATGCATGATCAGATTTCATTAAAGTTACGCCGTCTCCAGCTGGAAGAAGGAAAAGTTTTATACAATTTGATGGGAAGGGGACTTTTTGTACAATTTGATTGTCTTGCTTTGTAGTGCAGGCTGGTCTGGAACTCACTGTATACCCCACGCTGGTCTCAAACTCACAGCCATCCTCCTTTCTCAGCCTCCTGAGTGCTGGGGTTACTGGCATTTGTCCTCTCTGTATACAATTGAAAGTGGTTAATTTGTATGACTACGTAGCAGTTCCATAGTTTCTTAGTGTCACTGAGAAGTGTAGAGGATGTCAGAAACGGAACTCATGTCAGAAAAGCAAGGAAACAAACACACTATCAGGATTGCCCTATGTGGAAATTAATAATAATGAAACATTATTGTTTCATGACTGGTGGATGAGGATGGGAGATTCCTGGGTTGGAGGCCAACGACTTTATTGCAGGAAGCAGGATGAGTATCAGCGTATTGGAGTCAGTCAGCCCCCAGCCTCCAGCCCCTCAGAGTATACTATGGGCTTGAACGAATGATTGCACATCAAGGGAGTTCCATCAATGCAAAAGAGTTACAAGCTGGGGAATCTACTAATAGTACTTCTCATTCCTTGGTCTTGCACTAAGCTGGCTTCTACCAGATTTCCACATGAATATGCAACTCCTTTGACTATTTTGACTAGCCTGGCTTATATAGACAGAGACCAAATCTGTTCAGTTTGTCTCATACAGCATGTAGTTAACGTTTCTATCAAATAGACTCTAAGCAATAGGAGGCCAACTTTTGGTATTTATCTCAACTATGGCTACTAGCATCCTGGATTCAGCCACTGTAAATGAGTCCTGGGAGACCAGTGAATCTTACTTCAGACAATAGGGATGTAGTCTAAGGCCAGTTTAGCATCCATCATGATCTGTGCATGGTTTAGCTTGATCTCTGATCTTTAGTATTGTTGCCAATAATTTCAGTGTCCCCACCATGGAAAAATAACACAACTCCTATTCCCAATAGAGAGCGTGTGGCCCATTCTTCCTTACATACTAGCATTTTACCTGAAGGTCACTCATTTTAGGATGTTTTGTTAAACTTTGGGTCATTATCGCATTGATGTAGATCACTAGTACATTGGCTGGTTAAGCTACATGGCAGTGTCACTGAATAGTTGTGGTCTAAATCACTGTACATGGTATAACCTGAGGCCCCTAGCGTTCTAGAAAAAGCATACGATTTTTAATAGATTGATAGAAGTCGTGTGTGTGTGGGAGTTGGTATGGATGTCATCTGGCACATCAGAGTAGTTCAAGAAAGGCACATAAGTTCTTGTTTTTCTTATTATGATGAAAAACTCAGCTTCTAGTCAAATTGCCAGCTTCAGCTTGACTGAGGTGGCCCATTGAGCCTTTTGCCAGGGTTTTGTGTTAAACCTAAGAGGAAACAGAACATCCTTTGTTTCCTTCTACATCTCCCAGAATCTAAGGTGTTTGTTCTCCAGGTGCTAACCTTGCTTCTCTCCTGCCACTGTTACATAATTAGTGTGTCCCACTATAGTTCCTATATCTTCACTTTTTCTTTGGTTTTCCCTAATAATGTCCAGACCATTTTGCTAGGAGCATTGCTAGAAAATTGACAGAAATCCATTATGTCTTCTGCCTGGCACTTGTGGGCATCTGTGGGGAGACTTTTTTTTTTTTTTTTTAAAGCAGTGTGTTCAGTGTAGTAGTTATTATGTTTACGACCAAATCTAGGACTATGCCACTCCAAGGAGAGTGGTGACAATCCAGTTAGTCCTGTCAGAGTACTGGGCCTTATTGTGAGCACCTACATGAGTGAGCCCGACTGTCTCACCAGTAGGAAGCCCATTTGTTTCCATGGTTCTCAGCTCCATAGTGGGCACCTGTATCTCTCAGTATTTAGTCTTCCAAGTGGCGTGTCAGACACTTTAACATTTACCGCAGTTGACCATCCAGAGTTGTTATTGGGACTGAATGGGCTGCTGCTGCCCAGTGGACATTGTCAGCTTTTAACTTAGCCTGTCAGTGAAGTAGGCACAAGAATTTTGAGGAACCTCGGTGAATCAAGGAAACCACTAAACCAACATCTGTACTTCAGAAAGTGGAACGGAAAGTAGTTTCTCCAAAGAGGGAAATATCCCTCTAAGTAAAACCCAGATGCCCCAGGTGGGCAGGCTGACAGTCCTCTGGAACGTACTGTGTCCATAGGACAGTGAGGCTTGCTGAGCCCCTTCCCTTGTTAGCTGTAAATTAATACACCTCAAAGTGGGACTGTCAGGCCAGACAGTCTTGAGGTTTTCGAGGGTCAGGTGCTCAACTTCAGCAAGAGCTCAGTACGAGTACAGTGCTTTATGTGGCACAGGTGTTCAGCACATGGTCAGGTAAATAGCTTAGTGTAGTAGGTTAATAATTACCCTTTTAATAATAATTACCCTTTTAAAAAATGGTTGTACTTAAAATCTGTATTCAGCAGGTAGCACTGTTTCCTGGTGAATGGTTTGTTAGTATTTTAGCAGCCGTTAATCTTTCAAAGCTGTGATTTCTCCTTGCCTTTCAGGGATTTGTTTATTTCTCCTGGATCACTAGGGAGAACAGGCTCACTTCTCTACACACAGCAGTCCTTGAATGGGATAATCCTTTTTGACACTTGGTGAATCAATACAAGCTGTGTGTTCAGCAGTGGGTGCCGTAATAGTACATTGAAGTGCTCTAGAGAGCCCTGCCCTCATTGGGAATGTGACTCAGACCCTGTCAATTGAACATGGGCATTAGTCCCTTTGGAACGATGAGTCTGCTAGGCCTGCATCAGGCATAAGCCAGAGATGAAACCATTTCCCAGCTGGAGGGTGAGCGGAGTGATGGATGCAAGGAATGGAGAGAAGCTTCATTTCTCCTTTAGTCCTTCCCTAGGCGTGGCACCATTTTCCCCTCATCATCTTTCCTTGTGTTCAGTGGGCCCCTGAGTTTAGGGGCCCCTTTTTTATAAGTCTATGTACTCATCCATGATGGCTTTGAAAATTCCCATGCCTGGCAAATCCTTGCCCTGTAGGACTGGGTAGAGTGGAGACCTGGCTGGTACCTTTAATCATCATACTCTTTGAGGAAGCTGAGATGGTAGAGTGGGAGAGATCAAGGTACATAAAGGAACAGCGTGGCTCGAACCTATTATGTAAGACACATTTACTTTTGGCTTAAGTACACAGCTAACTCAAGGATCTTTCAGTGTTTTTGTTTTGATTTAAATTCTGTATTGAATAGCAGAGTCCTTATTACTGCATCATTATGGAAGCTTTGGAGACTTCTTGACTCAGCAACTGCATCTATTTTGCCTTTTTAATTTTTAATTTTTTGTGGTACTGGTGATTGACTCCAGGACTTTCACACTAAACTATATCTCCAGCCCTTTTTTATTTTTTTAATTTGAAACAGGGTCCTGCTAAGTTGCCCATATTGGACTCCAATTTAGCATCCTCCTATATCAGCTCCCAAAGTGCAAAGACTACAACCATGCACCACCATGCCCACTTCCATGTGGCCTTTTGACTAGGCCTGCAATGTTTGTTGCTTAATTGTCATGATCACATTTTTTCTTTATTTTTATTCAGAGAAGAGTAATTAGTAACCAAGACAACTGTTTCAGTCCTCTCTCCCCATTCTGCCTTTTCCTACTCCATTGCCCACCACTTGACAAGAACATTTGCAAACAGGTTCCAGGGAATAGTCTCATATCCCTAACTCAGGCCATGAGGGCTCTTGTCTTCTTTTTCAGAAGGCTGTGTCTCTCATCATCCTGTTTTCATCATGGCCTGGGTTTTTTGGTCATCATTTATTTTTGTTTTTTTAGCTTAGTTGTAGCCAAGAATTAACCTTTCACTGTTTCATGGGTGCTTATAAATACAAAGTCCTGGATCAGAAACAAAGGACTTTTCTCATGGAGTAGCAAGTAGGATAAGCATCAGCATGTTGGCATCGATCCCCCTTGCCCTAGAATGCCATGCAGTGTATGGATGAGTGCTTGCACACAGAGTAGGTTGCTTTGCAGCATACCCAAGAATCCTATATTGAGCTTGGGACTCTTATATGGCAGATGTTAAGGAGGCTGCTTACTGTGCCAAAGGAGATACTAACTTCCCCAGGGTTGTTTGCTGCAAATATAACTGAGAAGTGGCCTGGGTATAGATATGTCAGGACCTTGGGTTCTTGGCATAACTTGCAAGGCCTGTAGGAGCATGGAGAACTGTCTCTTTTGACAAAAGCAGTAAAAGCCAAGAGGACTGTGAATGTTGCTACTGATTTTACTTGGGAAACTTTTGAAGTAAAAATCTCATGCCCTTTGTTAGTGTGTTTCCAGACAGACTCCAGAACTAACCACAAATGTTGGAACAGCTTAGATAGTGCCCAGTATGTGTCTTACTTTTGAGTCTACAGAGTTTGTTCACGTGTATTATCAAAGTTGAGCCCTAATATCCTTCTAGGAGGGGGGCATAGCAAATACTATTATTGTTTGTATCAAGTAGATGAAAAAAGAACACTGAAGAGAGCAAGTGATTCTGCCACATCACACTATTAGTAAGAGATGGTGCTGGTACGGAGGGTCTACTTTTCACAAATCTTGTGTCACACACTGTGAAGCTATTGCTTTCTGTTATCACCATCCTTTTGTTCTCACCTCGTGATAGTGTACTTAACAGATGCAGAAGTAGATTTACTTTTCTGCTCATATCATGGACTTAACTGAGTTAAACACATGCATGCACACACTCACAACCACACATACACCCCTGTACAGTTTTAGGAAAAGTGTTTTTGCCCCTAATGTGGTAGTTGGGTAATGCCTGCTTACAGAAGATGACCTGGGATAGATGCTCAGTAGCAAGTGTTCTTCTTTGAGCTGCAGGGAAAAAGAACAACAAACAGAAATGGCCAGGCTTTGCAGGATGACTTGGCTGCCTTCTTGAAGTCCTCATGTATGATACAAAAAGGTTAATGTGACTATGTAGAAGATTAAGGCTTCATGTTGTGTTTGAAATCTAGTATATTAGTTTCACTTCTTGGCAAAATAACTTGTATAATAAGAATGCTTTTTTTTTTTGAGACAGGGTGTAGTTCAGGTTGATCTTGAAGTCACTGTGTAGCCCAGGCTGGCCTCAAGCTGTAGGCAGTTCTCTTGCCTCAGCATTCTGATTGCTGGAACTGTAGAAATGTGCTACCGTGATTGATCAAGAATGCATTTTAGACATGCTTTTAATTTGGGAAGAATACTCGCAATTTTTATATACTGATGTATATATTGGTTAGTTCATTATAGTAAGATCAGTCAGTTCGTACTTACCAGGTTATTCAGCAAAGGTTGATGAACAAAGTCTGCCTCCTGTGACAGCATGGTTGAAAGACTACCCAATAGTGTAGTGATGTACATTTTAATTGCAAACATGGTGTTAGAGTTAGAAGGTCATAGATGTAGAACATTCTTTTTTTTCTCTCTCTCTTTTTGAGACAGGGTCTCACTATGCAGTTCAGGCTGGCCTTGGGCTCACTTTGTAGCCCAGGCTGGTCTCGAACTTGCAATGATCCTCCTGCTTCAGCTTCCCAAGTGCTGGAATTATAGGAGTGCACCACCATGTCCAGCTAGAAGAACACTTACTAAACTTTTCTGTGTTATAGGAAAACCCTATCATTTTAGAATTAATAGATAGAAACTCAAGATATAGAATATATTTGACTTAAATTTATGGTAACTGCTTGGTAAATATTTGCTAACCGTTTTCATCTATCCAAATGATGGTTAATAACCAGATTAATGTTTTGCTTCTTCAAATCATTTGTGTCAAAATTTTTTTTAATCCAAACTTTATCTAATCCCAGCACTCAGGAGGCTGAGGCAGGAGGATCACCATGGACTACATAGTAAGTTCAAGGCCAGCCTGAACTACATAGTGACACCCTGTCTGAAACACACACACACACACACTGCTTTGTAATTAATTGCTTGAAATTCATAGCTCTTGGTCTTAACTATAATTTTAACTATGCTTTGTTAAAGTGTTTTGTTCTTCCTTTAGTTGGGACGAGACTCACTTTGGAAAAATGGGAAGTTACTATATCAACCGCACCTTTTTCTTTGACGTGCATCCACCTCTGGGAAAGGTGAGCAGTGTGGTAACAGCTGGCATCTGGGAGGATGGCCCTTAAGGGATGGAGCCAAGTGTCATTCATTGTGGATGTCATTCTTGAACTTAAGGATTCCCTGACAGAATTCTCCAGTATTTTAGACCAGCTACTGTCAGAGAAAATCTCAGGTATTTTTTGGCTCACCACCTAATTGATGGATGAATAAAGATAGTATATCCACACAGAGACATACGATTCAGCCATGAAGAGGAGTAAGTTCTGACGCATGCTGCGGCGTATATGAACCTCAGAGATGCTATGCTAAATGTAAGAAGCCAGACATAAAAGGTTTCAAGTTATATATTATATATATTCAGAATTGGCAAATCCATAGGCACACAGAGGAGATTAGTGGTGGCCAGGGTCTGAGGGGAAAGGTTAGGGAGTGGTCACAAGTGGTATGGGTTGCTTCTTGGCATGAAGAACATGCTGGAGTAAGTAGTGGTACCTATACTTAAAACTATGGATTGTACACTCTCTTTCTGGGTGTGTGTGTGTGTGTGTGTGTGTGTGTGTGTGTGTGTTGTTGTTGTTGTTGTTGTTGTTTGAGACAGGAGTCTTGCTCTGTAGGTCAGGCTGGCCTTAAACTCATGGTGATCTTCCTGCCTCTGCTTTCTGGAGTGCTGGGATTGTAGATGTGCACCACCTGCCCAGTGTGTACACTTTAAAGTGGTGAATTTTGTGTTACTGAGACTTATCTCAGTTTAGAAAAATGAGTGGAATTGGCTGGGGATTTAGCACAGCTGCATAAGCACCTGCCTTGAAAGCAGGCAGTTGTGAGTTCGATCCCCTGTACTGATAAAAAGGAAAAAGACAAAAAAAATAGTGGAATATGTCGCATAAAACAAAAACACTTAAGAGGAGTAGGAGCTGACTATCTGTAATCTGTCCGCTCCCTCCAGTGTACATGTTGTTTGACTTGTTCCTCTCACATGTCATAGTGAGAAATTCTACCAATCAGATTCATTTCATACTTTTAAAAACAAGTACCTCTGATTAGGCCCTGGCAGTCATTCAAGCGTTTCTTTCTGATTGGAGACTGAGGTCTTAGGCAGCAAAGGGACAGGTATTTGCTTGTGAGGAGGTAGGAAGTGATCCCAGAGCAAGTGGTGCTTGGGATGAAGGCGGAGGTGTTGGTGGAGGGAGGCAAGGGCAGTGGTCTGTGGCTGGTGAGTCTAAGGAAGCACGGGAGCACAGGTGCCAGAGAGAAGGTCTTTGCAGGTTGGAGGGAGAGAGAGAGACAAGAGATGGAGAAGTAGCCTATGTTTGCTTTGGATTGAACTCAGAGTCTTCACCTTGAGCTACATCCCACCCCTTTTTAAACATTTTTTAAGACAAGGTCTTGTTAAATTGCTAAGTTACAGGGGGCTTGAACTTGTGATCCTTCCACCTCAGCAGGCCAGAGTGCTAGGGTTAGAGGCATGTGTATGCCACAATACATAGTATAAGTGGCCTGTTTTGAAATTGGTTCTGAGCCTTGGAAAAGTTGTAAATATTATGCCTCTTCCTGTCTACTTTATAATGCACCACAATAAAGAGAAGAACAATTATGCATTTCTTCATGTAAGCAGTCTGAGAACAAGCCAATGAAACAGGTACCGTTATAGCTCCATGTTTTTGTTTGAGTGTTTTTGAGATCCTGTCCCATTATGTAGTTCAGATTGGCTTTGAACTCAGGTAGCACAGGCTGGCCTTGAACTCACAAGGATCCTCCTGCCTTAGCCTCCTCGAATGCTAGGATTACAGGCATACACCACCATTTCCAGCCTGTAGCTCCATTTTGTAAATTTTTTCCCTCTTTGTCTCGGGGAAATTGTGTTTCTGTTTCTAAATTTCTTATCTGCTCTGTATTCCAGGAGTGTAGCCACTTGTCACTTTTCTCTCTTTTCATTGTGATTTGAAACCTCATTTTCCAATTTCCTAGGAATCAGTTTTTATCCTTGACCTCCCCCTAAGAGCTGTCATGTTTTATTTCATAATAAATGAAGACTGAATGTGAGAACTCTTCACTGTTCAAATTGTGGGAACATTTCCTCCCTGAGTGTTTAGTCTGTACTCTTCCCAAAAGCTGAACCAGAACACAAGAGAGGATTTGTTTGAAGCAAAGTGCTCTACAGACAAAGATTCTTTACTCTGTAGCAGCTGCAGGAGAAAATGCCACATAGGCCACTCCCTGTGTGGACAGTTGTGAAAGGAAGCCAGAGTCTGTGGTACAGCTGAAGGGAAGAGCAGAGGACAGAGGGATTTCCTCTCAAAGGTCTCTCATCTTTTTGTTTGTTCTTTTCTCCTCAGATGCTGATAGGTCTTGCAGGCTACCTGAGTGGATATGATGGGACCTTTTTGTTCCAGAAGCCAGGGGACAAATATGAGCATCACAGCTACATGGGAATGAGAGGAGTAAGACTTCCTGACTTGATATAAAATTGATGGAACCCAGGGATCACACTCAGTCAGAGGTGTCATAGTTAGAAACCTTGGGGTGGTGGCAGTGGTAAATAAAGGAACTTTGAAGAAGAGAGGAGAATCATTGAACACACCTCATTTCCTTGGTGTGGAGATTCAGAACTGAGGTGGGCAAGAAGAAAAGAGGAGTCATGGCTAATACGGAGATTACATCCAAGCAAGCACATGCTGTCACCTGTCACCTGCTGCCCTAGCCACGGGTGCTGTAAGCTCAGGTTGGAAAGCAGCCTGGTCCAGGCAGTCAGGAGTGGCCTGCAGCTTTTCCATGGTCTCTGTACTGGCACAACATTTGTCATTCCTTTCTGCAGACACACTGCTTAGATAATACCTGCCTCTGAGAGGCTTTCCTTAGATTTTGATAATCCCACACCCTATCTCCAGCTTCCCACTTTTTTACCTACAAAGGTTTCAAGCACACATAAAGAGTTTTCCAGTGTTATTTTAAGGGAGACCAAATATCTGCTCCAGTTCTTCTGACATCCAGCACCTGCTGCGATAGAACCTGGCAGAGCCTAAATACGCAGCTCTCTGGGACTCTTGAACATGTAACGTAATAAAAAATTCAGAAAGCTGACTTCCAGCCTAGAACTCTCAGAACAGTTTGATTTACAAGCCCCTTCCCTTGAGGAATTCATAGCATTTTAGATAAATGGCTGTGTGCTTTCTTGGGCTAATCATTAGATAATTTATACACTCATATCATGCCATATTAAACAAGGAATCCCCTATCCTCAAGTTTGTGTTTTTAAGTGATTCTGTCTTCCTGTTGACTTTTGAATACCACATAGCATGTACATTTGGGCATATACTTGACTGACTGTGAATGTGTTAGAGAAATTGAGGCCAAACACAACAGCCTCATTCAGTCTCTTCACACTAGGATATTTGGTTTCTATTTACAAAAAATGACAACCTAAGGGTGAGAATTTCCCTTTTCCCTGCGCTTGCCTACTTACTATTGATGGGCAGGGTGAAGGGATGGAAGAAGGCTGATAATTTAAATGAGAATCCATTCTGTAGATTAAAGAGTGGCTTCTAGTGTGACTGAAAAAAAGAACCAGGGAGACAATATAAAAATAAGGTTAGGGGGCTGGGGATTTAGCTCAGCGGCATAAGCGCCTGCCTTGCAAGCAGGCAATCGTGAGTTCAATCCCTGGTACCGATAAAAACGAAAAAGACAAAAAAAAAAAAAAAATGTTAGAAAGTCTGAAAATGTTAAGATACTTTTGAAGAGGTCTTTCTTAGCTAATACCCACATTAGGTATAAGATCAGATATAATTTAATGCTTGACTAGTATTAGAATCTGATTTTTGTCAGATGTTTTTGCCATCCAAGTACTCACCAGGCCTGACCCTGGTTAGCTAGAGATCAAATGAGATCGAGTGTATTCAGGGTGAAGTGGCTGTAGACTGTCAAATATTTCTGTGAATTAATGAGCTTTTAGCCTGTTTAATCTTCAAAGTAAAGCTGGGAGGTAGGAACTTTATTTTTCCCATTTCCCAAATGGGGAAGCTGAGATAAAAGATGTGCTAGGATAACAGCTAGCCGCACTGGGGAATTGTTCTGGTTTCAGACCAGTTGCATGTGTTCCTGCTACTCCATAGGAACATACATTGCTTGATATGATGACCCTTCACTGTTATACCTCCTTTTTCTACTAACAGACACTCTACGTGACTTTAGGGTCAGCAGGGACATAACCTTTATCAGTGCCCTCCATTTTAGACATTAGTCTGTACCAACTTAAGTAGGTCGTTCATGCTTAGCTCTAGCTTATTTATTTAACAGTTGGTCTGTTCCTTCCATAGTTCTGTGCATTCCTTGGTTCCTGGCTAGTCCCCTTTGCCTACCTCATTGTATTGGATCTGTCCAAGTCCCTCCCAGCAGCACTGCTCACTGCCGCCCTTCTCATCTTTGGTAAGTTGTCTTACCCTGTGTATTTTTGGAAATGGGATAATTCACTGTGAGGATGGCTGGAAATCAGTGCATTAAACCATCCCGTCTATGGCTCTAGTTCTTCATTAACATGAGATCAGGTAAGATGTATTACCAGTCTCATTTTATTTTTATACCTAACACTTTGATGTAGCAAGTCCTCACATTGTTAAAGTTGGCATGGGTAATCTCAAGCTATATACCACTTCCAAGTTTTCCACATTTTTGAATTTGGAATGGATAATAAAATGTGCATAGGGATATAGCTCAGCAGCTTAAGTCCCTGCCTGGTAAGTGCAAGGTCCTGAGTTCAATTTCTGGTATCCCCCAAAAATGTTCATGTGTGTTCATGTGCATGTGGTTTTTTTAAAAAATTTTGTTTCTTTCTTTTTTTTTTTTTTTTTTTTGAGACAAGGTCTTATATGCAGTTCAAGCTGGCCTTGAGCACACTATGTAGCCCAGACTGATTTCGAACTCTTAACAATCCTCCTGCTTCAGCCTCCTGAGTATTGGGATTATAGGTGTATGTCACTGTGCCCAATGCATGTATGTGTTTGAAGGAAGCTTATTGTTTTAATTTTGCTTCTCTGAGGTTGATACTAAGATTAGTGTGCATTCCCCAAACTAATTGCAACTGAATATAATGGCAGACACTGCAAAAGTAGTGGTGTGGCAGGAAATAGCAATGGAAATTTAAATATTTTTTGTAGATCTTTATATGGACAACTGAGAGTTGATTGCAGAACTTGATCCTCTTGCTAGCCCTGTTCTTGTGAAAGTGAATTCATAACCTTATGGAGCTTAACATTTGAAGAAGTCCAGAGCAGTTCAGGAGAACATTTTAGAGTTTGATTTTGCTTGATATATTATTTTATTTTGATGGATATGTTGTAAGGTTATACACAACATCTTCTAATGACTTTTTCCTTGTATCTTTAACTTTTCTCTTCAGGCAGTCATTTGTTTAATCATTTGTTCCTTTTTTATTCAACACCTGTTTCTCAAGACCTACCCTATACAGGCCCCTTTTATTGGCCTGAGGATACACTGTTCTCGCAGAGTTTATCCTTGAGAGGGGCAGGCAAGTACATTAGTAAGTCTGCAGTCTAACATCTTAAGTGCAGGGCAGGAAGTAAAGCTGAAGTAATAGGGATCAGTACTGCCTTACAGTGGGCATTGAAGAGCTCTCTGAGAAGGGAGCTTTGAGCAGAGGCCTGAGTGAAACAAAGGATTAAGCCGTGCAGAGTTCTGAGGAAGAACATTCAGCAAAGGGAACAGTGTGAGTAGCAGTTCTGGTGCAAGGCGTAGTGGAATCAAGGAGCAACAAGAAGGCTGGAGTGTGTGGCAAGGGAAGAATGAGTGAGACAGGGTGTTGGGAGGTGAGATTGGCCGGGGTGGGGAGATCACACAGCTTTGGCAGCTGTCATGAGAATTTGTTAATCTGAGTGAGATGACTGGAGGGTTTAAGCAGGGAAATAAGCTTTAAGATCGAAAAACTCACCCTGGTACCTATTTGGGAAATCAGCTTCAACAAAGGTATCATGTAAAATGATCAGACTCTGTCTTAGGTATATGTTATTTGTGGCTACCTAAGCAGGATACAGATGAGGAAGAGACTTGTCTTAGGGCTGCACTGAGTGAATGACGTGATCCTCTTGAATAGAGGACCTAGAAGAGTGTAAGACACTGCTTCTCATCACTTGGGAATTTTTGTACCTCAGAGCTGTGACCTTCTACACGGGGATGAGGCACTGGTGACTCGGTGGCCCCTTTGGGTGCTCACATACAATTAACCAGGGGAACTCTTTTTTACTACTGGGGTATTTGGTTTTTAGGGGCTCCCCCTTTTGACTCTGCATTTTGACTAGTGAGCTTATGTTTTTCAGATACAGGATGCCTCACTCTGTCCCAGTACATCCTCCTTGACCCCATCTTGATGTTCTTCATCATGGCTGCCATGCTGAGCATGGTCAAGTACAACTCGTATGCCAACAGGTCAGAAGCCCCATCGTTGGGAGGGGAAAGTCGGAAACTGTGGCTGCCATAGAAGTTCCACCTTGGCTAGTGCTGGGCTGGATGCTCAAAGCTGGCTTTAAAGCAAGCATTTGTCTGTCTTTTTGTTTGTTTGTCTTGTTTTTTTGGGTTTTTTGTCTGTCTTTTTAGAGTGTCTATTTGGTATAATAATAGATTTTAAAATGTCTTCTATAATTTTTTTTTCTTTTTACATAACCCTGAGAAAATGTCAGTTGTATGTTTAAATGAGTATTATTAAGTTTCTAGTGGGGGTACAGTTAGATAGGAATTTATAGATACTATGGAGAGGTCCTGTTGACTCCCTCACCCATGGTTTTTAAGCTGTCCCTCAGCACCAGTGCTGCCTAGGAGATCTGGGACAATGTATCACTCCCATTTGGCAGCCTAGAAGTGAGGACATTGGGGTAGACTCTGTCTAGGCCCTATTTATCTCCCTGCCCTTAGTGATTGCATCCAGTCCTAACCTACTGATGAGTGGTCCATACCAGCCCAGAGGAACCTTCCAGACCCTGGTCAATTCTAAAGCCTATGTGGAGAGTCTGGTCTGTTTCCGCAATAGTCTTTTTTCTGGATTATCCTTCTGCCTCTGAGAAAGTAGAGCAGTCAGCTCAAAAGGGCTGGGCTCCCGGGCTTTTCCAAAAGTCAGCTGGTTTCATACACGGCCACGCTCATTAAGCCACGTTATGCTCATCACACCTGAGCTGGTGACTGCAGCCCACTCTAGCTTTGGTTACCTTCTGCTTCTACCACATCTATTTCCATCTGCTAACTCCCTAATACATATTATGTGCCAAGTACTATACTAGGAGCTAGAGGTGCAGAGATACTGGCTTTAAGGAGCTTCCATTCTGATAGCGGAGGCAGCCAGATCTGAGAATTGGACTACAGTGTACTATTTATTACAAGAATAGCAAAACACTGAAGAACATTAGCCTTGGAGCTGATACCAGGGTTAGATCTATGTTTCACTGCTTCCTGGCTGTATTGGCCTCTCTGTACCTCAGATTCCTCATATGTAAAAAGAGGATAATAATGCTGTCTGCTTCACTGGGTTGTGGTGAAGGTTAGAAGAGTTCACATGTATTTAGTACTTGGTATAGGTTCTGACACATAGTAAGCACTCAGCAAATAAACACTTGCTTTGACATTTGTGTCCAGAGGTGACACAAAGGAGAGGGGATAGCATAATAGACTTATTGAGATTTCCTTTCTGCTTCTAGTTGATTGGTCACTAGTAAAGAATGAGCCTGCTGTGTATCATATGCCCTGTACTTAGCCAAGAACATTATGGACCCTTTACCCAGAAAAATGTCCTACTTTCTCACACACTGTCTGACCCACCATTTTAGGAGTTTCACAGACCACATCATCTGTGGTATCATAGCATTGTCCCCTGAGGTGAGTAACCCCCAAGGCTCAGGGCACAGCAGAATCTTCCTGAGCCAGAGGACTTCTGCCCTATCCTACTGCACTCCGGCTTTCGAGTTTGCTTCTAGCTGCCAAACTGAACTCTTGTCTTGTTTGTTTCCAGGCCTTTCTCTGCCCCCTGGTGGTTCTGGCTCATTCTGACTGGCATCAGTCTTACTGGTGCTTTAGGGGTCAAGTTTGTTGGCCTCTTTATCATCCTGCAAGTGGGGTTAAACACGATTGCAGACCTGTGGCACCTGTTTGGAGACCTCAGTCTTTCACTGGTGAGAACTGGTGCTGGTTGAAATGTCTTTGCTTCCTAGTGTTGCTCAGCAGGAACTAGTGGTCATTCTCTGCCTCTGCCTCGGGTGGTAGAGTGACAGTGTCCTGGGTCTTAGCTGGGTTGACCTGGCCAACGGCTGGAGAAATACAAAGGGAGAGAAGTAACAGCTTTGGGATTCTCTTTTGGCATTTGTTTCCATACTGTCTTGCACATATTCTGCGGACTATCTAACCAAGGGAATCTGTTCAGTTGGGTTCATGCCAGATGTGTGGCAGACACTGACTTCATGAGATTTAGGTAAAATGGATGGGATGACTTCTGAACTCAGTTTCCTTTTCCTGACCCATGGGCTTCATATTTGGAGGCCAGTAAGGTCTTAAGATTTACTATATTATCAGTTATTAAGGACCAATTTGGTAAGCACTATGCTAAATACTTTACCTTCATTATCACATTTAACCCTCATAACAATCCTGTGAGGTGGGTAGTTATTGCCTTGACTTTACAAATGAGGAAGTTGAGATGTCCAAATCCCACAGATAGTAAAGGAAGGTCTAGGACTCATATTTAGGCTGACGAAAGATATCCGCTCCTTTGCCTACAGTGCTTCTTGTGTCACTTCTGAACCAAACCCCTAACACATTTATTCAGAAAATATATGGAGACCATCCACTAAGTGTGAGATGCTGGGAATACACAGAAGAATAAAACATTACTCCTGCCTTCTAGAGTCATGGAGAAAGAAAGAGGAATGAGTAAGCAGGCGATTATAGTCCAGCTCAAAAGTGCTGTGACTGTGTGGGAGGTGCACTCCCTGAGGCTGAAGTAAAGCAGGACACAGTTGGCCACATGATGGTAGGGCTGGCACAGTACAGGGAGGCCTTGGGAAAGCACACGGAGTTCAGTGTCACTGAGTGTCACTGGTGAGCAGCAGCTGAGCCTTACTCAAGGTGCTGTGACAGTTCTGGGTGCAGGGCCTGGAAAGGAGCAAAGGGCTGGCCCATTTTAGTGCTTGAGTGGGAGTATGTATGTGTGGGCTATTACAGAAAGAGAGGCCTAGGGTTCCCACATATTCTTTCCTATCACCCATTTTCATCACTAGGGCTTATATATAAGAACACGTATATCACCATAGACATTATAAGGAGTAATAGGGCCCCACGTGCCCACTACCCCATGCTGGCTTCTGTTTGCAGGTCACTGTGGGAAAACACCTGATGGCTCGCATCCTGTGTCTCATAGTACTACCTCTGGTGCTCTACATGGCCATTTTTGCTGTTCACATCATGGTGCTGAATAAAAGGTACAGCTGGACTTTCCCATTGTCTTGGTCTGATCTCCTTCTGGCTCCTGAGCCTGTGGATGGGCCATGTGGTTTCCTGGTCTGTGGCTTGGATAATGGAGGCAGGGGCAGGAACTTTTCTTGTTTTCTCTTTTCCCTGGTACTCTGAGTATTCCAAGGACTTAGGCCAGCACTTCACCCTGAAGGATAATTTCTTGGTAGTCAAACTGCCCTTTATCTTTAAGCTGAGCCCCTTGTCCTGGATAAGGAAGAGCACCATGAAGGGATGGGGCAGGAGTAGGGGTAATAAGCACGACCAGCACAACAGCTCAAACTTAATGAGTACCTGCTAAGTGCTAGGAACTGTCTTCAGCATTTTGTATACATGACCTCATTTAGTCATAACTATTTGTAAGTTTTTTTTTTAATCTCCAATTTATAAGTGAGGCATTGAGGCTAAACAAGGTTAGGTATATTTCCCAAGTCACTCAGCTAGTAAGTGGCTGAGTTGCGATTTGGACCCCATTTTCTACAACTCTGTCATCCACTCTGTCCCCTGATACTATGCTGCCATTCTGATTTTAAATCTTTTAAATTAACTGAAGGCTCCTGAGAAATCACAGTTTTCACTCCATTAACTTGGCCGTCTTCTACCCATCATCTTCCCACAGTGGACCTGGTGATGGTTTCTTCAGTTCTGCCTTCCAGGCCCGGCTTTCAGGGAACAACCTTCACAATGCTTCCATCCCTGAACGTGAGTGTTCCGGGCCTCCACACACAGTAGCAGGGGGATTTCCTGGGAGTTGTATCAGAAGACAGAGGTCTGATTGCTGGAGTTACTTTAGCATGTAAATGGCAGAATGGGAGGGGAGAAAGACCCAGTATTCTGGTAAGAAATCTCAAAAATGAGTCAGGTTGGTGCAGAGGAAGACATCCTGAGCAGCAGGCTCTTTGACCCCCCAGAAGAACTTCTTTGTGGTTGCCAGAGCCAGCTCGGAGAGAAGGCCAGTCAGAGAGATTTGTGACAGGGCAGGGCCCACCAGGGTGAGTGGTCAGCTTCCACTACAGTGTTCTGCTATTGATTCACTTTTTTGCAGACAGTAATCAGTAGAGTCTGGTACAGAAGATCCCCATGATGTGTGACCACTTATGTTAAGCACATGAAAGAGAACACAGAGCACTGGGGATTGAGGTTACTCCTGCTGGACAGTTGGAGGGATCAGAGGTATATGCGGTGGGTTGCCTTGGAGTCAGGCCCTGGAAGATGGGTAGATTTCAGGAAGTAGTGGGTGGAGAAGAGGTATTATTGAACAGAAGGGATGGTGTGACTAAAGCTAAGAACAGGGCGAAACTCCAGGCACAAGTGACATGCAGAAGGATGCTGAAATATAAGTTTGAAAAGACAGTTTGGGCCTATATTATGGGATTTTGAGATACTCAGTTGAGGTTTTAGAGGCATGGTGAAGGTCTTTAAGCAGGCAGAAGGCCAGGAAGACTGCAGCAGGGTGATGACATCTCTGGAGGAGTGTAGGATGGCTAGGGAACAGACAGGGGGAAGACCTGCCCTGGGAAGCAGTTGCAGAGTCTGCAACTAGGCCTGGTGACAGCAGCCACACAGGTGAGGCAAATGGGTGTATGCTAGGGACGTGAGTCACGGAAAGGAAAAAAGAGATACGTCCCTGAGGACGTGAGTGCAGGTGACTACTTGGTGATGGTAAGGCCCACATATTACTTGTTTTTGTGTCTCCGGTACTTTAAACAACACCGGAGCATAGTGGGCCCTCCAAGATGGTGAAAGAAATGGGAACTAGGGAAGTAGGAGGAAAAGTTGGTTCAGAAGGGCAGATGCTGAGTTCCACAGTAGAGCTAAAAGCTGTATGGGCAGCCAGTGGGCCTGGGGCTGATGCTTCCAAAGGAGCCAAGTAAAAAGTAATGTGGGAGTGGCTAGAAAGAGAACAGAGCAGGGCTGAGGTCAGGTCACTGCTAAGTGCCAGAGAAAAAGGAATGAGGGAAGCAGGCTGCAGATGAACAGTTTGCAGGAAGCAGTAGGGCCAAGAAGGGGGAAACAGAGCATTTCAAGAAACAAAGGTGATCCATCAGCACTTAGCTGCAGGTACTGGTTACATGAGAATGGGGAAAAATAAAGCGACAAAGTTCATGAATTCCTAGTTGTCTACTTAGAAGGCCTAGCTCACTGTGATTTTAAGTCATCATCCTTTTTCTCCTTGAGAGAGAATGTATTGAACCCTTCCCTGGGTTCCCTTGATGTCACACATTGTCACACTTTTGCTCGAGCACTTTGCATTGCCCTGTTCTTGTCAGTTCTTGTCAGTGTGCAAAGCTGTCTTCCAAATAGGTAAGGCTCTTCACAATCCTCAGGCAGCCTCCTTCGTCTTTGACTCGTCTTCTGTGTAACTGGTGCATTCTGTTGGTCTGCATCAATGGTGGAGCAGGAGACCTGTTGCAGTGGTCTAGAGGGGAGCTAGACTACAGGGATGGAGAAGAGGAATGGTAGTAAGGAAAAGGGGCTGCTTATGAACCAAGGCCTGCAGGAGGAAAGAATGCACTTGGAGAAGTGGTTTACCCAAATGTTGTTTTCTTATTTAATTCACAGTAAAAAAAAAAAAAAATAGCTTTGACATCTTAAAATAGTTATTTCATGTAGTACTAGGTTCAAAAGGCATAAAGAGGGCTGGGGATTTAGCTCAGTGGTGTAAGCACCTGCCTAGCAAGTGCAAGATTGTGAGTTCAATCCCCAGTACCCAGAAAAAAAAAAAAAAAGACATAAAAACATAAAGAGACACAGTGAAACAGTTCATTGTACGGTTACTATTGTAACAGTTCATTATATTATTATATCTTGGAGAACAATCTGGACATAGCACAAAATGGGTCTTTTTATTTTATTATATTCATGGACAGACCTTGACTGAGGGACAAGCTGTTTCTAATCTTGCTATTACAAATGCTTTGATAATGACAGTGTCAACACTCAGCTTTTTCTCAGGTCCTCAGGAGGGACTGGGACAGGAAGGGATGTGCAGGCGAGACCTGGTAGGGAGCTCTTTCTTGAGCTGGTCTCAGTGAAGTGAGAAAGCATCTCCTGCTTCAGACAGTGCCGTGTGCAGTGTAGTCTCTTAGGGGGCTTATGGGTCCTGTGGCTTTGGAAGTCCCTCCTAGGCAGGAAAGCCTCTAGCACAATGGCCACTTGTTTGTCTGCTTCTTCCCTTCCAGATCTGGCTTATGGTTCTGTGATCACGGTGAAGAACCTCCGGATGGCCATTGGCTACCTGCATTCCCATAGGCACCTCTACCCTGAGGGCTTCGGTGCCCGTCAACAGCAGGTCGGTGGGTCTCTGTGCACTACTGTAGTGATGCTGAACTGTTTGCCGTGGCTGAACCTGCGTTCTCTTTCTTGCTTCTCCTTTGCTTGTGCTGCTTCCCGGCTTGGAGCAGTGTTAGTTCTGCATGCTTCTCTCCTTTCCTCTGGTTAACCCCAGCTTCTTTAGGCTTCAGTCCATCATGATCCCTCTTCCCTGGTAGTGGGTCAGGTGTCCCTCTTAGGAGAGCTTTCTCTGTACCTCTCCAGACTTCTACATTCACAAGGAGTGTGACTGTTTACTTTCATCTACCTTTCTGCTGCTTGATTGCTCACTCCTGGAAGGCTGAAATGCCTGGCATGGAGTTAATAAGGTGTATAGTATAGTATAGTCATTATGAATGCAGACTTGGGAACTAGGCTAGCTTACCTACATTTGAATCCTGGTTCCATATAAAGTATGATTTTGAGCAAATTTCTTTATCTGTCTACGTGGTATTCTCATCAACGAAAGTTACTGTGTGATGGCGAGAATGGTTAAAGTTAGAAAGATAACTTCAGTGGGAATGGAATAGATTGTATGCCTAGTTAGTAGATAGTAATTACGACAAAAGAGAAGAGAGGCAGAGTTTGTGAGGATGGAGGAAGGAACTGATTCAGGAAATACTTCACAGGTATGATGACCGGGCAACAGATGAGTGGCAGGAAGAGCTGGGCCCAGGCCTATAGTTTGTGTGTCAAGATGTATCACTAGAGAAGGGGAAGAGGAATCACTTTGGAGATGGGAGAGTTAGGCTTTGTGTCTTAAGGTCTGGGGCTTGTCTCTGGAGAGAGGTCAGAGTGTGTGCTGTGCAGGTGTAGCTCACAGGGGAGGGGTGGCGTTTCCCAGAAAGGCTGTAGAGGTGCAGGAGGGGGCCGTGAGGGAATCCTGGGTACACATATATGGCAGTGTCTGAAGCTACGTGGTGGAGCCAGTGCAAGAGAAAGGAAGGAAGGAATTGGAAGAGCAATGGAGGAGAGTGTAAGGGCAGCGAGGATCTCTGGGAGAAGGAGGTGGTCAGCATTTGGAGTGCAGTGGAGTCCCAGAGGTTGAGGTCTAAGAGAGAGGCCCTGAGTGCAGGGTTGGCCTGTGACTGGTAAGGAAAGGTTTGTGCAGCAGCAAGGGAGGAGGTCGCAGGTGCAGCGGAACCAAGGAAGTGAGGTAGAGGTTGCAGAGCAGAGCTGCTTTGTGAGGCTTGCAAATCAAGTGTATCTTTTTTTTTTTTTTTTACAATTTATGTATTTTTTAAAGAAAAAAACAAAACAGAAAAAGGATAGAAATAATACATAATTTCAAAAAATAAACAGTAAGAAATCACTAGTTGATAATTACATATTGTCTTCTTAGAAATCGTTCAAGTTACAAAAGTAAAGCATATAAAGTGGACATTCAGACAGCGAGACTGCAAACAGTTCTGTTCAACTGTCCAACAAAAACTTAGTAATATGCTTATCAATCCTACACACTTAAACATAGATGCAGTTATATCCTTTAGAGCACTTTCTTTTCTTCTCTTTTTTACAAAAGTGTATCTTCTTACAATGACCAGTGTTTTCACTTTGCAAAAAGTTTTGCTATTCTTTTTTTTTCAAATCGGTATCAGGGATCGAACTGACGACTGCGCACTTGCAAGGCAGGCGCTTATGCCGCTGAGCTAAATCCCCAGCCCCAAAGTTTTGCTATTCTTATGCTTTGTTATCATTTCCTTTTTTTAGTTACTAGAGCGTTGACCTAAGATACTAGACTTGAGTATCAGTGTCTCGTCCTGGCACTCTACATATGTGCTTCTCAGCCCTGGCTGCATTTTATAATCAACTGGAGAACTTTTATAACATTCTGATACCTGGGCTCTACCTCCAAGATTCTAATTGAATGATCTAGGGTGGGGCTTGCCCATGCATTGCAGATTTTTGTTTTAGTTATAGCTCTCCAGATTTTACCACACAGCCAGAAAACCACAGCCAACTTCCAGAGTGATACCTTGCTGCAGTTATCATGTAGAAATAATAAAGTTACAGATGTGGTGGCCAGAAAAAGGCCAATTTCTGAAAGACAGTAATTAAGCTTATTTCTCCACTTGGAACTTATATGTGCAGGTGTGAAGTTGATGACACTGTAGAGAGAGTATTGGGTCAAGGGACAGAAATGTCTTTGCTGAATCATTTGGCCTTTCTCAACTGCTTTCCTCCTCTGCAAATTGAGGAGAGTGGACCAAATAACTATCTCTTTGTTGGGGCCAGGGGATTAGCTCAGTGGTATAAGTGCCTGCTTGGCAAACCTGAGATTCTGAGTTCAAACCCTGGCACCAAAAAAAAAAAAAAAGATTTAACTATCTCTGTGTCTCAATAGTAAATGTTTTTTGTGTTTTTTAAAGAAGAAAGATTTAATTTAAATGTTTTTTTTCAGATTTTTTTGATATATATATATTTTAAATCCATTTTATTCATAGATTAAAAAAAAAAGCTACAACAAAAATTTAAAGTACATCAATCAGGGAGTAGTAATGGTACATACATTGTGCATTGTCATCCACAAATCATTCACCCAAGACATCTGCCTTCAACATTAAATGTTTTTAAAGTATAATAGTTATAAAGTAAAATTAGAAGATATGAAAAAATACAAAAAAGCAAAGCTACATGTAATTCAAGATCTGTTTTACTCACCTATTTTGATGTATAGCATTCTGTTATAATTAGATCCTGTGTTCCTAGGAAACCTCATGTTATTACAAATTCCATTGTAGAAACAAATGTTTCAGTGGAAAAAAGGCAAAGGAAATATACTCACAATAAAGAAATAATTTTTCTTATATGAATTTTAATGGTAATAGCTTTGTAAAAGTAAACAAAAAGCACTCTTCCACTCTGCATCCCCACAGAACCTTAACAATTCATTTGTTTTGAGAAACAAAGCAAAAACTGCTTAAAGCAGCCATAAAACATGCAAAAAAATATTTTTAAATAAACCATCATGCAAAAATCTCTGCAAGCATATTAGTTGTATCCAGATGGAGTTATGAAAACTCATATTGTAAAAGAAATGCTATATTTAAAGTTGTTCCAGGTGTCTCTGTACTTCTTTACAAATTGGCATAATTGTGTCTTGGGAATGTTGGAGTTAGCTGGTTCAAATCCTGTCTTTCCAACACATAAGCTGTGTGGCATCAAGCAAATGACTTACCCTGTTTCCTTATGAGTAATATGGGAAACAAAAGCACCTCCTCGTGATAAATGGTAGCCATTCTCACCAGCATTTCAGCGGCCTTTCCCAAATTGCTAAACACAATCTGAAACATTTTTAGTGACTATATAATAATATATCCCATGAACATAGTATCCTATTAACTGTTTCTCTATTAATATTTAAATCATTTCCAGATTTTCACAGCATTATAGCCATATGCATGTAAGCACACATACCTAATTTTTATAAAATTAGTGTGCCCAAAGATGAAAACTCTAGGATAAGATATGTATGGAACTTTTTAGTTTCACTTAGCCACATTATAGAAACATATCATGAAATTTTCATTTGGAAAGTTTGAGGCATGGTCTTACTTTATTACTTATTTATTTATTTTTGTCTTTTTTGTTTGTTTGTTTTTATCGGTACCAGGGATCGAACTCACAACTGCCTGCTTGCAAGGCAGGCACTTATGCTGATGAGCTAAATCCCCAGTCCCATATTACTTATTTATTTATTTATGCCTTTTTGAGACAGGGTTTCGCTGTGCAGTTCTTTGTAGCCCATACTGCCCTTGAACTCCCAGTAGTCTTCCTGCCTTGGCCTCTTGAGTGGTGGGATTACAGGAGTGCACCACCATGGCTGGCCATGGTCTTAATTTTTAAAATACACTATATCTACTCTGTGCACTTCAGATTGTTATACAAGGTGTCATGGTTCCTCCTTCTAGGAGGCTATAACTTTAATACTAAGGTACAGAAACAGTGGCCAAATCAACAAGACTGAATCTGGAAAGAAAGTGAAATCTCAGGCTAGCGATATAGCTCTGTGGCACAGTGCCTGCCTGGCAAGTGTACAGTCCTGAGTTCGATTTCTCTCCCCCTTCACACAAAAAAAGAAAGTAAAGTCTCAGCAATGCTGCTTCTGAGCCCTTTTGGGAAATTTGGCCCCTTGGGTTGGTGGCTGAGGATTCTGAAAAAGTCTCAGCAGTGTTGGTTTACTGGGGGTTGTGCTTAGCCAGCTGTGCTGAGAGTAATGAATTTATTCTCCCTCCCACCACCTCTGCCCTCTGCCTCCATCCTCCCCCAGGTCACCACCTATTTGCACAAGGACTACAACAACCTGTGGATCATCAAGAAATATAACATAGACTCAGGTAATATGGTCAGGAACTGCCACTTCTTATTTTATTACTTATTCTGAACCCCAGGATTTTTCATGCTGCCAAAAGAATGATGCTGAGATAGGCTTTCCTGAGTGTCATTGACAGTGTCTTCACTGATTTCAGCTGTTCTCTCAATTATCGAATACCTACTGTGTTTCAGGCACAGTCATAGGCATAGGCATAAGCGTAGCAGTTAGGCAGTGGGAAAACAGATAAGATCTGCCTTAGCACTGTCGTTTTGAAGCCATAGAACAGGGCTCCCACTTCATCCAGGAAAAGGTCACCTGAGTACAGCATCAGGGACTGGGGAGTAGCCATGAGCAAGGATGTCTGACGCTATTCTCATTTCTCACGTAGAGCATGGCTCGCCTTCAGAAGCCAGAATGTGGTCTTGACAGGGTCAGAGTGCTGTCCGTTGCTCATCCCTAGATCTGAGGGCCAGCCCTGTAACTGGGCTTGTCTAGGTTGGTGCCTGGGACATTCAGCCTGACTGGTCTGGCATATATCTGTCAGACTTTCTGGATCTTGCTGAATGTGGTCAGGCAGCCAGCTACCTGCTGGCTGTGCCTTCTGCTGAGCTGAGAACAGAGGCTCCTTCCTCTCGCTGTCTGAGCCCATCATCACTGCCAGTGTCCTGCATCCTCAGCGTTCACTGTGACTCTTCACCTGCCTTAGCCTGTCCCTAGCCACTGTTCCTGGGCCTTTGTGAAGTGGGCTCATTTCAGTTCACTTTCTTTTTCCGTCCCACTTCCTCTTACTGCCTTTTTCAGGCCAGAATCATGACATACGCAATTCGTGTCTTTGCATTCCGTTTATTTCCTTGGTAATACAGATTATGGTGCCATTGAGCAGAGTCTGGTTTTATACCCTCAAAATACTAGTACAGGGCCAGGGATTTAGCTCGGTGGCACAAGTGCCTGCCTGGCAAGCGTGAGGTTGTGAGTTTGATCCTTGATACCAAATAATAATAATAATAATAATAATAATAATAATAATAATAATAATAATAGTATGGATTGTGTTTTGACCTAGCAACCAACATAAGTCATTCATTATTACGAGGAGTTAGGAAGGAAGAACTGTTTTAGTTTTACTTCAATCAAATGACTCAAACCAAACTTTGAATATTCCTAGTTTGTTATGCCACTGTTATGCAAACTAAGGGTTTTCTGGGAACCTTCGAAACTAAAATTTTGCCTGCTTAATGGCTGTAATTCCCTCCTCCACCAATCCACATGAGATAAAACTTCCCTCCCCAGTTAATCTGAAGAGACCTTAAAAGGTAATATAGCGTAGACATCCATGCATTTGAGTTCTGTGATTCTCCCAAGAGCCAGAGATTTGCACTGACAAGTTTATCTCTCCTGACCTTGATCTGTTTATAGTGTTGGTGTTCCACTGTTTGGGACAGTAATTTGCAATGCTGCATTCTGCATGACTGATGATTTCCAGCTCCCTTTCCATGTCATTGCCTTTTTACATCTTCATTAGTTTTGATTTCCAGATAACACAAATGTATCCTTTCATTTCATCATTTTCTCCACCTCACACTTAGCAATCTGTTGCCAGAGATAAGATTTAATTTTTTAGGAAAATGGGCTGGGGATTTAGCTCAGCGGCACAAACACCTGCCTGGCAAGTGTGAGTTTGATTCTTGGTACCTTCCCCCAATATATATATATATGTATATATTTTTATATATGTATAGGCACCAACCTAGACAGTATGCATGATGAGTAGCATGGGAACCAAGGGCGGGGAGTTCTTCTAGGAAATGAAATAGACCGAAGTCTTGCCTGAGGCTCTGGTAATAGAGCTGTGCTGGAATGAGAGAACATTTAGGAAAATGGTGATTTGTGTGGAAATAATTTCAGGGAGATCGCTAAAAGAGAAATTTTACTTTGTTTCCCAGGTTAAGGGTTTTTTTTGTTTGTTTGTTTTTTGTTTTTTTTTGAGACACAGTTTGACTTTGTAGTTCAGGCTGACCTTGAACTCAGTATGTAATGCAGGCTGGCCTTGGGACCACACAAATGTGCCACCACACCCAGCCCCAGTTTAACTTCTTGTAGAGACTTCAGAGCCTATCAAGTAAAGACCACATTGCTCAGCCTGGCACGTGCATCTTCATGCTCTCGTCTGTCCCACTCCCTGCTTGCTCACATTTCCTAAGTATGACATCATGTGCCATTAGTCACACGAGTTTTGTTCTTTCATACATCTGTGCCTTTCCCCAACTAGTTCACTTGAAAAACATCCTGCTTTCCATGAAGCATTGTTTTCAACCTTTGTCTCTAGGACCCCTTCTGTAATGCTCCTCAGCGACTGAGGTCTGTTGGTCCCACAGCACTGTGTTGGTGCCTCTAGCACATTCCACATGGTGGCACTGTAGCTGTTTGCAGTAGGCCATCACTTGACAATAGTCTAGAGTGAGAATGATCTCAATGTTAATGCTTATCTCTCCTCGGCAGATCCGCTAGACCCCTCGTTCCCAGTAGAGTTTGTGAGACATGGAGATATCATTCGACTGGAACACAAGGAGTAAGTGAATGTACACTCTGCGTGATGAGTAGCATGGGAACCAAGGGCGGGGAGTTCTTCTAAGAAATGAAATACTCCGAAGTCTTGTCTGAGGCTCTGGTAATAGAGCTGTGCTGGAATGAGAGAGCTAGGTTAGGGGCTGGGGATTTAGCTCAGCGGCGAAGCACCTGCCTTGCAAGCAGGCGGTCGTGAGTTCGATCCCTGGTACCGATAAAAACTGAAAAAGACAAAAAAAAAAATTTAAAAAAAAAAAAAAGAGAGAGCTAGGTTAGGAAGGTGATGAACTTCGCAGGCCACCCTTTGCCTGCCAGTCTTGGCCTTGGGGGCTTTGGGGGTTCCTTTTCCTAGAAGAAAAGATAAAAGTTGAGCTGCCTAAAGCTACTGCTTAAGTGACTGCCTTGAGAAAATGTAAGCCTCTACTTCTGGAACACTACAAACTAGTTTATTTCACTTGTGTTCTCACTGAAATGATTGAAAATGCCAGGATAACATAAAAACTTAAAGGTACAACAAAGCTGGCAAGGTACCAGTTACTACTAAGCTAATAATTGAAGTAAAAGGGGAAATCAAGAAAAGTAAGGCAATAAAAGCCACTTTTGCCCTGATCCCACCATCTTGGAGCATTGGTCTTCCTTTTTGATTTTTTGTTTTGACTGCCTCTTGAGAGAAGTGGGTTTTTTTTTTGTTTGTTTTTTTTTTTTTTTGCCTACTGGGGATTGAACTCACGACCTTGCACTTGCCAGGCAGATGCTTATGCCACTCACGAGCTAAATCCTCAGCCCTGAGAAGCTGTTTGAGTGTCAAAGCTCTAGGCTCACCCAAGGTGGTTACTGTATTAATTGATCCCTCCCCTACACTTGGGTAAGGGTAAATCTGCCCTATCTACTTAGGAGTGGATTGGGTAGGAAACTAGTTCCCAAGAATCTGTAACAGTTAATCCTCACATAGATTTTCAGTTCTCATTTATGTCACCTTGATGTTCTCAAAATCTTCATGCTATGGTTTTAATAAACATGATTTAGACTGGTAATATCTCCTAGGTACCTGGTTAAAAGCAAGGATAAATGCCGTTTGGGAAAGACATTGCAATCCAATCCTAAAAATAGTTTTTCAGCAACAATGAATAGTGTCAGTCAAAAAATGCATCACTGCCGGGCATGGTGGCTCACGCCTGTAATTCCAGCACTCGGGAGGCTGAGGTGGGAGGATCATTTCGAGTTCGAGACCAGCTTGGGCTACAAAGTGAGCTCAAGGCCAGCCTGAACTGCATAGCAGACCCCATCTCAAAAAAGACCCCTCCCCCCCAAAAAAATGCATTGCTGGAGGAAATAGGGCCCGTGCATAAAGAGCAATCAGAAACAATATTACAAGTAGCTCTGCCAAAATTCATACACTGGATTTGTCAGGTACAGATTTTTTAAGAACCAGGGAAATCAAGGATTTATTTACACATACATATGTACATGTGCTATCTATATCTATATATATTATATAGATATTCATTATATATTTATATATAATAGATATAGACAGTGTATGTACGTATTAGATATGGAGGGAGCATAGTGGTAATCATTTGGATTTGGGGTACTTTGAATCTTTATTATTAAACAGATTTTATTTTGATTAAACTTTATTGTAATTAAATTTTATTTTTACAAATCAAAAAATTTATAAGAAACATTTGCATACTACTTATGAATAAAAAAGTTGTTACAAAATATTAAATAAATGACTGGACATCATAGCACATGCCTGTAATTCTAATACTCGGGAGACTGAGGTAGGAGGATAGCCATGAGTTCATGAGCAACCTGGGCTACATAATGAGTTGAAGGTCAGCCTGAATTACAGAGTGAGATCCTGTCTCAAAACACTATAACAAAAAAAGATATTTAATAAGTGAAAGCAAAACTAGATGCCCCTCTTTCCATACCAATTCTCACTTTAAGAAAATGGTGATAAGCTGGGGATTTAGCTCAGTGGCATAAGCACCTGCCTGGCATGTACAAGGTTGTGAGTTCAATCCCTGGTAAAGTGAATGGGAGTATCTGTGATAGACGTGTAGATTATCAGTGTTAATTTTGTTCTCCCCAGACTTGCCTCATAAGTCAGGTAAGCTAAGTGTTTCAAGGCCATCAAATGTGTAAAAGTTACTCCTGTCCCAAGACCCCTGAGGTTGGCCCCTTTTCTGCTGTGTAGTCAGGTGCTCCCACCATCTCTCCTTTTGATCCAAGACTTTTCTCCAGTTGTCTTAGTTCCTTTTCTCATTGCTGAAACCACCCAGCACCCAAAGTTAAATGGTAAAAGGTTTATTTAGCTCGCAGTTTGTGAAAGTTTCAGTCCATAGTTGACTGGTTCCAAGGCAGTGGGGCATATGGCAGAGGGGCAACAGTTCATGATGACAGAAGACAGCAAAAGCAACAAGCAAAACAGGCAAAAACAAGCCTCTTTCCATCTCTTATACCATATGCCAGCTATTCACCCTAGGGTGGGTGTAGCACTCACACCCATAATCCTAGAATTAGACCATGAATCTAACTCTAGAAGCCTGCTCCATGATGACATGAGGCTTTGGGGGGGAGACATCCAAACATAAACCATAACACCATTTCTCTGGGTATTTCTTGTGACTGAATAGGTTGCAATTTCCTCTGATTCAAAATATTCTAACTCTAACAGATGATTTTGTATGTTCTTGATAAAAGGAGAAACATTGCATGTCTCTTTTTGTCAGATAACAGCTCTTCTGTCTTTCAATTTCTAGGACTGCTCGGAACTTGCACAGTCATTATCATGAGGCCCCGCTGACCCGAAAACACTATCAGGTCACCGGCTATGGCATAGTAAGTGAATGCCTGACATGAGCAGGCTGTAAAAGTTGTGGGGCTTGACTCAAGGGCATGTGACAGGACATAACTATCCTAGAATTCTGGAGTGTTCCTATGGATTAGAGACTCTTTATGGTCTTAACATTTTTGAGAGTTTTTTGGCCAAGTTTGCTATGAAAAAAGCAGCCTATGTCCTCGGCCTATCTCTGTCCTCAGATAACAACCATGTCATTTACATATTCCATTACCTAATAAATGGCAAGTGTGAATAATGTTTGGATCTCTTAAAATCACATTGAACACAGAAGCCAAAGACCTATAGTAAGGCCCCACATGACTAATAAATACAAGGTCCAGGGATGTAGCCTAAAGCAGGGCCCTGGGTACAGTCTCCAGGACCTCCTCACCAAAAAATAAAAGTTCTATGAGTACTTACAGTTTAAGAATAATTAAAGATAGAAACAGCTAGTGGAAAACTACGTATAGCTTAGTTACATTCACTTCCAAGGCCATTGGTGCTTCAGTAGAATCTGGGTTCTTTAAAGTGGGTTTCCTAACTGTCCTTCCACTTGCTCATCGCTCATTGTACCAGAGCCAAGACTTTCAGCAGCTCTTCATTTCCAAGATGCGATACCCAAGCCTGACTTTTCTGGCTGAAATGAGTGAGTGCCCACATGGCTAAGATAATAGGTACAAATGGCCCAGATCTGCTGTTGGCTCAGGGTCATATCTTAAGTTTGGTTTAGGGCCAAAGACATCTACTTACTGCTCAGACTAATTCTGTGAAATGAGAAATTGGACTTCTGGTTCTAAGAATTGTACTCCTTCATTTGGTTGCAAACGGGGAGTGCCAGGGCAGTGTGCCACTTGAGGCATTTCTGTGGCCTTCTCACTCCCTTTTCCACCTCAGTCACTGAGGCTGATTTGGTGTGTGTCTTTCGTAATGTGGTGCCATCTGAAAGAGTAACCATCCCTTTTGACACCTCTCTCTAACATCATCTCACTGTGTGTCGTTTTCTTGGTTTATGTGACAGAATGGGACAGGAGACTCAAATGATTTTTGGCGGATTGAGGTTGTAAACAGAAAATTTGGGAACCGGATCAAAGTGCTAAGAAGTCGAATTCGCCTCATCCATCTGGTCACAGGTTGTGTCCTCGGTTCCTCAGGAAAGATTCTGCCCAAATGGTGAGTTTCTGGGTTTCTGATGTTCTCATGGGACTTGCACTTTCCTTTTTGTGCTACAAGTAGTGTGCCTCATGTTTGCTTTTTTTTGATAGAAAGAAGAAAAGATATTAGGTATATTATGAAACACAGAACTCCAGGGGCATTTTGGAGTTTATGTGTTCCGTGGTTGTGCATTTGTACTTGTGGCTTGAGGTAATTACTCTCTTGGACTTTGTCTCTTTGTAAAGTGGGACTAGCGTAGGCTAGACCACTTCCAGGATAGCTGTGGAGTGTGACAAACTGGAGTTGAAACAATATGACCACTCACTTAAAAATCCAGGGATTCCAGGGATTGAAGAGCAGTAGTCAGTGTCATTTTTGCAGTGTGTGTATCAGGGGCAGGGGATTCAAGTCTCTTGAGAGGCATTTGTGATTAACATTTGTGATTTCACAGGGGCTGGGAGCAGTTGGAAGTTACTTGTACTCCATACCTGAAACAAACACTCAACTCCATCTGGAACGTGGAGGACCATATCAATCCCAAATGTGAGTGAGGGCTGGCTGTGAAGGGAAACATCCAGAAAAAACAAAACCTCTTCCCTTAGAAAAATAAACCTTTGCATGTACAGACTCTGCTGCCATTTCTCCTTATTGCCCTTTCTTCCTTTTTTTACACCTGTAAGAGTTTGTACCTACTCTGATGGCTCCTTTTTCCACCACCCAGGGTCTCACCTACCTCTGTCTTGTCTCCTTCTGAGCTCTCCTGGCACTGTCCCTTGGGTACCTGTGTGCCCTCCTGGTTTGGTGCCATCTGATCTCTGCCTGCCATGTCTCTGCTGAGCTCCTCCACCCTTACATCCAGTCTTTCCTGTGCCAAAGGCTGCAGCCACAGCTCTGGTCTCAGCCCACACTTCTGTCCACAGACTGCTTTTGATATTTGTACTTCAGTTTCAGCTCACTATGTCTTTGGATTCATTCATTTACTCTTGATTTCTCCTCCTCCCTGCGCTTTGCATTTCGTTCTTGTCACTTCCTAATCTAGCCAAACCAACTAATTAACTCCTTGCTGAGTCCACCAGGAACTATGTGGATCCTGTGGTTATGTTGAAATGAAAGACTTGGTCCTTGCCCTCATGTACCTTGTGCCTAACGGGAGGCCAGCATCTGAGCCAGTGCCACAGCAGAGGACTGGTTCCTGGATGGAGCCCCACAGGGATGCCTGTTACCTGTTTGGTTGTCTCCCTCAGAATACCCCTGGGTGCTTGGTGCAAGCTGACCCAGTGATCCCCAACACTGTCACCTACTCATCAGCTTGTCAGGAAGGCTTCCCTTGGACTGTAACAGAAGTGGACAGACTCCGAGAGATAAAGTGTGACAAAGCCTGTCATGTTTTTGTTCTCTCTTTGCCTTTTGCCTAGTGCCAAACATCAGTCTGGATGTGCTGCAGCCCACTTTTCCTGAGATCTTGCTGGAGTCTCACATGGTGATGATCTGGGTACTGTAGCCTCTTACTACATGGCTTCTCTCATGAGCTTTTAGGCAGGGGCTGGGTAGATAGCTAATCAGCAAAGCAGCTGCCTGCCAAGCACAAGGTCATGAGTTCAATCCCGGGTACAAAAAGAGATAGATAGATAAAGAGCTTTGGGGCAGCCACAGATTTGAAACACAAATCAGTAGCTGTAGTGTAGATCTACCACCCCCTTGTGGAGGACCTTGAAAGTGTCTTCAAATACTGGTTTACTTGATTTTCATAGGCATTTTCCTTATCACAAAATGGGGATAACAACCATGATACCAGTGAACCTTTGTGTAGGGAGGCACTACTCTAAGCATTGTATATGTGTATATATATTAACATATACAGTATTTATCCTTTGGTGATTATCATCTTTCCCAGTGTATAGATAGGGAAACTAAGGCACAGAAGGATTGAGGAATTGTCCAGGGTCTAACAATAATGTATAAAATGTGGTTCCAGACTTCAGAGCTGGGCTAGTAGGCCTTCAGAGTCAGTGCCAGTTACAGTGACACCACTTGACCTCTAAGTGGTTTTTCAAATGTGTCTGAGTGACAGAGCTCCTGAAAATCTTAATGTTCTTGGTGGAAGATAATGAGGTATTGATAATTCATTCCAGCATGTGATCTCAGGATCAATTAGGACAGCAAGTTAATCTGCCAGCTCAACCATGAGCTCACTCATATTCTGGGACAGAAACCAATGAGGGGGCATGGTTGATTCTTGCTTATTTTCTCAGACTCATTGTTTGAACTCTGTCACTCATAGCTGACAGCATTTGTAGTGTCAAAGGTTTAAGGAAAAGTGAGGAAAGAAAAAAAGGAAAAGTGAGAGAGGAAACTTTAGATTGAGGAAATTCTACCCCTAATTTAAATTTCCTCCTGCAAATGGAGCAAATCTTGCTGCAGTTCTGATGCTTCAGGGGTGAGCCCCTTGCTCTGTCCTGGGCAAACCTGAGTACTACAGGAGTAATGGTGAAGCCACCCTGGGCTTCAAGCCAGATGGGGGATAGCAGCCACCCACAGGGTTGCAAGCAAGTGTGGGGATCGTTATTTTGCCAGGGGCCACTATCAAGTGCACACTCCTGAAAGTGATTATTTAAGCAGCATTATGTAAATATAGTTGACTTACTTCACTGGATTAAACTTTAAAATTTTCGATTTTTGTCATTTTTGCACATTGGAAGGTGATGAGTTGACATTAAGCAATCTCTGGGTCACTTCTCCTCTGACTCTGCTTGTAGCTGTCACTGTGGCCTGATGACATTGCTCTTTTGAATATGTGCCTGTCAATCAGAATATCAGTCTGGGTCTGGGTTGAATTTTAAGACCAACTGAGTAAGTGTATAGTTTCATTTCTTCTTTCATTATCTAAGAGATAGAGATAAAGAAGGAAAGGATGTAAAGACATCTCTTATTCAAGGAAGGGAGAGAGACCAAAACAGTGACCTAGATATAGGAACTGGAGTGAGGAGTGTGCGTGCGTGCGTGTGTCTGTCTGTTTGCCTATGTCTTCTGCCAGCTGGAACCCGAATGGAGAAGGTGACAATACTCCTCCCCATAGGACTTTTGACCCTACCGCCATATGAAACTATTCCCAAGCCCTCCAAGAGTTGGGTTAGTTAGGTACCAGGTGGCAGTTTATTGGACCCAGACCTTTCAGAGTTGAGCTATGTCATTGCTTCTCAGTTGAAGCAATTTTGCCTTCCAGGAGACATCTCACAATGCCTGGAGGACTTTTTGACTGGCAGAACTGAGGAGTGAGGAATGGGGATAATGAGTGGATATTAAACAGGACAGCCCCTTATCCAGCCCCAAATATCAGTGGTGGCGAGGTTGGGAAACCCTGACTGATCCAGCGTGGTGCCCCTTTTGGGGCTGCTTTCCCCAGTAGTGCTGACAGTTAGTTCGCCCAGTCCTGATGGCTGATACCTGGGACTCTGAGCCTGTTCCTGCTGTTTTAGCAAAGCCCTGATTTTGTTGTGGTAAGACAAGTTACTGGATAGTCTTGGCTGCTGGATAAGAAGGACTGAGTTCAGGTGCTTCAGGCTAAAGGATTGCTTAAAGTGATTTCTCTTTAAGTACCTGAAATGAATTCTTGGAAGGTAAAAACAAACAGCAAAAAACTTTAGGTCTCACATAGTACATCAAGAGATACATAGTGTGGCCATGGTATGAAAATGACAAGAAAGGCATTTAGAGAAAAGGTCGAAAAAGGCTGTTGGCCAGAAGGAGGCAATAATAGGAAAAGCAAAAACCAGTTTAAGGGTACTAGGCTAAGATAGTCTTTTCCAAGTCAAGGTACTCCTCGGAGTCCCTGTTTGTGGTTTGGTGTGGTTTTGGGTTTTTTTTGGGGGGGTGGGGGGTGGGGGGTTGTTTCTTTGTTTCTTTTGAGGCAGTATTTTGCTATGCAGTTCAGGCTGGCCTTGAGCTCACTGTGTAGCCCAGGCTGGCCTCGAACTCACAGCAGTCCTCCTGCCTCAATGTCTCAAGTGCTAGGATTACAGGCATGCGCCACCAAGCCCAGTCCAGTTTTTCTGTTTGAAATTAGGTAAAGAAGCTCTGATTTTATAGCCCTAACCCTCTTGATATTTTGGCTTTGGCTTGGTAGATGAATGTGTGTTCTGTGCCCAAGGCAAACAGGTACTTCCTTCTCTTCATTCTCTCTAGCAGAAATGGTCTGAATGGGCTGATGGAAAGTGGAGGCTTGGGTTGGAGGAAATAAGGTAGTTATTGTAGGCTGATGAATAATAGCTATGAATAGCATCTGATTCGTCCCTGCGGAGAAGGGAGAGGGGCTGTTTCCTCTTGACACTTGGCTGGATAGCAAAGATGTATGAGCTTCACATTTCTGTCAGCCCTGTGCTCCATCTTGATCAGCTTTTCTTTGCCATCTTCCTACAGGGGAACAATGGCCTTAAGCCCAAGGACAATGACTTCACATCCAAACCCTGGCACTGGCCCATCAACTACCAGGTAGGACCAGCAGCTAGAGCTCCTTCCAGAAAATGGAGACAAGAGAAGATGACTGGGACAGAGTGGGCCAGAGGTGTTGGGGTACAGGAGAAGGCCTCACCTGGGACGGGCTGCCCAGAGATGGGGCTGTGTTTCCTGCCTCGATGTCAACTCTCTTCCCAGAGGGTACATGGAGAATCTATACACTGTGAGCCTCCTCTCCAGGCCAGCCTCTCTGTGAAAGGTGTCTGGTCTTCCTCTCAGCTGAGGATAAGCTGGGAACAGGATCCTCAAGGTGTCTTCTGTTCCACAGGGCTTGCGCTTCTCAGGGGCCAATGACACAGACTTCCGAGTCTATCTGCTTGGCAACCCGGTGAGTGTTGCACATCCCTGCTCAGCCCACGAGCACTGTGCTAGGGAGAGCTCCACTTTCCTCTCATCCTTCTGTCTGCGTGTCTGTACAGGTGATTTGGTGGCTGAATCTGGTGAGCATCGCTCTCTACCTCATCTCAAGAAGCATCATTGCCATTGCCATGCAGAGAGGTGCACAGCTCTCCACAAAAGTGGAAGGTCAGGCCCCCTACCCAGCCCAGCCCAGCCCAGCAGCTGGGGGTGCCAGTGTTCTGAGGCTCTGCCTACGGTGGGGTGTCCCTTGCTTTGCTTGCCCCATACTTCCCTTCTCCTTTGCCTTTCAAAACCACAGTCACCAGACACTTGCTGTTTGTGACACTTCTTACCCTCCCAGCAGCTTTATGGAGGAAAGGAATATTACCCCCACTGTATGGATGAGGGAAATGAGGCACAGTGAAATTAAGGGACTTGTCTTAAGGCCTTAGCTACTGAGAGTGATGAGGTTTGAACCCAAGTAGTCTCTAACTGCAAAATCTTCCTTTCTACCCTTGTGCTATAGGCAAAACTTCCCATCTTCTTTCACTGTCTCTTTTTTGTTCTTTTCTTTCCTTTTCCTCTTTCTTTTTTTCTGAGACAGGGTCTTGCTATGTAGTTCAGGCTGGCCTCCAACTCACTGTGTAGCCCAGGTTGGCTTCAAATTCACAGTGATCCTCCTGCTTCAGACTCACAAGTGCTGGGATTGCAGATGTGTACCACCGTGCCCAGCTTTACTGTCTCTCCTGTCCCTAGGAACGCAGTGGTTTCCACGCTGGTGCTGCTTCTACTTTCTTTAGCTTCCAGACGTGCACCATGGCAACTGAGAGCTCCCCTCAGGCCCTTTTCATCCCTGCACTCTGTGTGTAAACAGTCAGAGTGCCAGACACACTCTCGCCTCCCTGCTGCCCCCTCTGCGCTTCTGCATAGTGGAGGTCTGTGGCAGCAGAGATGCGCAGGGTACAGGGAGGAAGGGCAGCTCTCTGTAGAGATGTGGGGTTATGGTTTCTCTAGAGCCTGGCTGCTTCCAACCCAGACAACAGCCCCAGACCCTTTGCTGGCATATAGTGCCCCTGTCATGGTGCTGAGACCTTTCCAGACTAGGAAGTGACCGAGACTCTTGAGAGTCCCAGTTGCTCCTTTTTTTCCAGTTGTCACGAGGTTAAGTTGGTCCCTGTGAGGGAACTATCCACAGCAAGGAAGGGGCAGAGCGAGACTGAAAGCTGGGCCCTGGCCTTCCTGCCTTCTAACAGAGCTGTGCTGCTTTTTGGCCCAGAACTGACCCGGGTGCTGCTGCAAGGAGGTGGCCAGGTGCTGCTCGGCTGGATGCTGCATTACTTCCCGTTCTTCCTGATGGGCCGGATCCTCTACTTCCACCACTACTTCCCAGCCATGCTCTTCTCCAGCATGTTGACAGGTCAGCCCTGCCCACCTGCTCATGGCGGAAAAGCAGGAGGCAGGCAGGGTGGGAGAGAGGGAAGAGGCTGCTTGGAGCAGCAAGGCTGGGAGTGAATCTCTGCTTCCTGTTGGGGGCTGGCTCCTTCCTGCTGTAGCCCCAGGAATCCTCTGACAGGCTGGTACTGGTGGTCTCTTCTGTCTACCAGGCATTCTGTGGGACACGCTTCTGCGGCTCTTTGCCGGGGGCCTGGCCTCCTCTTCCTTGGCCAAGAGCGTGCATGCAACAGGAATCCTGATCCTGATCCTGGGAACTGCCTACAGGTGCGCATCCCCTTGATGGCCCTCAGGCAGGGGCTCACTGGTGCTTCAGCCTCAGACACATGTTAGAAGCCTTTTCGATGTCCCAGTATCTGAGCCCCATCCATAGAGGCTCTAATTCAATTGGGCCAAAGTGGGGCTCAATCAGTTGTGATTGTTAAAGCCCCCCAGGTGACCCTGATTTGTAATCAGGCACCAGGTAGAAGAACAGGAGGATCACTTTGCATCTCGTCTGCCAAGTTCCCAGCTTTGGCTGGGAGGGCCTACCCCGAAAGGTACTCCTTTTCAGTCACAGTGGCTCCCTACTGGAATGGTTCAGTGGGGCAGGAGGGAGGAGTGGGAACAGGGGTGTAGGTGGTGTGTTCAGAATTGATGGAAGGAGACAGTTGTTTGAAAAGTCTGTGCCCCTCACCTCCACCCCTCTTGCTATCTCTGCTAAGGCTCACAGATCCTGTTGAGAGTTGCTGGCTCTTTTGGTGGGACCTGTGATCTGCAACCATGTGCCTCCCAAGTGGGTTAAATTTGCATGTTCACAAATACTCTGGGCCATTCAGCCCAAGGCCAGACCCCTGGACAGGTCCCTCTCCTAGGCCTGTTGAGGGGAGCCCTTTCCTTCCTTGCCATTCAGGAAGCATCTCCCAAGCTCTTGGACCAGAGTGTGCCCACATGCTGTGCTCAGATGGCCACGGTGCTGACTGAAAAGAGGCCTCTGGAGTGGGTGCGTCTGGTGGGCACCTCAGCTGCAGCACAGGAGTGCCCACTACCTCCCTCTGGTTTCTTCTTGCAGCTTCTACCTCTTCCATCCCCTGGCTTATGGGATGGTTGGTCCTCTGGCCCAGGACCCTAAAAGTCCAATGGCAGGACTAAGGTGGCTGGAATCATGGGAGTTTTGAGAGCACTACAAGGACCCGCCTGGCTCCAGGAATTGCCTGGGGGCAGCCAGCTCTGGAGCTTCTGGAACCTGAAGAATTCTGCCACTGCTACCACCAAGCTTCAGGAGCAAACCCGGATTTGACCCAGCAATACAGACCACAGCTGTCTGCAGCATCTACAGAGCATCTCTCTGCATGGCTCCCCAAGTGTGCAGCCAGGGGAGGATGAGTGTGTAAGAGGGTGACTGTGAGTGTGAGGGAGTATATGAGGTTACATTTGTCAAATGCCTGTGGAATACAGACCTTGTGACTGACTATAAACAGCCAAGTGTCATAAACACTAAGAGTCGGGGCTATAGCAGTGTTTTCTGATACTTTCTTAATACTACATTTGGTTTGATTTTGGATTGTAAGATCCATAAGCAATTCTCTGATCTCTAAGAGAACCGAGTACTGACCCCATTTTGGGGTGTCATCAAAGACACAGCAGATGGGACCATGAATGCCATACTACTTTCCATTCTACCACCAAAAGAATCCAGGTGAGGAGAACAAGCACCCAAGTTGGAGATCTTTCCCCTGCCTCCTCCTGGGGTGTTTGTGGTCACAGGTGGCTGGGCTGCCTGCCAGTGCTGGAGCATGGGGCTCCAGGCCATGAGGTGACAAACTTGCCAGCACTTGACTGGCCTTCCTTAGCCCTTGTCCTTGTTCTCTGGGAATGTCACACTGAGATTGATTGGAGAAACCCTCTCCTAACCTGGACCACTCTAGATACCCAGGCCTTGTGTGTCAGATGCTTGTTGCGTCCATCTCTTTCCTTTCCATGGAGACCTGAACGATGAAGGCAGATGAGAGTCAGAGCAGGGGCCCTGTTCCCTGTGAGGCATTGCAGTCTCATTTCTCTAACCCTCCCCTACTCACATTCCCTTTCTGTGTAACTGCTTCACTGGTCTCTGTTCCCCAAGGCCAGAGCTCCTAGAGATACATGACAGCTTCTACTGTCTGCTACTTTGAAGCTCAAACAAGGAGCTCAGAGCTGCTGCTTCCATGTCCTCCCCAGAGGAATTAAGAAAACTTCTGAGTCAGAACCAGCCCAACCCAGGCCAGCCCTTCAGTTCAGGACGTGCCTCCCTGTGCTCCTCTCCGGACGGGACAGAATGTTCATTTTGTCTCGGAGGACTTTGATGCTTCAGGGTTTAATGATGAATTTCTGCCACACTCCATCTTTCCTCTGTTGTAGCTCCCAACAACTCTGACAGGGTCAGAGCTCTTTAAAGCATCTTCAGGAGGCGGTTGCCACGGAGACTGGAAATTGGTCTCAGGGACAGGCTGTGCTACCTATTGAGTGGTGGGGAGGGAAGCTTCTGGGCCATGCTTTGGACATTCAAACCAAGCATCATTAATGATAATAGAGGAAGTGCAGCCACGTGAAAAGCAAGGCAGGGTAGGCAGGGTGGTTAATTAGATCTGAGGCACATGACCTTGTCCTAGTGCCGCAGCCCTTCTGACTTCCCCCAGCAGGAAGTGCCGCCTGTGACCTGAGTCTGGGCGGCCTGCTTAATTGCATTTCTGCTGGGGAGGGACAGCAGTAATGGAGAACCTCTGTGTGCATCCATTTCTTCCCCACCCCTTTTTCCTCCCCACAGGCAGAGTTGCCTTCTGCACTGGGTGGGGCCACCATCTGGCTGGGCTTGCTCAGGGACAGGATACAGGGGTCCCTGCATGGCTCTTAGCAAAGGCAGTGGTGGTCTATGATGATGATCCAGGGGTCGCTGATTTTCCTTTGTGCCTTCTCATTTCCCAAGAGGAACCTGGTGGAAGGGAGGAGCTCTGACGGAGGGGGCCCTCTGAGAAGGGTGAGGGAGGAGAAGGTCAGTTCTGCACCCCTCCTTCCCTCTCGGTTTGGTCACACTGGGAACAAGAGTTTCTTCCATGCTTTTTAGGAGTGGAAGGGAGAGAACTTCCTTATCCACTCCTTCCTTCGTGCCCAAGCTGGCAGGCACTTTTCTGGGGCCAAGGCCACGTTGGGTGGTGCAACTCTGTGTGCTCAGTTTCTGTTTGAAGGTGCTGGGGAGAGAAGCTGGCAGGTTATTGCTGTGAATATGGACTGTAGTCCTCAGGAGTTTACAGAAATATGACATGTCGCACAAACTGCTAGGGGAAGAAGATACCTGTCAGGCAGCACAGGCTCCAGCCAGCACCTTAAGCCACATTTTACCTAAAAAAAAGGTTTCCAGAGATAATTGGATACCAATTACTTTTGTAATAAACATCCTTTGTTTGAATGCCGTGTTCTTGTGTTTAATTGAACCTCATTGTCCCGCTCCAGAGAGGCCTCCTTTAGAAGAGAAGTATTTCCATGAAGCCCACATCAGAGGCATTCTCACTGCAGCAGAGGATCTGGCTGGGCAGGTGGGCCTGCCGCCAGGACACCGGCTTCCCACAGTTACTGGAGGAATAGTGGGGGCTGTCTCAGTGTACTCATTCTAATCAGTGGGAACATGGGTCGCATTTTTTCTTAGGTTACCCAGAGAGTATAGAAAGGAGCAAGGGAGCCATTTCATTCACTTGTGAGACAGCTGAGTGCCCAACGCTGGCAGCAAGCCATTCTGCTTAGCTCAGGAATGGCCTTGGGGATCTGAGGGAGGTGAGGGCTCGTGAGGGTGGGGCAGGAGGGGGCTGGAAGCACACAGTGGAGTGGGGGTATCGGGGTGCCTAACAATTCCACTAGGGCCAGCGGTGGCTGGAGGCAGGCCGGGAGTACACAGGTCTCAGAAGCCGATCAGATATTTTCTAAACACATGGCCCGGTTTACAGAACCTCGGCACATCCATGTCCTTTAATCCTCATAACGGCCCAGTGAAGTCAGTGATGTTTTTATCTCCATTCTGCCAGTAATAATAAATTACCTAAGGTCTCACAGTTAGGAAATAATAGAGGCAGGACTTGGCACCAGGTGGGCCTTTTGTGTCCTGTCACGCCTGGTCCTAGAACTAGAAGCACCTCCTAGAGCTGCCTGGTGACTCCGGACGCTGAGGTAAGTGTCCTGATTCAACCTGCTGTGCTGTGTATCCTGCACTGAGCTCAGCAGCTCAACCAGGGCCAGTGTTACCTGCTCCTCAGGTACAGCCAGACTGGTGACCATAGGCATTTCAACAGCAGATCTGCAAGTAGAGAATGAAAACAAAAACTCAACCCTAATATGTAGCATTTGCCAGTTTTTGTGGTATAAATACTTTTACACGGCCTATTTCAAACTACCAACTTGATGTCACTGATGACACTTTGAAGTGTTGATGGGTACAGTTGGCTCTTGGAAGCCTTACAAGAGCTGGCACCAGTGTGCCACTAACCCAGACCCAGTGACCTTGGCTTGGCCTGAATTGTGGACATAGCTCAGGGTCATGAACCACTAACATGAGGAAAAGCTGCATAGTGGTGATGCTTGCAATGCCCACACTCAGGAGGCTGAGGCAGGATTGCTGTAAGCTTCAGGTCAGCCTGAGCTACATAGTGTGTTCAAGGCCATTCTCAACTAAGTAGAGCTTGGTTTTTAAAAACCCCACATGAAGGAGGCAGTAGAGAGCATGAGCCAGATGGTCAAATCTTGGCCTAGCACTTCCTGTGACCTTACCCTGGTCACTTAGTTCTGCTTCTGAACTGTCAGATGAGGGTAACAGTGTCTACTTCATGAGGAGGCAAACAGCTAATGGACAGGGTATCAGGATGCAAATGCCCTGTCACTGCCAGCTCTCCACTGTCATTAATGACGTGCTGACCTGAGTGACAGCACTGTCTTGAGGACAGCATGGACCTCCCTTCTATGCATGTGGAAACCTCCTGCACATGTCTGGCAGATCCCAGAGGAAGAGCTCCTGTGATGCCCCGAGCCCCGTGGACCCTCTGTCTATTGGTTGGGATGTGTAGGCTACACCTGATCCTTAATACTTTCTCCAAGGGGACTGGGGGTCACAGTGCACTTTCCCTCTCCCTGCTGCCTTCTGACTCTAGGAAGCAGAGGGAAGCCAGTGGTTTGAGTGCTGACTTTACACTTAACTAGCTAAGGCCACTGTGCCCCATGTACTCCTCAGACCATTGATCCTGGGAACTGGGAAAGAAGCAAAAAGCATCCTGAATATGGACTGTTGCCTTCTCCCGTAGTTCCCCATCCTTTTGTGCTTTTGCCTGGGGATCTCTTAGATACTTTAGGACACAGATTTACCAGATTGTTCCTAAAGTCTCAGTGTCCTCCTCTGCCCAGGGACCCAGAGACACATGGGGAGAGTAGAATGGGATATACCCAGACTGTCCTTATCAGAGGCACAGAGCCAGATGGTTTCATGGGGCTTGGCCATCAGTCCTGACTCAGTGCCAGAAGTTGTCGAAGGGGAGGACTAGGCACAAGGCTGGCCAGGGCCACAGCCTGTTCATGACTAGTCTGAGTCAGTGACTCTAGCATGTGTTACCAAAGATGGTAGACTCAAAAGCTTTGCTACCCAACTTCTTTTTGGTACACCTGAGGAAACTGAGGCCCAGAGAAAAGCAGGCATCTTGAGAGAGGCTCAGAGACTCAAAAATAGCACCACACCCTGCTTGGTAGCCATGAGTCTTCTATTTTAAAAAGTAAAAAATACTTTTATTTTTAAAAGCCATGGTTTTTAATAAATCATGGACTAATGGCATGGTAGAACCTAACCCCTGCCCGGCAGAAGCAGTGTAGCCTCGCTGGACTGCATCACACTGAGGATTTTACACAGGCCAAGCAGGAATGGTTTTGGAGCTGGAACTCACAGATTCCTAAAGCTGGGGTCTCAGGGAAGCCCGGGTCCAGGTTGGGAATGCTTGTGGTCTGGGCTCTGTGCCTAAGTCAGAAAGCACTGTTGTCCCCAAGTCTGCAAGGACTTCAGACCCAGTGCTTGGGCAGTGCCTCGCTCCACCTCTGCTTTCTGCCTGCTCCACAGGTAGGTGAACTGCCTTCAGCTGGCCATACCTCAGAGCAGTCGGACACAACTGGAACAGAGGCCAAGTACCCAGAGGGTGGCAAAGTCGAACGCCTCCAAGCGATGTTTGAGTGGGCAATCAAATTCAGCAGAGTGAGTGGTAATATTATCGCTACCTTCCAAGAAACTAGTGAGAAACCAAGACACAAAAAGGCTTGATGATTTCTTCTAAGCTCTGAAACCTGGCCATTCCCAGGCCTGCAGGTCGCCCAGGCCCTGGCAGTTGATCACAGAGGCAGCGCGCGCCTTGCTGGACGGGAGGGGGCGGGAGCCGCTATTGCTTTAAAGGGCGGCTCTCGGCGGCGGGGCGCCAGGCGCAGCAGCCTGAGCGGGGTCTCCAGAAGCTGCAGAGGGGCTGGCACGGCCGGGTTCCCTCAACCTAGGGCGGGCCGTGCGCATCTCCTCTCAGCTCTGGCCGGGCAAGGAGCGGCTGCTGGGCCTTGCCAGGCGGAGGCACGGGGGCCATCGGGGGTGCAGAGGGTCCCGCGTCCCCGCGGAGACGGCGTTGCACGTGCGATGACGGCGCCCGCGCCCTGAGGGTCTCAGTCCTGCACCCCGTGTCCCCTGGAGAGCATGGAGCGCCCGGAGCCCGAGCTGATCCGGCAAAGCTGGCGGGCAGTGAACCGCAGCCCGCTGGAGCACGGCACCGTCCTGTTCGCCAGGTAAAGTCTGCCCGAGCGCCCCGCGGGTGCGGGTGGGGGCGCTTAGCCAGGAACGAGTTCGAAGCGGCTGCACTGACGCGGGAAGGAGGAAACCTGGCGGCCGCGGTGGCGCAGGACCGCTGCCAGATGTGCGCCAGAGCAGCCGGGCGCGCGGGGACGGTGGCGCAGCCCCTCCTGCCGCTCTCCGGCCAGCGGGGTCGTCTGGAGACCCAGCGCAGCACACCCTGCTCTCGACTCTGGGCTCGCTGGGGGAGGCGGGGTCCCCCACCCCACCCCACCCCACCCCGGACTTCATTACCCCGGGGCGGCAGGACACTGGTGCTGAGCCGCGCTGGCTCCTCGGCCCTGTGGTCCTGCGCGTGCTTCTATGGCGACTGCGGGGGTGGGCTGGGGTGAGGGGCTGCCCAGTGCTGCCTTCACCGGGAGGCCGAAATGTACCGAGAGTCGATGCGTGCAAAGTGCACCAGGACCAGAGGACCATGAGGGAAGGCAGGACAAGTTGCTCCTGTCTCCCGTTTCCAGCCTTACCTCGGGCTCTCTTGGAAACCTCACTGTATTTACCGACAGGCAACGCCCCCATCCTCCTTAGGCCAGCCCCAAACATCTGACTGGGCTTTTGCAAAACCTCCCCCAAGACAGAATCATACAGAACAGTCGGAATCGCGCAACGGTATGATCCCTCCCTCCCCACTGGGCTTGGCATCTTCTGACTGTGCCTCTTGGCTTTTCCTCAACGCACCTTTTCCGCTGGCATCTGCCTGCTGTGTTTCCTCTTGTTTTCACCCTGTGTGACCTTAGACTGGTTGCTAAGCCAGTCTGGGTTTCCTTCTTGGTAAAATTGGGATAACTGTTTGTACCAGCCGCTTGGTGAGTATGCACAAGTTAACCAGATGAGAAGCACTGATAAGTGTATCGAGGTGTTTGTTGTTTTGTTTTTTTATTATTGATGATCGAACCCAAGGTCTTTAGACCGAGCTACATCTTCAGCCCTTTTTTATTTTTTTTTGAGACGGAACCTCATTGAGTCACTAAACTGTTCATGCTTGAATTTTCAATCTTCTTGCCTCAGCCTCCCAGAGTGCAGAACTGCAGGCTTGTACCACTACGCCCAGCAGGATTTATTCATGATATTATCATCATCACTGGCTGGAGCCTCCTCTGAGTGGCTGAGACTGACAAGTTCTGACCTAAGGGGAAAAGACAGGGCTTCCCCTCCCCAGTGTAACTCCAGATCTCCTGCTGGAGGACTCCTGCCTGTCCTAAACCACACCCCTCAATTATTTATGAAGGGTTACTGGATGCCAGGTGCTGCCAGAGGCCTGAGGACACTCCTTCTCAGAGCGCAGGAAGAGGCTGAGGAAGGGCACTAGCAAAGCTAGCAGTGCTGGGGCGAGTGTATGCTGAGCTTACTGCTGAAACCAGGGTCCGGCTGACATCCATCCCGTTCCACAGGCTGTTTGCCCTCGAGCCCGACCTGCTGCCCCTCTTCCAGTACAACGGCCGCCAGTTCTCCAGCCCCGAAGACTGCCTCTCCTCCCCCGAGTTTCTGGACCACATCAGGAAGGTGAGGGGAGGGGCCACTGTGGCCTCTGGGATCCATCAGGGAGGCTAGGGGACTGGGCACAGGAAAATGACTTTTGCTCCAGCCCGCTGGGACATTCTCCTGCTGTTCCCCAGGTGGGTGCATCCCCTCCTTTTCCTCTGAGACACCAGTCAGCTTCCTCCCTGACCCTATGCTGGTCTCAGCCTCCATCACCGTCTTTAGCCTTGTCCCCAGCGCCCATGGGTTGTACAGGCATCATCCTAGTTCCTGGGGCACCTGCCTATGACACCAGGCTGGGGTTTTGTTAGCTCATGACTCTCAAACCTCAGTGTCTTCTCACCTGTCCAGCGGGTATGTTGAGGGTTATGAGACCCTCAGAGGAGAGGGGTAATAGTTGGACCCTAAGGAGTCACTGACTGGTTTTTGCCCCATCCCTGGAACAATGAGGGTCTTGCAGGGCTCTCTGCCCTGGTTGGGGCCCTCAGGTTTTGGGCTGTGCTTGTGAGCAGATGAGGTGGCCCCAGCCTCGCTGTCACTGATGCCTTGGCCTTGGCAGGTGATGCTTGTGATCGACACTGCAGTGACCAAGGTGGAGGACTTGTCCTCGCTGGAAGAGTACCTCGCTGGCTTGGGCAAGAAGCACCGGGCAGTGGGTGTGAAGCTCAGCTCCTTCTCGGTGGGTAATAGGCCTCTTCGTCCCTAAAGCCCCAACCCGGGGCTGTCTCTCAGGCCGCCCCCACCTACCCTTTCTCTGTCCCCATCCCTAGAGGCTCCAGGGGGCTTGCGTCTGTTACTGTGTGACTCTGGCACTGACTTGACCTCTCTAAGGCTCTGAGGTCTCTCCTCTCTGTGGTGTCTTTTAGACCATATAAGTGTAGGTGCCTTTGGGATTAGCCAGTCTGCTTAGTTTTCAAAGGTTGCCCCTCCCAAAATGTGCTGGTTTAAATGACCACTTCTGATTTCCCGTGGCTGGGCTCAGCAGGACAGGTTCTTCTGCTCCATGGGGCAAAAGAAGTTAGCCAGGTGGTATGTCTACCTGCTGGCGTATGTGTCCCCATGGCAGCAGCCCAGCCAAGCATCTTCCCAGGGAAGCTGAGTCCCAAGAGGACAGTCCTGGCATGCACATGCTTGGGAGCCTCTGCTTGCATCACTCCTACTGAGGTCCCGCTGGCTATGGCCAGTCATGTGGATGAGCCCAGTGTTGAGGTGGGAAGATTCTCCTCATGCACCCTGGAGGCATAGTTCATTGGGGGCTGCTGATGTGATGTTCAGCCTAGTAGCCCAACTGCTTTGTTAGGCAGGAAGCATCTGGGGAAGGGATGGTGTTGGTCTTTCTCAGCACTAGCACAGTGCCTGGTCTTTAGGGAATATTCAGTAAATATTTGTGGCTTACATAAATATTATTTTATTTACTTCATAACAATAAGAACCGGGTGCAGTAGCACATGTCTATAATCCCAGCACTTGGGAGGCTGAGGCAGGAGGATTTCTGTGAGTTCAAGGCTAGCCTAGGTTACATAGTGAGTTTAAGACTAGCTTGAAATTACAGAGTGAGACCTTGTCTCAAAGAAAAAAAATAAATGGCAACAACAACAAAAATCCAAACAAGCAAAAAATAACGGATGAGAGCATCATCACTGAAGGGTCAGTGTATGTGGATGGTATGCTGAGACCTTTTTATAAATTATGCCATTGAATCACCCAGAAAAACCAGGATTTGGAACTTTTACTCTCCCTGTTTCTCTAAGGAGGTTCAGAGGGCACCCAGTTCATAAGTGGTGGTCAGAATCTGAAGTCAGGTCTAGAGCTTGGCTCTTAACTCTGATTGCTGCCTCAAAAGTGAGGAAACCATGACCCAGAGATAAAGACATGAGTTAGTTGTAGCCCTGAGGGGTGGTTGCAAAGCGAGGTATGGGGTGCAATGCTCTGTTCACTGGAGAGCTTCATGGCACAGGTGGTAACCAAGGATCGAGGGAGAAGGCTGCTCAAACTGTGCAAAAGAGAAGGCAGGCCCAGGAGTCCTGGCCAGCCGCAGCCTCAGTTTTCTCCTCTGTGGAAAGGAGTGATACTTTCCTGCCTTGGAGACAAACGGGTGCCCCTTGCCTCTGCAGACGGTGGGCGAATCCTTGCTCTACATGCTGGAGAGGTGCCTGGGCCCCGCCTTCACTCCAGCCATACGGGCCGCCTGGAGCCAGCTGTACGGGGCCGTGGTGCAGGCCATGAGTCGAGGCTGGGACGGCGAGTAAGAGATGACCCCTGCCCAGCGGCTCCCAGCTGTCTGTGTCTGTCTGTCTGCCTGTGTCCCGTGTAGCCCAGGTCCCCTAGGCCTCCCTGCATCTTGACCCCTTGGTCATTCTGAAGGAGGAAGGCCAGGTCTCAGTTCCTCCCACCCTAGAACTGCAGAAGGAACTGCTGGGCGCCCCTCATCCCCACAGGCCCTTTCCTACCACCTCTGTACCTCACTGGCATCCCTACTGCCCATGAATAGGAGCACTTTTGGTCAGAGGTGGCGTGGAACTGGGAAAGGGGATGCTTTGAGAGCACAGGACACTTCTCAGGTGACCTGGGTCAAGGTGGGCGAAGATGGCTGCAGACTCAGGAGTTGAGAACTCCTCATTCAGGGATTCTACTGGGAGCCCCCCCATATTGCTCTATAGGACGAGCAGTCAGGCTGGCCGCATCCCTAGAGAGACCTGAGTCCCAGGCTCTTCCTCACCACCCCGCAGAGCTGAGTCTCACCTCTGCACCTGCTTCTGCTCCCTGCTCGGGCTGTGGGCCCACGGCTTCTATCACCCACGCATGCCCTTCCTCGGCAGATGGGCAGGTGAGAAAGCAGCAGGAGAGGCCCTCTGCCCACGCCCTGCCTGCGTTTGCTCTGTGTTGTGGTTCTAGAAACTCACAAGGAATAAACTTGTTCTATGTGCTGCTCTGACTGTCCAGGCCTGGTCTCTTCTTGGGTGTCAGCCTGTGGCAAAGGAAGCTGCAGACTGCTGTGTCCCAGGGCAGGACGGAAGATGGGATCAGTGGACCAAGGCCAGAGCGGTGGGAAGGAAGGGCACAGCCTGGCGAGCTGTGGAGGTGGCGGTTGTGGAGGTGGGGCTGAGAGTCTGAGCCCCAAGTTGGACAGACGGTCACCAAACCTAGTTTCCTTTCTTTCTCGTCACACAGTTGGACAACACTGTCCAGCCTTCCTTGCAGTTGGGTGGAACAGGGGGCATTTTGGCTGGGGACCTGTGGGAGTGTGTGTGCCATTTCCAGGCCTGGCCCCGCCCACACGCTCCTTCTTGCACTGCCTTTCATTGTTGGCTTGATGCAGACCTCACTATGACCTAAATATGACAGAGCCACGGGGTTAACGGAGTCCCTCTCTGAGCTGCTGTTGGAGGAGGCGGCGGGTCTGAAGGGATCACCCTTCAGAATTTAACGCCAGAGAGACATACAGTTCCCTCATGTTTGTGCCTGTCTCCATCTTGGGGTTGGTCAACTACAACACGCAACCATCGTAATCCGTGGTATGCAGCTACCCAGGGTCAGAGTTGGGACCCCACAGGTGAGTGGGCCAGAGATCGAGGCTGGGTGTGAGGAAGACAGCAGCAGCAGGGTGGGCATCCCCTGAGCAGGCTCAGGGAAGACCCAGGCTGGCATCGCTGGAGGGGACTGCACTGGGGATGGCTGCCCTGGGCCTGAGCTACGTGGTCTTCAGTCCACGTAGGTTGCACCTGGTGCCCTCGCTAGCACCCAGCTGGGCTATGGGTTCCTTTTTGGCTCCGAGGGCCAGGCCTGTGGGCCCGTGTGACTACAGACCCTGGGCCTGCAGCGTGTTAGGCTCTGCAGGCTCCAGGGAGACAGGCCCTGTGCTACCCACTGTGTGTCCTCAGGTGTCCATGCCTGGGCTAACTCTCCCAAATGTTCAACACCCACTCAGGCAAATAGAGTGGTCTGGCCTCGTAAAGTCAGATACCCCCTCTGACCCGGGTCCTACCCAAAAGCCACCAATGCCACTTCATTCCATTGGCCACATCTCCCTCTTACACACAGAATGGCGCCTCCCTCCCTCCCTCTGCAGCTACCCCCTGGCTGCTGTCTTAATTTCTTCACCTTCTAGGAGGAATGGGAGCCTAGTTCAACTGGGCTTTGTCTCCACTCAGCCTGCTGTGGTCAGGGTCACCAGTGACCTCTTAACTTGCCAAATGTGGGAGTCACATCATAACACTCACCCTGAAAGAAGTGAGCAATCCTTTATTGTTTAATGTTTTATTATGGAAAAATGTTCACTTACACAACAATCAGAGAAAGTGAATTTCCAGGGACCCCACCCAGCATCAACAAAGAATCACACAATTCCCCTCCCCCACTTTTTTCTGGAGAGTTTTAAATAAAACTTTATTGGTACATTTTAGATACACACAATGATAATGTTCACCATAAGGAATTTATAGCTGTGTGTGATATATTTTGATTCTTCTCTTTTTCCAGTCCCCTCTACTCCCTTCCACCCCTTGTCCTTTCCTTTTTTAGGAAAGCTTTGTTTCGATCTTTTACTTCTACTTTCTTTTCTTCTTGTCTTTTCTTCCCTTTCCCCCGTCCCTCTCTCTTGTTCTCATTTGAACATTTTCTTCCCACTTACCAATATCTATTATACATTTTGGTCCTTATTTATACTTTCGGTTTCTCACACCAGAAAGCATCATTGTGGCATGATGCTTTTTTTTTTTTTTTTTTTTTGGTCTTTTTCCTTTTTTTTATCGGTACCGGGGATCGAACTCATGACTGCCTGCTTGCAAGGCAGGCGCTTATGCGCTGAGCTAAATCTCCAGCCCTAGCATGATGCTTTTAATTCTTTTGGGAAGATACCAAGAAAGGGAATAGCTGGGTCAAACGGAACCTCTAGTTTTAATTTCTTGAAGAATCGCCACATGGATTTCCGTTTTTCCCCACAGCCCTGCCAATGTTTGTTATTGATTGATTTCTTAATAATGGCCATTCTTCCTGGAATGAGGTGGGATCTCAGCATTGTTTTAATTTGCATCTGTTAAATGACTAATGATGCTGAACATTTTAAAAATATATTTATTTGCCATTTCTACTTCTTCATCTGAGAAGTGTCTGTGTGTTTCAGCTGCCCATTTTTGGAGTGGGTCTTTAAATTTGGAGGGCTCTGATATTTTTAGTTCTTTTTATATTCTAGATATTAGTACTTTGCCTGAGGAACAGCTGGAAAAAAATTTTCTCACTGTGGGTTGCCTCTTCACTCTGATGGTGGTTTCTTTTGCTGTGCAAAAGGTTTTTTAGTAAAATCAGATCTTTTAATAAGAAGTTGATTCTTTGTGATATTTCCTGTGTGATAAGAGTTTTGTTTATAAAGTCTTTGCCTACACCAGTGTCTTCAAGAGTTTTACCTATTCTGTCTTTCAACAGAGTGAATGTTTCTGTTTTAATATTTAGATCTTTGATCCATTTTGATTTTGGATTAGTGCATGGTAAAAGATATGGTTCTGGTTTTAATCTTTGGCATGTGAATTCAACACCATTTATTGAAGAGGCTATCTTTCTTCCAGTGAAGGTTTTTGGCTCCTTAGTCAAAGATAGGGTGGCTGAGTATATTTGGAGTTGTTTCTGCATCTTCTAATCTGTACCATTGGTCCTCAGGTCTAGCTTTTTAAATTTTTGCTAGTACTATGATATTTTTATCATAGTAGCTTTGTAGTAAAATTTCAAGTCAGGGATTGTGATGTCCCCTGCCTTGCCTTTGTTGTCTAGAATTGCTTTTGTTATTCTAGGACTCTCCTGGTTCCAACTGAGATTTAGGATTGTTTTCTCTAATTCTGTGAAATAGGTTACTGATATATATATATATATATATATATATATATATATATATATAGAGAGAGAGAGAGAGAGAGAGAGAGAGAGAGACAAAGCCTCAAACTCATACTGATCCTCCTGCCTCAGCTTCTCAAGTGCTAGGATTACAGATGTGTGCTACCATACCTGGCATGCTATTGGTATTTTGAGCAGCATTGCATTAAATCTGTATAACAGCTTTGGAAGTGTGTCTATTTTCACTATATTGGTTCTTCCTACCCTAGAACCAGGAATATCATTCCATTTTCCAATATTCTCTTCGATATCCTTTTTCAAAGTACTGTAGTTTTCAATGTAAAGGTCTTTTACTTCCTTCATTAGATTGATTGCTAGATCTGTCTGTCTGTGTTTTCTTCCTTTCTTTCCTTCTTTTTTTGGGGAGGGGATGTTATTATGAAAGGTTTGTTCCCTTAATTTCTCTCTCAGTAAGTTTGATATTTGTGTACAGGAATGCTATTGACTTTTGAGTCTTGACTTTGCATCCAGCTACTGACTTTGTTTATTAAGTGTAGAAGTCTTTTGGTGGAGTTTTTGGAATCTTCTATGTAGCATATCATGTCATCTGCAAATAATGGTAATTTGATGTCTTCCTTTCCTATCCTTATTCCTTTCATTTCTTTCTCTTGTCTAATTGCTCAGGCTAGTATTTCCAGAACTATATTGAATAGGAGTGGTGACAGTGGACATCCTTGTCTTATTCCTGATTTTAGAATGAAAGCTTTCGGTTTTTTGTCCATTTAGTATGATATTGACTGTTGGTTTGTCATGGATAGCTTTTATCAGATAGAGACAAAGACTATTCCAATTTTCTGTAGGTTTTTTTTTTATCATGAATATGTATTGGGCTTTGTCAAATACTTTTTCTGCATCTATTGAGTTGATCATGAGGTTTTTGTCCTTGGCTCTGTTAATATGGTAGGTTACATTTACTGATTTGCATTTGTTGAACCATCCTGCATGCTTGGGATGATTTCTACTTGGTCATGGTGTATAATCTTCTTGATGATTTGCTGTGGTCTGTTTGCCAGTATCTTACTGAGGATTTTTGCCTCTAGTTATCTTTTTTGGTTGGCTCTTTCTCTGGTTTTGGCACATACTTTCTTTGAGGAATGACTTTGGGAGTGTTGCCTCTCAGTTTCATTAAGGAAATTTGAGAAGTAGCAGGACTTTAAAGTTTTTGTAGCATTCAGCAGTGAATCCATTAGGACCTGGCATTTTCTTTTTTGGTAGTTTTTTAATTAGAACTTCAATTTCATTGATTAATATTGGCTTATTTAGAATTTTTGTATCTTCTTGGTTCAGCTCTGGTAATTCATATGTAACTAGGAATCTGTCCTTTTTCTTTTCTTTGTTTTTATTTTTTGAGACTGGGTTTCACTATGCAGTTCATTCTGGACTTGAACTCACTTTGTAGCCCAGGTTGCCCTCAAACTTACAGCAATTCTCCTGCCTCAGCCCCCTGAGTGCTGGGAATTACCAATGTGTGCCACCAGACCTGGCTTTTGTGTCCATTTCTTTTGTGTTTTCCATTTTATTAGGCTACAGGTTCTTGAAGTAGATATTGATCTTCTGGACTTCTGCAGGATCTGTTGTAATTTTATCCTTTTCATTCCTAAGTACATGGGTTTGACTCTTTTATTTCCTTTTTTTTTTTATAAGGTTGGCTAAGGGTTTGTCAATTTTATTTAATCTTTCAAGGAACCAACGCTTCAATTCATTGATTCTCTCTCTTTTTTTTCTTTTTTCCGGTACCAGGGATCGAACTCACGACTGCCTGCTTGCAAGGCAGGTGCTTAAGCCGCTGAGCTAAACCCCAAACCCCAATTCATTGATTCTTTACATTGTTTTCTTATTCTCCATTTCATTAACTTCTACTCTGATCTTTACTTTCCTCCTTTGTATGAACTTTGGGTTTGACTTGCTCTTCTTTTTCTGGAGGCTTGAGGTTCAACATTAGGTTATTTATTTCAGCTCACTTTGTTTTTTCTGACATGGGAATTCATTGCTATAAATTTCCCTCATAGGGCTGCTTTCATTGCATCCCATAAGTTCCAATATGTTGTATTG